TTTTTTGGATGAATTTGGAGGATTTTGGGGTAAATTTGGGGGATTTTGGGGAAATTTGGGGTGAATTTTGGGTATTTTGGGGATTTCAGGGGGATTTTGGGGTAAATTTAAGGATTTTTGGGGATTTTTGGTGAATTTGGGGTAAATTTGGGGGATTTTTGGTGAATTTCGGGGATTTTGGTGGGGGATTTGGGGGATTTTTTTGGGGTGAATTTGTGGAATTTTGGGGTTCCAGGTGGAATTTTGGGGGGAATTTCTGGAATTTTGGGGATCCCAGGTGGATTTTGGGTTTAATTTGGGGATTTTGGGGTGAATTAGGGTGGATTTGGGGCATTTGGGGGTAAATTTGGGGGATTTTGGGGTAAATTTGGGGGATTTTGGGGGATCTCAGGTGGATTTTGGGATGAATTTGGGGGATTTTTGGATTAATTTGGGGGAATTTGGGAGATTTGGGGTAAATTTATGGAATTTTGGGATCCCAGATGGAATTTTGGGGTAAATTTGTGGAATTTTGGTGGGGATTGGGGGGATTTGGGGTATATTTGGCAGATTTTGGGGTAAATTTAGGCAATTTTGGGGTCCCATGTGGGATTTTGGGGGTCCCAGATGGAATTTTGGGGTGAATTTTTAGAAATTTGGGGAATTTGTGGAAATTTGGGGGATTTGGGGTAAATTTTGGCGATTTTGGGGTGAATTTGGGGGATTTGGGGTAAATTTGTGGAATTTTGGGGTCCCAGATGGAATTTTGGGGTGAATTTGTGGAATTTTGGGGGGGATTTGGGGGATTTTGGGTATATTTGGGAGATTTTGGGGTAAATTTAGGCAATTTTGGGGGTCCCAAGTGGAATTTTAGGGTGAATTTGTAGAAATTTGGGGGATTTGGGGTAAATTTTGGCGATTTTGGGGTAAATTTGGGGGATTTTGAGGGATCCCAAGTGGATTTTGGGGTGAATTTTGGGGATTTTGGGGTGAATTTGTGGAATTTTGGGATGAATTTGGGGATTTTGGGATGAATTTGTGGAAATTTGGCGTAAATTTGTGAAATTTTGGGGTTCCAGGTGGATTTTGGGTTAAATTTGGAAGATTTTGGGGGGAATTTGGGGGATTTTGGGGTGAATTTGGTGAATTTTGGTGGGAATTTGGGGTAAATTTGGAGAACTTTGAGTAAATTTGGTGAATATTGGTGGGAATTTGGGGTAAATTTGGAGAATTTTGGGTAAATTTGGTGAATTTGGGATAAATTTGGGGTAATTTTGGGGGATTTGGGGTGTCCCAGGTGAATTTTGGGTTGAATTTGGAAGATTTTGGGGGGAATTTGTGGTAAATTTGTGGAATTTTGGGGAAATTTGGTGAATTTTGGTGGGAATTTGGGGGATTTGGGGTGAATTTGTGGAATTTTGGGGTTCCAGGTGGATTTTGGGGTGAATTTGGGGGATTTTGGGGTGATTTGAGGGATTTCGGGGTGAATTTCGGCAATTTTGGGGTAAATTTGGGGGTTTTGGGGATCCCAGGTGGATTTTGGGGTGAATTTGGGGGATTTTGGGGTGAATTTGTGGAATTTTGGTTGGAGTTTAGGGAATTTTGGGTAAATTTGAAGGATTTTAGGTTGAATTTGGAAATTTTGGGGTGAATTTGTGGAATTTTGGGGTGAATTTTTGAAATTTTGAGGTTCCAGGTGGATTTTGGGGCGAATTTGTTGAATTTTGGGGTTCCAGGTGGATTTTGGGGTTAATTTGGGGGTTTTTTTTGTGAATTTAGGAGGATTTGGGGGTGAATTTGGGGAATTTTGGGCAAATTTGGTGAATTTTGGTGGGAATTTGAGGGATTTTTGGGTGAATTTGGGAGATTTTGGGATAAATTTGGGAGATTTTGGGTGGATTTGGGGTGAATTTTGGGGATTTTGGGGTGTCCCAGGTGAATTTTGGGTTGAATTTGGAAGATTTTGGGGTAAATTTGGGGAATTTTGGGTAAATTTGGAGAATTTTGGGGAAATTTGGTGAATTTGGGTAAATTTGGGAGATTTTGGGATAAATTTGGGGGATTTTGGGATAAATTTGGGGGATTTTGGGTGGATTTGGGGTGAATTTTGGGGATTTTGGGGGTCCCAGCTGACCTTTGCCCATATATGGCGCTCATTAACATAAAAGGCGTGACTCATTAATATTAACACACATCTTTATTTGCATATGCTCATTAACATAAAATGCGTGGCTCATTAATAATAACACACTTTATTTGCATAAAAGTGGGCGTGGCTCAAATATCCTCATTTCCTCCCCCAAATAAACTTTATTTGCATAAAACCACAATTAATTTGATTTAATTAATTATTTCATACAACCCTCATTTGCATAAGCTCCGCCCCCACCCTTTCCCAACACTTTTTTCCTTTTTTGGGCATTTTTACCATATATGGGGATTTTAAATTATTTTTCCATATATGGAAACCTCATTTGCATAGCGACCCCAAAATGCTCCTAAAATGACCCAAAAAGACCCAAAATTTCCCAAAAATGCCCCAAAATGTCCCAAAATACCCCCAAAAATGACCAAATTCCCCCAAAATTATCCCAAAAAAAACCCAAAATTCCCCCAGAATTGCCCCAAAAATAATCACAAAATGCCCCAAATTTCCCCCAAAAAACACAAAAAAACCCCAAATTCTCCCAAATTCCCCAAAAATTCCCCCCAAAATGACCCCAAAATTACCCAAAAAGCCCCAAAATTCCCAGAATATCCCAAAAAACCTCCAAAATAATCCCAAAGTTTTCAAAAAATCCAAAATTCCCCCCAAAAATTCCTCCCAAAATACCCCGAAAAAAACCCCAAAATTCCCCCCAAAAATCCCCAAAATAACCCCAAAATACCAAAAATTCACCCAAAAATCCCTGAAAATTCCCCCAAAAATCCCCAAAAATTCCCCCAAAAAAACCCCAAAATTCCCCAAGAACGCCCCCAAAAAACCCCAAAATCCCCCCAAAAATCCCCAAAATAACCCCAAAATACCCAAAAACTCACCCCAAAATCCCCGAAAATTCCCCCAAAAAACCCCAAAATTTCGCAAAAAACTCCAAAATTCCCCAAGAACGTCCCCAAAAAACCCCAAAATCCTCCCAAAAATCCCCAAAATACCAAAAATTCCCCAAAATTCCCCCAAAAACACCCCAAAAAAACCCCAAAATTCCCTCAAAATTCCCCAAAACGCCCCAAAAATCCCATATAAGGTCATTTTGCCCATATAAGGTCATTTTCCCATATACATCCGCCTCATTTGCATAACGCCCTCAGCCCCGCCCCCTGTGGGCGTGGCCTCACCGGCGCCTCCTCCCCCAGCACTGACCCCAAAATGGCCCAAAATGCCCCAAAAACTCCCAAAATTCCCCTTAAAATTACCCAAAAAACCCCAAAATTCACAGAATATCCCCAAAACCTCCAAAATAATCCCAAAACTCCCAAATTACCCCAAAAATAACCTCAAAATATCCTGAAAGAACCCCAAAATTCCCCAAGAACGCCCCCAAAAAAACCCCAAAATTCCCCCCAAAAAACCCCAAAATACCCAAAAATTCACCCAATATTCCGTGAAAATTCCCCAAAAAAGCCCAAAATTCCCTTAAATGCCCCAAAATTCCCGAGGAAACCCCAAAAATCCCCCCAAAATACTCCAAAAAAATCCAAAAATTGCCCCACATTCTCCCTAAAAACCCCAAAATTCTGCCCAAAATTCCCCCAAAAAGCCCCAAAATTCCCCCAAAAATACCCCGAAAATTCCCAAAAAAATTCCCCCAAAAATTCCCTAAAACTCCCCAAAATACCAAAAATTCACCAAAAAATTCCCGAAAATTCCCCCAAAATTCCCCAAGAACGCCCCCAAAAAACCCCGAAATTCCCCCAAAAATCCCCAAAAAACCCCAAAATACCCAAAAATTCACCCCAAAATTCCCGAAAATTCCCCCAAAAAACCCCAAAATTTCCCAAAAAACTCCAAAATTCCCCAAGAACGTCCCCAAAAAACCCCAAAATCCTCCCAAAAATCCCCAAAATACCAAAAATTCCCCAAAATTCCCCCAAAAACACCCTAAAAACCCCCAAAATTCCCTCCAAATTTCCCCAAAACGCCCCAAAATTCCCCAAAAACCCCCATTTTTCCCATATAAGGTCATTTCCCCCATTAACATCCGCCTCATTTGCATAACGCCCTCAGCCCCGCCCCCTGTGGGCGTGGCCTCACCGGCACCTCCTCCCCCAGCAGTGACCCCAAAATGGCCCAAAATGCCCCAAAAACTCCCAAAATTCCCCCCAAAACTACCCAAAACCCACAAAATTCCCAAAATATCCCCCAAAACCTCTGAAACAATCCCAAAATTATCCAAAAGCTCCAAAATTACCCCAAAAATTACCCCAAAATATCCCCAAAAAAACCCAAAATTCCCCCAAAAAACCCCCAAATACCCAAAAATTCACCCAATATTCCCTGAAAATTCCCCCAAAAGCCCAAAAATCCCTCAAAACGCCCCCAAAATCCCGAGAAAACCCCAAAAATTCCCCGAAAATACTCAAAAAAAAATCCAAAAATTGCCCCAAATTTGCCCAAAAATCCCAAAATTCTGCAAAAATGACCCAAAAATACCCAAAAATTCCACCAAAAATCCCCAAATTCCCCAAGAACGCCCCCAAAAAAATCCTCAAATTCTCCCAAAAATCCCTAAAATAACCCCAAAATACCAAAAATTCACCCAAAAATCCCAAAATTCCCCAAGAACGCCCCCAAAAAACCCTCAAATCCCAAAAAAATCCGCAAAATAATCCGAAAATACCAAAAATTCACCCAAAAATCCCGGAAAATTCCCCCAAAAATCCCAAAATTCCCCAAGAACGCCCCCAAAAACCCCCAAATTCCCCCAAAAATCCCCAATATCATCCCAAAATACAAAAAATTCACCCCAAACCCCCCAAATTAACCCAAAAAACCTCAAAATTCCCTCAAAAACCCCATTTTGCCCATATAAGGTCATTTTTCCCATATAAGGTCATTTCCCCCATTTACATCCGCCTCATTTGCATAGCGCCCTCAGCCCCGCCCCCTGTGGGCGTGGCCTCACCGGCACCTCCTCCCCCAGCATTCGGAGCATGCGCAGTCGGTGCTCAGCCTCGCTCTCGCCCGGCAGGCGCTGAGTCCTCCCGGCCGCTAGGTGGCGCTGCGCGGCGGCGCGGAGCTCTTCCGGGTCATAGAGAGGGGCGGGGTCCAGGCCGTGGCGGTTAATGAGGGACACGAGATACTCGGAATAGTGACCGCTGAGTGACCACAGAGTGACCGCAGAGTGACCACTGAGTGACCACTGAGTGACCACTGACCCCTCAGTGACCAATGAGTGACCACAACCCCGAAAACCCGGAAAAATGCCCCAAAATCCCACAAAAATGCCCCCAAAATGCCCCAAAAATGACCCAAAATGGCGGCTGAGTGACCACAGAGTGACCACAGAGTGACCACTGACCCCTCAGTGACCAATGAGTGACCACAACCCCAAAAACCCAAAAAAATCCCCTAAAAATGCCCCAAAATCCCCCAAAAATGACCCAAAATCACCCAAAAATGACCCAAAATGGCCCCTGAGTGACCACAGAGTGACCAATGAGTGACCACTGAGTGACCACTGAGTGACCACAGAGTGACCACTGACCACAGAGTGACCACAACCCCAAAAACCCCGAAAAATCCCCTAAAACTGCCCCAAAATCGCCCAAAAATGACCCAAAATGGCGCCTGAGTGACCACTGAGTGACCACAGAGTGACCACTGAGTGACCACTGACCCCTCAGTGACCAATGAGTGACCACAACCCCAAAAACCCCTAAAAATACCCCAAAATCCAGCAAAAATGACCCAAAATCACCCAAAATGACCCAAAATTACCCAAAAATGACCCAAAATGACCCCGAGTGACCACTGAGTGACCACTGAGTGACCAATGAGTGACCACTGACCACTGAGTGACCACAACCCCAAAAACCCCGAAAAATGCCAAAAAAATTCCCTAAAAATGCCTTAAAATCATCCAAAAATGACCCAAAATGGCCGCTGAGTGACCACTGAGTCACCACTGAGTGACCAATGAGTGACCACAGAGTGACCACTGAGTGACCACTGAGTGACCACTGACCCCTCAGTGACCAATGAGTGACCACAACCCAAAAATCCCCTAAAAATGCCACAAAATCCCTCAAAAATGATCCAAAATGGCCGCTGAGTGACCGCTGAGTGACCACAGAGTGACCACAGAGTGACCACTGACCCCTCAGTGACCAATGAGTGACCACAACCCCAAAAACCCCAAAAAATCCCCCAAAAATGCCTTAAAATCACCCAAAAATGACCCAAAATGGCGCCCGAGTGACCACTGAGTGACCACTGAGTGACCACTGAGTGACCCTCACTGACCACAACCCCAAAAACCCCAAAAAATCCCCTAAAAATGCCCCAAAATCATCCAAAAATGACCCAAAATGGCCGCTGAGTGACCACAGAGTGACCACTGAGTGACCACAGACCACTGAGTGACCAATGAGTGACCACTGAGTGACCACAGCCCCAAAAATCCCCTAAAAATGCCCCAAAAATGCCCTAAAAATGATCCAAAATCACCCAAAAATGACCCAAAATGGCCCCTGAGTGACCACTGAGTGACCACAGAGTGACCACTGACCACTGAGTGACCACTGAGTGACCACTGACCCCTCAGTGACCAATGAGTGACCACAACCCCAAAAACCCCAAAAAATCCCCTAAAAATGCCCCAAAATCCCCCAAAAATGACACAAAATGACCCCGAGTGACCACAGAGTGACCACTGAGTGACCACTGAGTGACCACAGAGTGACCACTGAGTGACCACTGAGTGACCACAGAGTGACCACTGACCACTGACTGACCCTCAGTGACCACAACCCCAAAAACCCCAAAAAACGCCCAAAAATCCCCTAAAAATGCCTTAAAATCCCCAAAAAATGACCCAAAATGGCCCCTCAGTGACCACTGAGTGACCAATGAGTGACCACTGAGTGACCACTGACCACTGAGTGACCACTGAGTGACCCTCAGTGACCACAACCCCAAAAACCCCTAAAAATGCCCAAAAATCCCCCAAAAATGACCCAAAATGACCCAAAATGACCCAAAATGGCCCCTGAGTGACCAATGAGTGACCACTGAGTGACCCCTGAGTGACCAATGAGTGACCACTGAGTGACCAATGAGTGACCAATGAGTGACCACTGAGTGACCACTGAGTGACCCTGAGTGACCACTGAGTGACCCCTGAGTGACCAATGAGTGACCACTGAGTGACCAATGAGTGACCAATGAGTGACCACTGAGTGACCACTGAGTGACCCTGAGTGACCACTGAGTGACCACTGAGTGACCACAGAGTGACCACTGACCCCTCAGTGACCAATGAGTGACCACATCCCCAAAAACCCCGAAAAATGCACCAAAATCCAGCAAAAATGACCCAAAAATACCCCAAAATGACCCAAAAATGACACAAAATGGCCGCTGAGTGACCACAGAGTGACCACTGAGTGACCACTGACCCCTCAGTGACCAATGAGTGACCACAACCCCAAAAACCCCGAAAAATGCCCCAAAAATCCCCTAAAAATGCCTTAAAATCCCTCAAAAATGATTCAAAATGGCGGCTGAGTGACCACTGAGTGACCACTGAGTGACCACTGAGTGACCACTGAGTGACCACTGACCAATGAGTGACCACAACCCCAAAAACCCCTAAAAATGCCCCAAAATCACCCAAAAATGACCCAAAAATGACCCAAAATGGCCCCTGAGTGACCAATGAGTGACCACAGAGTGACCACAGAGTGACCACAGAGTGACCACTGAGCCCTCAGTGACCAATGAGTGACCACAACCCCAAAAACCCCGAAAAATGCACCAAAATCCCGCAAAAATGACCCAAAATGACCCTGAGTGACCACTGAGTGACCACTGAGTGACCACAGAGTGACCACTGAGTGACCACAACCCCAAAAACCCCAAAAAATCCCCTAAAAATGCCCCAAAAATGACCCAAAATGGCCCCTGAGTGACCAATGAGTGACCAATGAGTGACCACTGAGTGACCACTGAGTGACCACTGAGTGACCCTGAGTGACCACTGACCCCTCAGTGACCAATGAGTGACCACAACCCCAAAAACCCCAAAAAATCCCCTAAAAATGCCCCAAAATCCAGCAAAAATGTCCCAAAAATGCCCCAAAATGACCCAAAAATGACCCAAAATGGCCCCTGAGTGACCAATGAGTGACCACTGAGTGACCAATGAGTGACCACTGAGTGACCAATGAGTGACCACTGAGTGACCAATGAGTGACCACTGAGTGACCACAGAGTGACCAATGAGTGACCACTGAGTGACCACTGACCACTCAGTGACCAATGAGTGACCACAACCCCAAAAACCGCGAAAAATGCCCCAAAAACCCCTAAAAATCCCCTAAAAATGCCTTAAAATCCCCCAAAAATGACCCAAAATGGCCCCTGAGTGACCACTGAGTGACCACAGAGTGACCACTGAGTGACCTCAGAGTGACCACAGAGTGACCACAGAGTGACCACTGAGTGACCACTGAGTGACCGCTGAGTGACCACTGACCCCTCAGTGACCAATGAGTGACCACAACCCCAAAAACCCCTAAAAATGCCCCAAAAATGCCATAAAATCCCTCAAAAATGCCCCAAAAATGACCCAAAATGCCCCAAAAATGACCCAAAATGGCCCCTGAGTGACCACAGAGTGACCGCTGAGTGACCAATGAGTGACCAATGAGTGACCAATGAGTGACCCTCAGTGACCACAACCCCAAAAATCCCCGAAAAATGCCCCAAAATCCCGCAAAAATGACCCAAAAATGCCCCAAAATGCCCCAAAAATGACCCAAAATGGCCCCCGAGTGACCAATGAGTGACCACTGAGTGACCACTGAGTGACCACTGACCCCTCAGTGACCAATGAGTGACCACAACCCCAAAAACCCCGAAAAAACCCCAAAAAATCCCCTAAAAATGCCCCAAAATGCCCCAAAAATGACCCAAAATGGCGCCTCAGTGACCACTGAGTGACCACAGAGTGACCACAGAGTGACCAATGAGTGACCACTGAGTGACCAATGAGTGACCACTGACCACTGAGTGACCACTGAGTGACCACAACCCCAAAAACCCCAAAAAATCCCCTAAAACTGCCTTAAAATGACCCAAAAATGACCCAAAATGGCCCCTGAGTGACCACAGAGTGACCAATGAGTGACCAATGAGTGACCACTGAGTGACCACTGAGTGACCACTGAGTGACCACTGACCCCTCAGTGACCAATGAGTGACCCTCAGTGAGCACAACCCCAAAAACCCCTAAAAATACCCCAAAATCCCGCAAAAATGCCCCAAAATCCCCCAAAAATGACCCAAAATGGCCCCCGAGTGACCAATGAGTGACCACTGAGTGACCACTGAGTGACCAATGAGTGACCAATGAGTGACCAATGAGTGACCACTGAGTGACCAATGAGTGACCAATGAGTGACCCTCAGTGACCACAACCCCAAAAACCCGGAAAAATACCCCAAAAATGCCCCAAAAATGACCCAAAATCACCCAAAAATGACCCAAAAATGACCCAAAATGGCCCCTGAGTGACCACAGAGTGACCACTGAGTGACCACTGAGTGACCAATGAGTGACCACTGAGTGACCACTGACCCCTCAGTGACCAATGAGTGACCACAACCCCAAAAACCCCTAAAAATACCCCAAAATCCCGCAAAAATGACCCAAAATCCCCCAAATTTGCCCCAAAATGACCCCCGAGTGACCACTGACCAATGAGTGACCACTGAGTGACCAATGAGTGACCAATGAGTGACCAATGAGTGACCACTGAGTGACCACTGAGTGACCACAACCCCAAAACTGCCCTAAAATACCCCTAAAAATGCCTTAAAAAACCCCAAAAAATCCTCTAAAAATGACCCAAAATGCCCCAAAATGCCCCAAAATCCCCCAAATTTGCCCCAAAATGACCCCTGACCCCGGGTGACCCCGACTGACCGGCAGAGTCCGGCCTGGCCCGGGGCCGTGTCCCGCCCGCACGGCTCGTCCCGAAGGGTCACCCCGAATTCCTTCTGCTCCGGAACGGGACAGCGGCCTGGGGGGAAAAACGGGGATTTTGGGAAAATTGGTGAAAAATGGGGAAAATGGGGGAAAATGGGGGGAAAATGGGGGGAAATGGGGGGAAAATGGGGGAAATTGGGGGAAAATTGGGAAAAAATGGGGAAAAAATGGGGGGAAAAATGGGGGAAAAAAGGGAAAATAAATGGGGATTTTGGGGGGGAAAATGGGGAAAAAGGGGGAAAAAATGGGGAAAAATGAAGAAAAAATGGGGGAAAATGGGGGAAAAATGGGGATTTTGGGTGGAAAATTGGGATAAAATGGGGATTTGGGGGAAAAATGGGGGGTTGGGCAAATTAATAAAAAATGGGGAGTTTGGGGAAATTAATAAAAATGGGGAGTTTGGGGGAAAATATGGGGGAAAATGGGGAAAAATGGGGAAAAAATGGGGGAAAATGGGGAAAAATGGGGGAAAAGGGGAAATAAATGGGGAAAAATGGGGAAAAATGGGGGAAAATGGGGAAAAATGGGGAAAAATGGGGAAAAATGGGAAAAAAAATGGGGGAAAAATGGGGGAAAATGGGGAAAAAAAGGGGTATTTTGGGGTAAAAAATGGGGAAAAAATGTGGGGGAAATGGGGAAAAAATGGGGAGAAATGAAAGAAAAATTGCGATTTTTGGGGGAAAAATTGGAAAAAAAGAAAAATATGGGGATTTTGGGGGAAAAATGGGGAAAAATGAAAAAAAAAAGGGGATTTTTAGGGGGAAAACGAGGAGAAAAATGGGGATTTTGGGGGGAAAAATGGGGAAAAAAGAGAAAATAAATGGGGAGTTTGGGGGGAAAAATGGGGGAAAATGGGGAAAATGGGGAAAAAATGGGGAAAAATGGGGAAAAATGGGGGAAAAATGGGGAAAAAGTGGGGAAAAAATGGGGGGAAAAATGGGGAAATAAATGGGGAAAAATGGGGAAAAATGGGGATTTTGGGGAAAAAATTCCCAAATGGGGAGAAAAATGGGGAGAAAATGGGGGGAAAAAAGGGAATTTTGGGGAAAATGGGGAAAAAATGATAAAAAATTGGGAATTTTGGGGGGAAAATGGGAATTTTGGGGGGGAAAATGTGAATTTTGTGGTGTCCCAGTATAAACCAGTCCAAACCAGTATAAACCAGTACAAACCAGTCGGGTTGGGCGGGGCCTCAGGGGGCGGTTCTGTCTCGAAGGCGACGTTCCCACTCTGAGGGGGAGAGATCCCAGTAAAAACCAGTATGGGCCAGTATAAACCAGTATAAACCAGTATAAACCAGTAAAAACCAGTATAAACCAGTATAAACCAGTATAAACCAGTATAAACCAGTATAAACCAGTATAAAAAATCCCACTTAACCCCAAATTTTCCCCATTTTTGACCTTTGGAGAGCCTCAAAATTCCCTCCCAGTCCCTCCCAGTACAAACCAGTATAAACCAGTATAAACCAGTAACCCCAAATTCCCTTTTTCCCCCATTTTTAACCCTTTATTTCCCATTTTTAACCCTTTATTTTCCACTTTTTGACCATTTTAAACTCAATTTTCTCCCAATTTTCACCATTTTTCCCCATTTTTTCCCTCCCAGTACAAACCAGTCCAAACCAGTCCAAACCAGTATAAACCAGTAACCCCAAATCCCCTTTCCCCATTTTTAACTCTTTATTTCCCAGTTTTAACCCTTTATTTTCAACTTTTTGACCATTTTAAACCCAATTTTCACCCAATTTTTACCCAATTTTCACCAATTTTTTCCCATTTTCCCCCTCCCAGTCCCTCCCAGTATAAACCAGTACAAACCAGTAACCCCAAATCCCCTTTTCCCCCATTTTAACCATTTATTTTCCATTTTTAACCCTTTATTTTCCACTTTTTGACCATTTTTAACCCATTTTTCACCCAATTTTCACCATTTTTCCCCATTTTTTCCCATTTTTTCCCCATTTCCCCCATTTTTCCCCTCCCAGTATAAACCAGTATAAACCAGTAACCCCTTTTCTCCTTTTCCCCCATTTTAACCCTTTATTTCCCATTTTAACCCTTTATTTTTCCGATTTTCGTATATTTTAACCCAATTTTCACCAATTTTTTCCCATTTCCCCCTAATTTTTCCCATTTTCCCTCATTTTCCCCCTCCCAGTATAAACCAGTATAAACCAGTAACCGCAAACCCCCACTTCCCCATTTTCACCCCTTTATTTTCCACTTTTTGACCATTTTTAACCCATTTTTCACCCGATTTTCACCCGATTTTCACCAAATTTTCACCGATTTTCCCCATTTTTCCCCCATTTTCCCCCTCCCAGTACAAACCAGTATAAACCAGTCCAAACCTGGAGCAGCTGCTGCAGCCGGGCGGGTTCCCAGTCCCGCAGGTAGAAGAGACAATCGCGGGGGTGGTGCCCGTGGAGGGACCCCCCGAGGGGGCACTGGGGGGAGGGGCAGGTCTGGGGTGGGGGAGGGGAGGGGCAAAGGGGAAGGGGTGGGGGAGGAGCGAAAAGAGGAGAAAATTTGGGGCAAAACAAAAAAAATTTGGTGAAAATCCGTTCAGAAACGGCCGAGAAATGGGCGAAAAACCAACAAAATTGAGGCAAAAATTGACCCAAAATTCATCCAAAATTCTGAAAAATTCACCCAAAATTGAGCCAAAAATTGGACCAAAATTCAGGAAAATTCACCCAAAATTCAACAAAATTGAGCCAAAAATTGACCCAAAATTCATCCAAAAATTCAGAAAAATTCACCCAAAATTGGCCCCAAATTCAGGAAAAAAATCACCAAAAATTGACCCAAAGTTCACAAAAATTCACCCAAAATTCAACAAAATTGAGCCAAAAATTGACCCGAAATTCATCCAAAAATTCAGAAAAATTCACCCAAAATTCAACAAAATTGACCCAAAAATTAGACCAAAATTCACAAAAATTCACCCAAAATTCAGAAAAATTCACTCAAAATTCACCCAAAATTATCCCAAAATTCCTTAAAAAATCACCAAAAATTGAACCGAAATTCACAAAAATTGGACCAAAATTCACTAAAATTCTCCCCAAATTCAATAAAATTGACCCAAAAATTGACCCAAAATTCATCCAAAAATTCAGAAAAATTCACCCAAAATTGAACCAAAAATTGGACCAAAACTCACAAAAATTCACCCAAAATTCATGAAAATTGAGCCAAAAATTGGACCAAAATTCATCCAAAAATTCGCCCAAAATTCAACAGAATTGACCCCAAAATTGCACCAAAATTCAGAAAAATTCACTCAAAATTCACCCAAATTCAGAAAAATTCAGTCAAAATTCACCCAAAATTCAGAAAAAAAATCAGCAAAAATTGGACCAAAATTCACAAAAATTCACCCAAAATTGACCCAAAAATTAGACCAAAATTCAGAAAAATTCACCCAAAATTCAACAAAATTGATCCAAAAATTGACACGAAATTCATCCAAAAATTTAGAAAAATTCGCCCCAAAATTGACAAAAATTCACCTTAAATTAGTCCAAAATTAGACCCAAATTCACACAAAATTCATAAAATTTCACCCAAAATTTTCCCAAAATTGGACCAGAATTCAGAAAAAAATCACCAAAAATTGAACCAAAATGCATCCAAAAATTCATCAAAAATCGACCCAAAATTCGCAAAAACTCACCCAAAGTCGGACAAAAAATTCAGAAAAAAACCCCCATAATTCACCCAAAATTGGCCAATTTTGGCCATTTCCCCCTCCCAGTCCCTCCCAGTTCCTCCCAGTCCCCTCCCAGTACAAACCAGTACAAACCAGTAACCCCAAACCCCATTTTTCCCCATTTTTCACCCATTTTTAACCCATTTTTCACCCATTTTTTCCTCAATTTTCACCGAATTTTCACCGGTTTTCCCCATTTTTTCCCCATTTTTTCCCCATTTTCCCCCTCCCAGTCTAAACCAGTCCAAACCAGTACAAACCAGTATAAAACCAGTACAAACCAGTAGCCCAAACCCTTTTTTCCCCATTTTTAACCCTTTATTTCCCATTTTTAACCATTTATTTCCCATTTTTTCCCCATTTCTCACCCAATTTTCATCCGATTTTCACCAAATTTTCACCGTTTTCCCCATTTTTCCCCATTTTCCCACTCCCAGTATAAACCAGTATAAACCAGTAACCCCAAACCCCATTTTCCCCCATTTCCCCCCATTTTTCCGCCATTTTCCCCCATTTTTTCCCCAATTTTCACCGAATTTTCACCAAATTTTCACCATTTTTCCCCGTTTTTTCCCCATTTTTCCCCTCCCAGTACAAACCAGTACAAACCAGTATAAACCAGTAACCCCAAACCCCTTTTCATCCATTTTAACCCTTTATTTCCCATTTTAAACTATTTATTTCCCATTTTTAACCCATTTTTTACCCAATTTTCACCGAATTTTCACCGTTTTTCCCCGTTTTTTCCCCATTTCCCCCTCCCAGTCCTTCCCAGTATAAACCAGTACAAACCAGTACAAACCAGTAACCCCAAACCCCTTTTTCACCCATTTTAACCCTTTATTTCCCAGTTTTAACCCTTTATTTCCCACTTTTCGACCATTTTTCACCCATTTTTTCCCCGATTTTCACCGAATTTTCACCGTTTTTCCCCATTTTTTCCCCATTTTTTCCCCATTTTCGCCCTCCCAGTCCCTCCCAGTATAAACCAGTACAAACCAGTAACCCCAAATCCCCTTTTCCCCATTTTTAACCCTTTATTTTCCCAGTTCTAACCCTTTATTTTCCATTTTCTGCCCATTTTTAACCCATTTTTTCCCCAATTTTCACCAAATTTTCACCGTTTTTTCCCCATTTTCCCCTCCCAGTCCAAACCAGTATAAACCAGTCAGGCTCACCCCGGGCCGGTGGAAGGGGACGCCGCAGCCGGCGCAGAACTGGTGTCGGCACTGGGAGCACTGGAAATGCAAACAGCCGCCGCGCGCCAGAGCGAAGCGCTGCCCGCACTGGGGACAGGCTGGGGAGAGCCAAAATCACCCAAATTCACCCCAAAAATGCAACAACAGGCACCCCAAGTTCAGCCCAAAATTTCACACAAAATTCGGGAAAATACGGCCAAAAATTTGGGAAAAATCGGCCAAAAATTCAGGAAAAATCGGCCAAAAATTCAGGAAAAATCAACTAAAAATTCAAAATTTTTGGGCCAGGAATTCACCAAAATTTACCCCAAATTCAACCAAAATTGACCCAAATTTCACTAAAATTTACCCAAAATTTATCAAGATTTTCCCAAAATTTGCCCCAAATTCACTCCAAATTTAGCCAAAATTCACCAAAATTTACCCCCAAATTTAACATGATTTTCCCAAAATTCACCTCAAATTTATCCAAAATTCATCCCAAACATACCCAAAATTCACTAAAATTTAACCCCAAATTTACCAAAGTTTTCCCAAAATTGGACCCAAATTCACTTAATTTTACCCAAATTTTACCAAGATTTTCCGAAAATTCATTCCAAATTTACCCCAAATTCACCCAAAATTCACTAAAATTTACCAAAATTTATCCCAAATTTCACCTCAAATTCACTAAAATTTACCCCCAAATTTTCCAAGATTTTCCCAAAATTCATCTCAAATTCATCCAAATTAACCCAAAATTTACCCCAAATCCACCTAAAATCCAACCCAAATTCACCCAAAATCCACCAAAATTTACCCCAACATTTACAAAGATTTTCCCAAAATTGGCCCCAAATTCACCCAAAATTCACTAAAATTTACCCCAAAATCGACAAGAATTTTCTCAAAATTCACACCAAATTTTTTTCCACAAAACCCCCCCAAAATTCAGATTTTTTACCCAAAAATCCCCTTTTCCCCCCCAAAAAAATCTCATTTCCCCCCCAAATCCCCATTTTTCCCCAAAAATTCTTCTTTTTTCCCAAAATCCCTTTTTCCCGAAAATCCCCATTTTCCCCCAAAATTCTTTTTCCCCCCAAAATTCCCATTTCCCCCTATTTTTCTCCCAAATCCCCATTTTTACCCCCAAATTCCCATTTTCTCCCCAAAATTCTTTTTCCCCCAAATTTTTCCCCTGAAAAATCCTGATTTTTTTCCTCCAAAAATTCCCTTTTTTTCCCCAAAAATCTCTTTTTTTTCCCCCAATTTTTCCCCCCAAAATCCCCCAAAATTCAGATTTTTTCCCCCAAAATTCTGATTTTTCCCACCCAAAATTCAGATTTTTTCCCCCAAATCCAGATTTTTTCCCCCAAATCCCCATTTTTCCCCAAAATCCCCATTTTCCCCATTTTTCCCAAAATCCGGTTTTTTCTCACCGATTCCGGCCTCTCCCAGAAAGGCCCCCAGGCCCTGGGGGGGGTCCCTGGAGCGGATCCAGACCCCGAAATCGGCGCAGGAGAGCGACGAGTGACGCGGGTCCCACTGGGGAATAAAGGGTTAAAATCAGTCCCAAAAACTCCCAAATTCACCCCAAAATTCAGCCCCAAAATTTAAAAAAAACCCGAAAGAAATCGGGAGAGAAACAGCAAAAAAATTCCCAAAAAAAAGGAAAAAAATTGAATTTTTTGGGTAAAAATTCAGTTTAAAAACGGCAAAATTAGACCCAAAATTTGATTTAAAAATCCCAAATTATCCCCAAAATTCCCTGAAAAAAATACCCAAAATTTCCTTAAAATTCCCAAAATTATCCCCCAAAATCCCATTAAAAAATCCCAAATTTTTCCCCAAAATTCCATGAAAATAATCACAATTTTTTCATCAAAAATTCCATTTAAAAATCTCAAAATCAGACCCAAAATTCTCTGAAAAAATCCAAATTTATCCCCAAAATTCCCCAAAGAAATCTCAAAATTATCCCCAAAATTCCCAGAAAAAAACCCCAAAAAAATCAGACGCGAAAGACCCAAAAATTCCCAAAAATAAAGTGAAAAAAATCCCAATTTTTTGCTCAAAAATTTTATTAAAAAATCTTAAAATTAGACCCAAAATTCAGCCCCAAAATTTAAAAAAAACCCGAAAGAAATCGGGTGAGAAACGCCCAAAAAATCCCCCAAAAAAGGGAAAAAATTCGAATTTTTTTGGTTAAAAATTCAGTTTAAAAATGGCAAAATTAGACTCAAAAATGAATTTAAAAATCCCAAATTATCCCCAAAATTAACCAAAAAAACACCCAAAAAAACCCCAAAAAAGGGAAAAAAATCTGATTTTTTTTTGGGCCAAAAATTCAGTTTAAAAATGTCAAAATTAGACCCAAAATTTGATTTAAAATTCCCTGAAAAAAATACCCAAAATTTCCTTAAAATTCCCCAAAAATATCCAAAAAATTCCATTTAAAAAATCCAAATTTCCCCCAAAATTCCCTGAAAAAAATCCCAAAAATATCCCCAAAATTACCCCAAAAAAACTCAAAAAAAATTGGACATAAAAGACCCAAAAATATCCCAAAATAAATTGAAAAAAATTCCAATTTTTTCTTTAAAAATTCCATTTAAAAATCTTAAAATTAGACCCAAAATTACCCCAAAAAACCCCAAAGAAATCGGGTGAGAAACACCCAAAAAATCCCAAAAAAATGGAAAAAAATTGAATTTTTTGGGTTAAAAATTCAGTTTAAAAATGGTAAAATTGCCACCAAAATTTGATTTAAAAATTGCAAATTATTCCCAAAAGTCCCAAATTATTCCCAAAATTCCCAGAAAAAAAAATCCGAAATTATTCCCAAAATTCCCAGAAAAAAAATCTCAAATTATTGTCAAAATTGCACGAAAAAATCCAAAAAAATTCCCAAAATTACCCCAAAATTCACCCCAAAATTACCCTAAAAATTCACCCCAAAATTCAGCCCCAAAATTTAAAAAAAACCCGAAAGAAATCGGATGAGAAACAGCCAAAAAATCCCCAAAAAAAGGGAAAAAATTGAATTTTTTTGGTTAAAAATTCAGTTTAAAAATCTCAAAATTTGACCCAAAATTTGATTTTAAAATTGCAAATTATTCCCAAAAATCCCAAATTATTCCCAAAATTCCCAGAAAAAAAATCCCAAATTATTTCCAAAATTCCCAGAAAAAAAATCTTAAATTATTCTCAAAATTGCCTCAAAAAAATTTTTAAAAATTCCCAAAATTACCCCAAAATTCACCCCAAAATTACCCCAAAATTACCCCAAAATTCACCCCAAAATTCACCCCAAAATTACCCAAAAATTTAAAAAAAACCCGAAAGAAATCGGGTGAGAAATGCCCAAAAAATACCCAAAAAAGGGAAAAAAATTGAATTTTTTTGGTTAAAAATTCCACCAAAAATTGATTTAAAAATTCCAAATTATTCCCAAAATTCCCAGGAAAAAAATCTTAAATTTTTCCCCAAAATTGGATTTAAAAATTCCAAATTATCCCCGAAAAAATCCCAAAAATATCCCCAAAATTACCCCCAAAAAACCCCAAAAAAATCGGACATGAAAGACCCAAAAATTCCCAAAAATAAAGTGAAAAAAATCCAAATTTTTGACTCAAAAATTCCATTTAAAAATCCTAAATTTATCCCTAAAATTTGATTTAAAAATCCCAAATTATCCCCACAATTCCCTGAAAAAAATACCCAAAATTTCCTTAAAATTCCCCAAAAATATCCCAAAAATTCCATGAAAAAAATCCCAAATTATTCCCAAAATTCCCTGAAAAAATCCCAAAATTATCCCCAAAATTGCCCCAAAAAAACCCCAAAAAAATTGGACATAAAAGACCCAAAAATATCCCAAAATAAATTGAAAAAAATTCCAATTTTTTCTTTAAAAATTCCATTTAAAAATCTTAAAATTAGACCCAAAATTACCCCAAAAAATCCCGAAAGAAATCGGATGAGAAACGCCCAAAAAATCCCAAAAAAAATGGAAAAAAATGAAATTTTTTGGTTAAAAATACAGTTTTAAAATGGCAAAATTACCCCCAAAACTTGATTTAAAAATATCAAATTATTCCCAAAATCCCCAGGAAAAAATTCCAAAATTATGCCCAAAATTCCCTAAAAAAAACCCAAAAAAAGGGAAAAAATCTGAATTTTTGGGCCAAAAATTCAGTTTAAAAATGGCAAAATTAGACCCAAAATTTGATTTAAAATTCCCTAAAAAAAAATCCCAAAATATCCCCAAAAATATCCCAAAATAACAATTTAAAAGATCCCAAATTATTCCCAAAATCCCCAGAAAAAATCCCAAAATTATGACCAAAATTACCCCAAAAAAAACCCCAAAAAATCAAACATGAAAGACCCAAAAATCCCCAAAATAAAGTGAAAAAAATTCCAATTTTTTTCCTCAAAAATTCCATTTAAAAATCTCAAATTTATCCCTAAAATTTGATTTAAAAATCCCAAATCATCCCCAAAATTCCCTTAAAAAAATACCCAAAATTTCCTTCAAATTCCCCCAAAAAAATCCCAAAAATTTCATTAAAAAATCCCAAATTATCCCAAAAATCACATTAAAAAAATCACAATTTTTTCCTCAAAAATTACATTTAAAATCTCAAAATTAGACCCAAAATTCCATTTTAAAAATCCCAAATTTACCCCCAAAATTCCCCGAAAAAAAAACCCAAAATTTTCCCTTCAACGGCCACGAAAAAAACCCAAAAAACCCCAAAAAAATCCCCTAAAAATCCCCCCAAATTTCCATATATGGACATCAGGCCCCTCCCATGCCCATATATGGTAATGAAGCCACGCCCACCCTCTTTAAGCCACGCCCACCCTCTTTAAGCCACGCCCACCCTCTTCAAGCCCCGCCCACCTCAATGCAATATATGTTAATGAAGCCCCGCCCACCTTCCTTAAGCCCCGCCCACTTCTCCCATGCCCATATATGGTAATGAAGCCCCTCCCAGTATAAACCAGTATAAACCAGTATAAACCAGTACAAACCAGTAAAAACCAGTATAAAAATTCCATTTCCCCCCATTTTTAACCCTTTAATCCCCTCCCAGTTTGTCCCAGTGCCCTCCCAGTTCCAAACCAGTATAAACCAGTATAAACCAGTATAAACCACTTCAAACCATTATAAACCAGTTCAAACCAGTATAAACCAGTTCAAACCATTATAAACCAGTTAAAACCAGTATAAACCAGTATAAAACCAGTTCAAACCAGTATAAACCAGTAAAAACCAGTATAAAAATCCCACTTTCCCCCATTTTTAACCCCTTAATCCCCTCCCAGTTCGTCCCAGCGCCCTCCCAGTCCCAAACCAGTATAAACCAGTATAAACCAGTACAAACCACTTCAAACCATTATAAACCAGTTCAAACCAGTATAAACCACTTTAAACCAGTATAAACCAGTATAAACCACTTCAAACCAGTATAAACCAGTATAAACCAGTATAAACCAGTATAAACCAGTACAAACCAGTTTAAACCAGTTTAAACCAGTATAACAAACCAATTTTCCCCCATTTTTAACCCTTTAATCCCCTCCCAGTTTGTCCCAGCGCCCTCCCAGTCCCAAACCAGTATAAACCAGTATAAACCAGTTCAAACCAGTACAAACCAGTATAAACCAGTATAAACCAGTATAAACCAGTATAAACCAGTACAAACCAGTATAAACCAGTATAAACCAGTACCAAAACCCGACTCTAAAGCAAATTTTTCCCCATTTTTGACACTTTTGGTGCCCCAAATCCCCCAAAAATCGCCCCAAAATTGCCCAAAATTGCCCCAAAATCCCATCCCAGTATAAACCAGTATAAACCAGTATAAACCAGTATAAACCAGTATAAACCAGTACAAACCAGTACCAAAACCCAACTCTAAAGCCGATTTTTCCCCATTTTTGACACTTTTGGTGCCCCAAATCCCCCGAAAATCGTCCCAAAAATCCCCAAAATGGCCCCAAAACCCCATCCCAGTACAAACCAGTATAAACCAGTATAAACCAGTATAAACCAGTACCGGCAGCTGGCAGCGGGGACAGCAGCACTGGTGGCACTGGGGGCACTGGGCCGGACCCCGTTCGGCCTCGAAGATGAACCCGAAGGAGCACTGGGGAGGAACTGGGAGTTACTGGTTTATACTGGTTTTAACTGGGAGCCTCCCAGTATAAACCAGTAACCCCCAAAACAAAACCAGTATAAACCAGTAACCCCCCAAAAATAAAACCAGTATGGAAAAAAAACCCTCCCAGTTCATCCCAGTAACAAACCAGTATAAACCAGTAAGGAAAAAAACCAAAACCAGTTCAAACCAGTATAAACCAGTATAAACCAGTAAGGCAAAAAACCCAAACCAGTATAAACCAGTAAGGAAAAAAACCAAAACCAGTATAAACCAGTATAAACCAGTATAAACCAGTAAAGGTTAAATTAAGGTTAAATCTCCTCCCAGTTCATCCCAGTTCATCCCAGTACCAAACCAGTATAAACCAGTAAGGAAAAAACCCCAAACCAGTTCAAACCAGTATAAACCAGTATAAACCAGTATAAACCAGTATAAACCAGTATAAACCAGTAAGGTTAAATTAAGGTTAAATCTCCTCCCAGTTCAGCCCAGTAAGGCCAAAACCCCTCCCAGTTCATCCCAGTATAAACCAGTAAGAAAAAAACCCAAAACCAGTATAAACCAGTAAAAACCAGTATAAACCAGTAACACCCAAAACAAAACCAGTATGAACCAGTAACCCCCCAAAAATAAAACCAGTATGGAAAAAAACACTCCCAGTTCATCCCAGTAACAAACCAGTATAAACCAGTAAGGGAAAAAACCCAAAACCAGTACAAACCAGTATAAACCAGTACAAACCAGTATAAACCAGTATAAACCAGTATAAACCAGTATAAACCAGTATAAACCAGTATAAACCAGTAAGGATAAATTAAGGTTAAATCCCCTCCCAGTTCATCCCAGTAAGGCCAAAACCCCTCCCAGTTCATCCCAGTATAAACCAGTAAGGAAAAAAACCAAAACCAGTATAAACCAGTTCAAACCAGTATAAACCAGTATAAACCAGTATAAACCAGTATAAACCAGTAAAGGTTAAATTAAGGTTAAATCCTCTCCCAGTTTATCCCAGTAAGGCCAAAACCACTCCCAGTTCATCCCAGTAACAAACCAGTATAAACCAGTAAGAAAAAAACCCCAAACCAGTTCAAACCAGTATAAACCAGTATAAACCAGTATAAACCAGTATAAACCAGTACATGGGGGCACCACAGGAACTGGGGGTCCCTCAGCAGCTCCAACTCCGTCAACTTCCGGGTCACGAGGCCGAAGGTGTCGGGGTCGAGGCAGCGCCGGAGCTACTCCCAGTATAAACCAGTATAAACCAGTATGAACCAGTATGAGCCAGTATGAACCAGTATAAACCAGTATGAACCAGTATAAACCAGTATGAACCAGTATAAACCAGTATAAACCAGTATAAAACAATAAAAACCAGTAAAAACCAGTAAAAACCAGTAAAAAAATCCCTTTTTTCCCCCTTTTAACCCTTTAACTCCCTCCCAGTACCCCCAAACCCCCTCCCAGTCCCTCCCAGTCCCCTCCCAGTATAAACCAGTAACCCCAAACCCCAAACCAGTATAAACCAGTACAAACCAGTACAAACCAGTAACCCCAAACCCATTCCCAGTACAAACCAGTAACCCCAAACCCATTCCCAGTACAAACCAGTAACCCCAAACCCATTCCCAGTACAAACCAGTAACCCCAAACCCATTCCCAGTACAAACCAGTAACCCCAAACCCATTCCCAGTCCAAACCAGTAACCCCAAACCCATTCCCAGTACAAACCAGTAACCCCAAACCCATTCCCAGTACAAACCAGTAACCCCAAACCCATTCCCAGTACAAACCAGTAACCCCAAACCCCCTCCCAGTACAAACCAGTAACCCCAAACCCATTCCCAGTACAAACCAGTAACCCCAAACCCATTCCCAGTACAAACCAGTAACCCCAAACCCATTCCCAGTACAAACCAGTAACCCCAAACCCATTCCCAGTACAAACCAGTAACCCCAAACCCATTCCCAGTACAAACCAGTAACCCCAAACCCATTCCCAGTACAAACCAGTAACCCCAAACCCCCTCCCAGTACAAACCAGTAACCCCAAACCCATTCCCAGTACAAACCAGTAACCCCAAACCCATTCCCAGTACAAACCAGTAACCCCAAACCCCCTCCCAGTACAAACCAGTAACCCCCAACCCCAAACCAGTATAAACCAGTACAAACCAGTATAAACCAGTATAAACCAGTACAAACCAGTATAAACCAGTATAAACCAGTATAAAAAAAATCCAAATTTTTCCCCAATTTTCCCCATTTCCCCCCATTTTTAACCCTTTAACTCCCTCCCAGCACCCCCAAACCCCCTCCCAGTTTGTCCCAGTCCCTTCCCAGTATAAACCAGTAACCCCAAATCTTCATCCCAGTACAAACGAGTATAAACCAGTATAAACCAGTAACCCCAAACCCCAATTTTTCTCCATTTTTCCTCATTTTTAACCCTTTAATCCCCTCCCACCACCCCCAAACCCCCTCCCAGTTCCCTCCCAGTCCCCTCCCAGTATAAACCAGTAATCCCAAATCTCCATCCCAGTACAAACCAGTAACCCCAAACCCCAAACCAGTATAAACCAGTACAAACCAGTATAAACCAGTATAAAAAATCCCAAATTTTCCCAATTTTTTGCCATTTTTAACCCTTTAACTCCCTCCCACCACCCCCAAACCCCCTCCCAGTTCATCCCAGTCCCTCCCAGTGACTCCCCAACACCCTCCCAGTATAAACCAGTACAAACCAGTAACCCCAAACCCCAAACCAGTATAAAACCAGTATAAACCAGTATAAAAAAATCCCATTTTTTGCCTTTTCCTGCCATTTTTAACCCTTTAACTCCCTCCTACCACCCCAAAATTCCCTCCCAGTTTATCCCAGTCCCTCCCAGTGACCCCCCAAGACCCTCCCAGTATAAACCAGTATAAACCAGTATAAACCAGTACCGCCGGCTCCAGCGTGGACCAGTACCAGAGGCGTTGGGCGTCGTCCCTGAGGTCGGGGCGGCCGCAACTGGGGCACCCAAGGGCGCCCACCCCCCTCTCCCTGAGCCCCACGGTGAAATGGAGGCGGAAGCACTCGGGGCACAGCGGGCACGAGCAGCCGGGCAGCCACTGCATCTGACCAGTATAAACCAGTATAAACCAGTATAAACCAGTATAAACCAGTATAAACCAGTAAAACCCAATAAAACCCAAAAAAACCCATAAAAACCCAAAGAAACCAGTATAAACCAGTATAAACCAGTCAGGGCTGCGGGGGAGGGCAGGTCCGGGCCCAGTTCCAGGGCTGAAAACCAGTATAAACCAGTATGAACCAGTATGGACCAGTATAAACCAGTAGAAACCAGTATAAACCAGTAAGGAACCAGTTTGATCCCAGTTCATTGAGTTAATGGTGGTGCTGCCCCCAGTGGTCGTTATGGGAATTGCAGCCATTAAAATGCCAAACCAGTATAAACCAGTTCAGCCCAGTTCATCCCAGTAAGACCTCAGTAACCCCACACCAGTATAAACCAGTATAAACCAGTATAAACCAGTATAAACCAGTATAAACCAGTAAGGTTAAATTAATGTCAAATCCTCTCCCAGTTCATCCCAGTTAGGCCAAAACCCCTCCCAGTTCATCCAAGTAGCAAACCAGTATAAACCAGTTCATCCCAGTAAGGCCCCAATAGCCCCAAACCAGTATAAACCAGTATAAACCAGTATAAACCAGTATAAACCAGTAAGGAACCAGTTTGATCCCAGTTCATTGAGTTAATGGTGGTGCTGCCCCCAGTGGTCGCTATGGGAGTTGCAGCCATTAAAATGCCAAACCAGTATAAACCAGTTCATCCCAGTTCATCCCAGTTCATCCCAGTAAACCCCCAGTAGCCCCACACCAGTACAAACCAGTATAAACCAGTATAAACCAGTATAAACCAGTATAAACCAGTAAGGAACCAGTATGATCCCAGTTCATTGAGTTAATGGTGCTGCTGCCCCCGGTGGTCACTGAGGGAATTGCAGCCATTAAAACGCCAAACCAGTATAAACCAGTTCATCCCAGTTCATCCCAGTTCATCCCAGTTCATCCCAGTTCATCCCAGTAAGGCCCCAGTAGCCCCACATTCACTATAAACCAGTATAAACCAGTATAAACCAGTAAGGAACCAGTATAAACCAGTAAGGTTAAATTAATGTTAAATCCTCTCCCAGTTCATCCCAGTTCATCCCAGTAGCCCCACACCAGTATAAACCAGTATAAACCAGTATAAACCAGTATAAACCAGTACAAACCAGTATAAACCAGTATATAAAATCCCAAATTTTCCAATTTTTCCCCCATTTTATCCCATTTTTAACCCTTTAACTCCCTCCCAGTCCCTCCCAGTTCCCTCCCAGTATAAACCAGTACAAACCAGTAACCTCAAACCCCAAACCAGTCCAAACCAGTAACCCCAAACCCCAAACCAGTATAAACCAGTACAAACCAGTATAAAAAAATCCCAATTTTTCCAATTTATCCCCTATTTTAATCCCATTTTTAACCCTTTAACTCCCTCCCAGTGCCCCCCAACCCCCTCCCAGTCCCTCCCAGTCCCTCCCAGTATAAACCAGTACAAACCAGTAACCTCAAACCCCAAACCAGTCCAAACCAGTAACCCCAAACCCCAAACCAGTACAAACCAGTACAAACCAGTGTAAAACCAGTATAAACCAGTATAAAAAATCCCAATTTTCCCAATTTTTCCCCCATTTTTAACCCTTTAACTCCCTCCCAGTACCCCCAAACCCCCTCCCAGTCCCTCCCAGTCCCAAACCAGTAACCCCAAACCCCAAACCAGTATAAACCAGTATAAACCAGTATAAAAAAATCCCAATTTTCTGCATTTTTCCCCCATTTTCCCCAATTTTTAACCCTTTAACTCCCTCCCAGTGCCCCCAAATCCCCTCCCAGTTCATCCCAGTTCCCTCCCAGTACAAACCAGTAACCCCAAACCCCAAACCAGTACAAACCAGTACAAACCAGTTGCCGGGGCAGCCCCCAGCCGCAGACGGCGCACTCGCAGCGCAGGCGCCTGCGCAGGGCAGCCCTGTCCGGACAGGACCCCACGGCCTCCACCAGTTCAACCAGTAAAGGATCCGAACTGGGAGCCGCCACCAGCCCCAGTCCCAGTTCACGACCCAAACTGGCCACCAGTAAGGCCCGACCCCAACTGGCCACGGGGAGGGTGGCCAAAATCTGCCGGACGAGGGCCTGAGGGGGAAAAAAACCAGTAAAAACCAGTATAAACCAGTATAAACCAGTATAAACCAGTATAAACCAGTATGAACCAGTATGGACCAGTTTAACCCATTTTTTCCCCTTTTTTTCCCATTTTTGCCCAATTTTTTCCCAATTTTTTCCCATTTTTCCCCATTTTTTCCCATTTTTGGTGCACAAAATCCCAGTATAAACCAGTATAAACCAGTATAAACCAGTAAAAACCAGTATGAACCAGTATAGACCAGTATGAACCAGTATGGACCAGTATAACTCAAAAAAACCCCATAAAAACCCATAAAAACCTATAGAAACCAGTATAAACCAGTATAAACCAGTATAAACCAGTATAACCCAGGCAGGGCCGCGGGGAAGGGCAGGTCCGGGCCCTGCTCCAGGGCTGCAAACCAGTATAAACCAGTATAAACCAGTATAAACCAGTATAAACCAGTATAAACCAGTATGGACCAGTATAAACCAGTATAAACCAGTAAAAACCAGTATAAACCAGTACAGACCAGTATAAACCAGTATAAACCAGTATAAACCAGTATAGACCAGTATAGACCAGTATAGACCAGTATAAAGTAGGAAAAACCAGTATGACAAAATGCCAAACCAGTATAAACCAGTAAGGCCAAAGCTCCATCCCAGTAACCCCAAACCCATTCCCAGTACAAACCAGTAACCCCAAACCCATTCCCAGTACAAACCAGTAACCCCAAACCCATTCCCAGTACAAACCAGTAACCCCAAACCCATTCCCAGTACAAACCAGTAACCCCAAACCCATTCCCAGTACAAACCAGTAACCCCAAACCCATTCCCAGTACAAACCAGTAACCCCAAACCCATTCCCAGTACAAACCAGTAACCCCAAACCCCCTCCCAGTATAAACCAGTATACACCAGTACAAACCAGTAACCCCAAAACTCTCTCCCAGTGCCCTCCCAGTTCATCCCAGTCCCTCCCAGTTCAAACCAGTGACCTCCCAGTATAAACCAGTAACCTTTGAACACCCTCCGAGTTGCTCCCAGTACAAACCAGTCAAAACCAGTAACCCCAAACCCCCTCCCAGTATAAACCAGTATAGACCAGTAACCCCAAAACCCTCTCCCAGTTCATCCCAGTTCCCTCCCAGTATAAACCAGTAACCCCAAAACCCCCTCCCAGTAACTCCCAGTCCCTCCCAGTTCATCCCAGTAACCCCAAACTCCATCCCAGTCCCTCCCAGTTCCCTCCCAGTACAAACCAGTAACCCCAAAACCCCCTCCCAGTATAAACCAGTATAAACCAGTAACCCTAAACACATTCCCAGTGACCCCAAAACCTCTCCCAGTTCATCCCAGTTCCCTCCCAGTATAAACCAGTACAAACCAGTAACCCCAAATCCCCTCCCAGTCCCTCCCAGTATAAACCAGTACAAACCAGTTCCCTCCCAGTTCATTCCAGTAACCCCAAAACCCTCTCCCAGTACAAACCAGTAACCCCAAACCCCCTCCCAGTTCCCTCCCAGTCTCTCCCAGTCCCTCCCAGTATAAACCAGTAACCCCAAAACCCTCTCCCAGTTCATCCCAGTAACCCCAAACTCCCTCCCAGTACAAACCAGTACAAACCAGTAACCCCAAAACCCTCTCCCAGTACAAACCAGTATAAACCAGTAACCCCAAAACTCTCTCCCAGTTCATCCCAGTAACCCCAAACCTCATCCCAGTCTCCTCCCAGTATAAACCAGTAACCCCAAACCCCCTCCCAGTATAAACCAGTACAAACCAGTAATCCCCAAATTCTCTGTCAGTTCCCTCCCAGTTCATCCCAGTTCCCTCCCAGTATAAACCAGTAACCCCAAAACTCTCTCCCAGTTCCTCCCAGTCCCTCCCAGTTCAAACCAGTGACCTCCCAGTACAAACCAGTAACCCCAAATCCCCTCCCAGTCTCTCCCAGTATAAACCAGTTCAAACCAGTAACCCCAAATCCTCTCCCAGTATAAACCAGTATAAACCAGTAACCCAAAAACTCTCTCCCAGTTCATCCCAGTAACCCCAAACCTCATCCCAGTCTCCTCCCAGTATAAACCAGTAACCCCAAAACCCTCTCCCAGTTAATCCCAGTCCCTCCCATTATAAACCAGTAACCCTTAAACCCCCTCCCAGTCCCTCCCAGTACAAACCAGTAACCCCAAAACTCTCTCCCAGTCCCTCCCAGTTCATCCCAGTAACCCCAAAACCCCTCCCAGTACAAACCAGTAACCCCAAACCCATTCCCAGTATAAACCAGTCCGCCCCAAACCCATTCCCAGTACAAACCAGTAACCCCAAACCCATTCCCAGTATAAACCAGTCCGCCCCAAACCCCTCCCAGTTCATCCCAGTTCATCCCAGTCCCTCCCAGTTAAAACCAGTGACCTCCCAGTATAAACCAGTAACCCCTGAACACCCTCCCAGTGCCCTCCCAGTACAAACCAGTAACCCCAAACCCCCTCCCAGTACAAACCAGTATAAACCAGTCACCTGCTGATCCTCCCGCAGGAAGTCCAGCGCAGGCTCCGCCCCCTGCTGATGACGTAATCGGAAGGGGCGGAGCCTCCGCCATTGCAGCTCCTGCAGCGCCTCCCATTGGCCGCCGCCATTGCGCCGCAGCGCCGCCGCGCGTTCGGGGAAACTGAGGCACGCCAGGAGCTGCAGCTGTTTCACACCAGTAAAAACCAGTTTGGACCAGTATAAACCAGTATGGACCAGTAAAAACCAGTATAAAGCAGAAAAAATTTAAAAAATGGTAAAATTAACCAAAATTTCCGTTTTTTATGTGAAAATTTACCTATTTAGGGCTAGTTTACACCAGTAAAAACCAGTTTGAACTGGTTTCAAACCAGTATAAACCAGTATAAACCACTACAAACCAGTATGAACCAGTATGAACCGGTATAAAGCAGAAAAAACATAAAAAAAGGTAAAATTAACCAAAATTTTGGGGGTTTTATGTGAAAATTTGGTTAGTTTGGGGCAAAATAAGACCAGTATAAACCAGTATGGACCAGTATAAACCAGTATAAACCAGTATGGACCAGTATGGACCAGTATAAACCACTATAAACCAAAAAAAATGGTAAAATTCATCAAAATTTCCATTTTTTACAGGAAAATTTGCTTAGTTTGGGCCAGTTCACACCAGTAAAAACCAGTTAGGACTGGTTTCAACTGGTTTCAAACCAGTATAAACCAGTATAAACCAGTATAAACCAGTATGGACCAGTAAAAACCAGTATGGACCAGTATAAACCAGTAAAAACAAAAAAAAAAGGGTAAAATTAACCAAAATTTTAGGTTTTTACGTGAAAATTTGGTTAGTTTGGGCCAAATCAGACCAGTAAAAACCAGTTTGGACCAGTATAAACCAGTAAAGACTGGTTTCAACTGGTTTCAAACCAGTATAAACCAGTATAAACCAGTAAAAAACAGAAAAAAGGTAAATTTCATCAAAATTTCCGTTTTTTATGTGAAAATTTACGTATTTTGAGCCAAATCAGACCAGTAAAAACCAGTAAAAACCAGTTAGGACCAGTATAAACCAGTATGGACCAGTATAAACCAGTATGGACCAGTATGGACCAGTATGGACCGGTATAAAGCAGAAAAAACAAAAAAAAAAGGGTAAAATTCATCAAAATCTCCATTTTTTACAGCAAAATTTGCCTAGTTTGGACCAGTTTGAACCAGTTTGGACCAGTTCAGACCAGTATGGACTGGTTTTAACTGGTTTTGGACCAGTATGAACCAGTATAAACCAGTAAAAACCAGTATAAAACAAAAAAAAAAGGTAAAATTAACCAAAATTTTGGGTTTTTACGTGAAAATTTGGTAAGTTTGGGGCAGTTCACACCAGTAAAAACCAGTTTGGACTGGTTGCAACTGGTTTCAAACCAGTATAAACCAGTACAAACCAGTATAAACCAGTATGAACCAGTATGAACCAGTATAAACCAGTATAAACCAGTAAAAACAAAAAAAAAGGTAAAATTCATCAAAATTTCCATTATTTATGTGAAAATTTGTCTATTTTGGGCCAGTTCACACCAGTAAAAACCAGTAAAAACCAGTTTGGACCAGTATAAACCAGTATGGACCAGTATGGACCAGTATGGACCAGTATGAACCAGTACAAACCAGTATAAACCAGTATAAACCAGTAAAAACCAAAAAAAAGGTGAAATTAACCAAAATTTTAATTTTTTATCTGAAAATTTGCCTATTTTGGGCCAAATCAGACCAGTAAAAACCAGTTTGGACCAGTATAAACCAGTAAAGATTGGTTTCAACTGGTTTCAAACCAGTATAAACCAGTATAAACCAGTATAAACCAGTAAAAACAAAAAAAAAGGGTAAAATTCATCAAAATCTCCATTTTTTACAGCAAAATTTGCCTAGTTTGGACCAGTTTGAACCAGTTTGGACCAGTTCAGACCAGTTTGGACCAGTACAAACCAGTATGGACTGGTTTTAACTGGTTTCGGACCAGTATAAACCAGTATAAACCAGTATGAACCAGTATAAACCAGTAAAACCCCAAAAAACAATAAATTAATCAAAATTTTGGGTTTTTACAGGAAAATTTGATTAGTTTGGGCCAGTTCACACCAGTAAAAACCAGTTTGGACTGGTTTCAACTGGTTTCAAACCAGTATAAACCAGTATAAACCAGTATAAACCAGTATGAACCAGTATGGACCAGTATAAACCAGTATGGACCAGTATAAACCAAAAAAAAGGGTAAAATTCACTAAAATCTCCATTTTTTACATTAAAATTTGCCTAATTTCGACAAATATGGACCAGTTTGGACCGGTATAAACCAGTATGGACCAGTATGGACCAGTATAAACCAGTATAAACCAGTATGGACCAGTATGGACCGGTATGGACCAGTATAAACCAGTATGGACCAGTATAAAGCAGAAAAATTTTAAAAAACGGTAAAATTAACCAAAATTTTGGGTTTTTATGTGAAAATTTGGTTAGTTTGGTCAGTTCACACCAGTAAAAACCAGTAAAAACCAGTTTGGACTAGTACAAACCAGTATGAACCAGTATAAACCGGTATAAAGCAAAAAAAACAAAAAAAAGGTGAAATTAACCAAAATTTTAGGTTTTTTGCAAGAAAATTTTTCTATTTTGGACCAAATTCCACCATTTTAAACTAAATTCTGCCATTTTTACCCAAACTTCAACATTTTGAATCCAATTTTTGCCATTTTGAACCCAAATTCCGCCATTTTGAACCAAATTCCACCATTTTTTACCCAAATTCCGCAACTTTTTAACCAAATTCTGCCATTAGAACCCAAATTCTGCCACTTTTTACCCAAATTTTGCCATTTTTTTACCCAAGTTCCGCCATTTTTAACCCAAATTCCCCATTTTGAAGTCAATTTTTCCCATTTTTACCGAAATTCCACCATTTTAATCCAAATTCCGCCATTTTGACCCGTATTCTGCTAATTTAACCCAAATTCCGCCATTTTGGACCTGATTTTTTTATTTTAAACCCAAATTCTGCTATTTTGAACCAAATTCCGCCATTTTGAACCCATTTTTTCCCATTTTTTACCCAAATTCTGCCATTTGAACCCAAATTCCACCATTTTGACCCATATTCTGCTAATTTAACCCAAATTCCGCCATTTTACACCCAAGTTTTTTATTTTAAACCAAAATTCTGCTATTTTGAACCAAATTCCGCCATTTTGACCCAAATTCCACCATTTTGGACCTAAATTCTGAAATTTTGACCCAAATTCCTTATTTTGGACCCAATTTTTCCCATTTTTACCAAAATTCCACCATTTTATCCAAATTCCACAATTTTGACCCAAATTCTGCCATTTTTAACCCAATTTCTGCCATTTTGAACCAAATTCTGCCATTTGGACCCAATTTCCGCCATTTTGAACCCAAATTCTGCCGTTTGAACCAAATTCTGTCATTTTTACCCAAATTCTGCCATTTTGAATCCAATTTTTGCCATTTTGAACCCAATTTCAGCCATTTTGAACCAAATTCCACCATTTTTAACCTAAATTCCGTCACTTTTTAACCAACTTCTGCCATTTGGACCCAAATTCCGCCATTTTTACCCAAATTCCGCCATTTTGAATCTAATTTTTGCCATTTTAAAACAAATTCTGCCATTTTGAACCAAATTCTGCCATTTTGAACACATTTTCAGCCATTTTGAAACAAATTCCGCCATTTTGTACCCAAATTCCGCCATTTTGAACCAAATACGCCATTTTTTACCAAAATCCTACAATTTAAGACCAAATTCCGCCATTTTGACCCAAATTCCGCCATTTTTTACTGAATTTCCACAATTTTGGACCAAATGCCTCCATTTTGACCCAAATTCCGCCATTTTTTACCCAAATTCCCCATTTTGAACCCAATTTTTCCCACTTTTACCAAAATTCCACCATTTTGGACCCAATTTTTCTATTTTAAACTTAAATTCTGCTATTTTGAACCAAATTCCACCATTTTGACCCAAATTCCACCATTTTGAACCCAATTTTTCCCATTTTTACCAAAATTCTGCCATTTTGATCCAAATTCCCCCATTTTGACCCAAATTCTGCCATTTTTAACCCAATTTCTGTGATTTGGGACCCAAATTCCGCCATTTTGGACCAAATTTTTCTATTTTGAACCCAAATTCTGCCATTTTTACCCAAATTTCGCCATTTTGGACCCAATTCTTCTATTTTGAACCCAAATTCTGCCATTTAGAACCAAATTCCGCCATTTTTTACCGAAATCCTACAATTTTGGACCAAATTCTGCCATTTTGAACCCAAATTCCGCCATTTTGAACCAAATTCCGTCATTTTTTACAGAAATCCTACAATTTTGACCCAAATTCCACCATTTTGACCAAATCCTCCATTTTTTACCCAAATTCTGCCACTTTTTAACCAAATTCTGCAATTGGACCCAAATTCCGCCATTTTAACCCAAATTCCGCCATTTTGAATCCAAATTCGACCATTTTGAACCAAATTCTGCCATTTTGAAAAAAATTCCGCCATTTTTACCTAAATTCCGCCACTTTTTAACCAAATTCTGCCATTTGGACCCAAATTCCCCCATTTTTTATCCAAATTACGCCATTTTTTACCCAATTTTTGCCATTTTGAACCCAAATTTCCCATTTTGAACCCAATTTTTCCCATTTTTACCAAAATTCTGCCATTTTGACCCAAAATCCACCATTTTGGACCAAAATTCTGCCATTTTGGACCAAATTCCACCATTTTGACCCAAATTCCAATATTTTGGACTGAAATTTTGGCATTTTGAACAAAATTTTGCAATTTTTACCCAAATTCTGCCATTTTTACCAAAAGTCCGGCATTTTGAACCAAATTCTGTCATTTTTGACCCAATTCTTTTATTTTGAACCCAAATTCTGCCATTTTGAATCAAAATCCGCCATTTTTTACCGAAATTCTGCAATTTTGGACCAAATTCTGCCATTTTTACCCAAATTCCGCCATTTTATACCCAAATTCCGCCATTTTGAACAAAATTCTACCATTTAGAACCAAATTCCACCAATTTGAACCAAATTCCACCATTTTTAACCCAAATTCCGCCACTTTTAAACCAAATTCTGCCATTTGGACCCAAATTCCGCCACTTTTTACCCAAATTCTGCTATTTTGAACCCAAATTCCCCATTTTGAAGTCAATTTTCCCCGTTTTAACCAAAATTCCGCCATTTTTACCTAAATTCTGCCATTTTTACCCAAATTTCGCCATTTTGGACCAAATTCCACAATTTTGGACCCAAATTCCGCCATTTTTTACCCAAATTCTGCCATTTTTTACCCAAATTCCCCATTTTGGACCCAATTTCAGCCATTTTGACCCAAATTCTGCCATTTTGGCCCAAATTCCTCCATTTTTAAGCAAATTCTTCCATTTGGACCCAAATTTCGCCATTTTAACCCAAATTCCCCATTTTGAAGTCAATTTTCCCCATTTTTACCAAAATTCCACCATTTTTACCTAAATTCCACCATTTTACCCAAATTCCGCCATTTTTTACCCAAATTCCCCCATTTTTTACCCAAATTCCGCCATTTTGAACCCAATTTTTACCATTTCCCCCCCAAACTTTAAGCCCCGCCCCCTCTGACCTGCTGCTTCCTCCGGCCAATCAGAACGCGGCGGGCGCGGTCCGGCTGCCCCTCCCCCTCCAGCCACGCCCACGCGGCTTCGGCCAATGAGAACGGCCCGAGGGAGGCTCCGCCCCCTTTGGGGTCAGGCTCCGCCCCCTGGAGCTCCTTGAGGACCCCCCCGAGGCGGCCCCGGAAGTGCCGGATTTGGGATTCGGGGTCGGAATGTTCCGGAAGGGCGGAAAAGGGGGCGGGGCCGAGAGATTCCGGGGGGAGGCCCTGGGATTCGGCGACCTGGGGGGGAAAAGGGAGAAAATTCCGGAAAAAATTACGAAAATCTGTGAAAATTGAGACAAAAATTCACAAATTTAAAGAAATTCACCAAAAAAATCCCAAATTAAGCGAAAATCCCACAAAAAATCCCAAATTTTACCCAAGTTCTTAAAAAAATCACCAAAAGAACCCAAGTTTCCTCAAAATTCCCCCAAAATCCTCAACTTCAGCAAAAAAACATCAAAAATCCCAAAAAAACCCAAAACCACAAAAAACACAAAAAACCCCCAAAACTCCCCCAAAAATCCCCAAATTTTCCCACAAATTTTCCCCCCAAAACTTTGAAATTTGGCAATATTTCTTCCAAAAATCCCAAAAAAATCCCCAAAAATTCCTCAAATCCCTCCCACTATCCCCAAAATCTGCCAAAAATTCAGAAATTCCCAAAATTTCCCAAAAAATCCCCAAAAAAAATCCCTCAAAATATTCCAAATAATAAAAAAAAAAGTCCCAAAAAATCCCCTAAAAATTCCCCTAAATTCCCAAAAATTCTCGCAAAAATAGTTCCCCAAAAAGTCCCTAATAAATCCTAAAAAATCCCAAAAAAAATTCCCCAAAATTCCAAAAAATTCCCCCAAATCCCTCAGAAATTCCCATAAAATCCCCAAATAACCTCCTAAAAATCCCAAAAAATCGTCGAAAAAAACCGTAAAATTTATCCCAAAATCCCCACAAAAAACCTTAAAGATCTTCCCCAAAAAAATTCCAAAAAATCCTCCAAAATCCACAAAAAAAAACCCCAAAAATTCCAAAAATTCCCCAAAAAAATCCCCAAAATCCCCCAAAAATTACCCCAAATTCCCCCGAAAAATCCCCTAAACTCCTAAAAAAATTCCCAAAAAATACCCAAAAATACCCGAATTTTCCCAACATTTCTAATTTTTCCCCCAAAAATCCCCAAATTTCTTAAATTTTCCAAAAAATTCCCCAGATTTTCCCAACATTTTCCCAAAAATCCCCAAAATTCCCAAATTTTCCCACAAATTATCCCACAAAAATCTCCAAACTCGATGAATTTTTTCCCAAAATCTTTAGATTTCCCCAAAAATCTCTCAAAAATCCCCAAAACCCCCCCAAATTTTCCCCAAAATTCCTGAATTTTTCTTTCAATCCTCAAATTTTCCCAAATTTCCCCAAAATCCCCAAATTTCCCCACAAAAATCTCCAAACTCGATCAATTTTTTCCCCAAAATCATCAATTTTTCCCAAAAATTTCTCAAAAAATCCCTCCAAATTTTCCCAAAATCCCCCAAATTTTTCCTCCAACCCCCAAAAATCCCCAAATTTCCCCAAAATTTCCCCAAAATCCCCAAATTTTCCCACAGATTATCCCACAAAAATCTCCGAACTCGATGAATTTTTTCCTAAAAATTGTGAATTTTTACCCGAAAATCTCTCAAAAAATCCCCAAAATCCCCCAAGATTTTTCCCAAAATTCCCGAATTTTTCTTTCAATCTCTAAAAATCCCTAAATTTCCCCAAAATCCCAAATTTTCCCAAAATTTGTCCCACAAAAATCTCCAAACTCGACGAATTTTTTCCCAAAAATCTTTAATTTCCCCCCAAAAATCTCTCAAAAAATCCCCAAAATCCCCCCAGATTTTTCTTAAAATTCCTGAATTTTTCTTTGAATCCCCAAATTTTCCCGAAATTTCCCCAAAATTCCCAAATTTTCCCACAAATTATCCCACAAAAAAAATCTCCAAACTCGATGAATTTTTTCCCAAAAATCTTTAATTTTTCCTAAAAATTTCCCAAAAAATCCCCAAAACCCTTTAGATTTTTCCCAAAATTCCCAAATTTTTCATTCAATCCCCAAATTTTCCCAAAATTTCCCCAAAATTCCCAAATTTTCCCACCAAAAATCTCCAAACTCGACGAATTTTTTCCCAAAAATCTTTAATTTTCCCCCAAAAATCTCTCAAAAAATCCCCAAAATCCCCCCAGATTTTTCCCAAAATTTTTGAATTTTTCTTTCAATCCCCAAATTTTCCCAAAATTTCCCCAAAATTCCCAAATTTTCCCACAAAAATCTCCAAACTCGATGAATTTTTTCCCAAAAATCTTTAAATTTTCCCAAAATTTCTCAAAAAATCCCCAAAATTTTTCTCAAAATTGCCAAATTTTTATTTCAATCCCCAAATTTTCCCAAAATTATCCCAAAATTTCCCAAAATTCCCAAAATTTCCGCTCACCCTGACCAGCTCCACCAGGCGCCGCCCGTCCTCCATCAACTTCCGCTGCCGCAAAGCATCACGGGAGGGGGCGTGGCCTGACCCGGAAGTGACGTCATCACCTCCCCATTTCAAATTCTCCGCCCCGAAAGTTAAATTTTCCAAACCGGAAGTAAGATTTTCCAAACCGGAAGTGGGGTTTTCCAAACCGGAAGTGGAATTTTCCGAACAGGAAGTGGCGTTCTCCGAACAGGAAGTGGTGGGAAAACTACCGGGAGTGGGCGTGGCCTGGGCGGAAGTGACGTCACCGCACATCTGGCAGGAAGGGGCGGGGCCTCGGTTCAGGAAGGTGCAGCGGGGGCAGGGCCAAGGCTGGGAGGGGGCGGGGCTGGGCTGGGAGACAAAATGGAGGCGAAAAATCCCAAATTTTTATCCAAAAAATTCCCAAATTTTCACTCGAAAATTCCCAAATTTTCACCCCAAAATATTCCAAAATTTTCTCAAAAAAAATCAAAAATTTTCCCTCAAAATTCCAATTTTTTCCCTCCTCTAAATTCACAATTTTCTCCCAAAATTTCCCATTTTTAACTCAAATATTCCCAAATTATTCCCAAATTTTTCTCTCAAAAAATTCTAATTTTTAGACCCCAAAATTCCCATTTTTTACCCACAAAATTCCCATTTTTACCCACAAAATTCCCATTTCCCCCCCTCAAAATTCCCAATTTTCTTCCAAAATTCCCATTTTTAACTCAAAAATTTTCAAAATATCCTTAAATTTTTTCCCTCAAAAAATTCCAATTTTTCCCTCAAAAAAATTCCCATTTTTAGCAACCAAAATTGCCATTTTTGGTCCGCAAAATTCCCATTTTTTACCCACAAAATTCCCCGTTTTCCCCCCAAAAATTTAAATTTTTCCTTTAAAAACTGCAATTTTTTCTTTAAAAGTCTCCAGTTTTTACCCAAATATTTAAATTTTTCCCCCACAAAATTTCTAATTTTATTGCAAAATTTCCCATTTCTAAGTCAAAAATTTTCAAATTATACCCAAATATTTCCCCTTTAAAAAATATAAATTTTTAGCCCCTGAAATTCCCATTTTTGCCTCCCAAAATTCCCATTTTTTACCCATAAAATTCCCATTTTTTACCCACAAAATTCCCCGTTTTCCCCCCAAAAATTTAAATTTTTCCTTAAAAAAGTCCCATTTTCCCCCTCAAAATTCACAATTTTCTTCTAAAATTCCCATTTTTAACTCAAAAATTTTTAAATTATACCCAAATTTTTTCCCTCAAAAAATTCCAATTTTTAGCCCCCGAAATTCCCATTTTTACCCACAAAATTCCCAATTTTCTTCCAAAATTCCCACTTATAAGTCAAAAATTCCCAAAATATCCCCAATTTTTTTCCCTCAAAAAATTCCAATTTTTAGGCCCGAAAATTCCCATTTTTTACGTAAAAATCCCCATTTTTCCCCCAAATTTTCTCAAAATTCCCATTTTCCTAAAAGAAATTCACAAATTTTCCCCCAAAAATTCCTATTCTCCCCAAAAATCCCCATATTTCCCCCCAAAATTCCCAATTTTCCCCCCAAAATTCCCAATTTTCCCCCAATCCCCATTTTCTTAACAGAAATCTCATTTTTTTCCAAATCCCCAATTTTTCCCCCAAATCCACATTTCCCCCCAAAAAATTTCAAATTTCTGCTAAAAATTCCCATTTTCCCTCTGAAAATTCCCATTTTTTACCCAAAAAAATTCAAATTTTTTTTCCAAAAAATCCCTTTTTTTTCCCCTAAAATCCCGATTTTTCCCCAAAAAATCTCCATTTTTCCCCCAAATTCCAGATTTTTTTTCAAAATTCCCATTTTCCCTGAAAAAATTCACACATTTTCCCCAAAAATTCCTATTTTCCCTCAAATTTCAAAATTTTCATTCCAAAATTCCCACTTTTCCCCAAAATCCCTATTTTCCTAAAAAAAATCTCATTTTTTTCCCAATTCCCCATTTTTGCCCCAAAAAATTCCCAATTTTTCCCCATAATCCCCATTTCCCCAAACTTCCCATTTTTCCCAAAAACAAATTTCAAATTTCTGCTAAAAATTCCCATTTTCCCTCCAATATTTCCCATTTTTTACCCAAAAAAATTCAAATTTTTTTCAAAAAAATCCCTTTTTTTCCCTCTAAAATCCCAATTTTTCCCCCAAAAATCCCCATTTTTTCCCTAAATTCCAGATTTTTTCTCAAAATTTCCATTTTCCCCGAAAAATTTTACAAATTTCCCCAAAAATCCCCATTTCCCCCTCAAAATTCCAATTTTCCTCCCAGAATTCCGAATTTCACCCCCCAAAATCCCCAATTTTCCCAAAAATTCCCATTTTCTCAAAAAAATCTCATTTTTTTCCCCAAATCCCTAATTTTTCCCCCAAAATATCCAAATTTTCCCCCATAATCCCCATTTTTCCCAAAAATCCCCATTTTCCCCAAAACAAATTTCAAATTTCTGCTAAAAATTCCCATTTTCCCTCCAATATTTCCCATTTTTTACCAAAAAAAATTCAAATTTTTCTTCAAAAAAATCCCTTTTTTTCCCCCTAAAATCCCAATTTTTGCCCCAAAAAATCCCCATTTTTTCCCCAAATTCCAGATTTATTCTCAAAATTCCCATTTTCCCTGAAAAAATTCACGAATTTCCCCAAAAATCCCCATTTCTCCCCCAAAATTCCCAATTTTCCCCCTCAAAATTCCCAATTTTCCCCCCAAAATTCCCGTATTTCCCCCAAATCCCCATTTTCTTAAAAGAAATCTCATTTTTTCCCAAATCCCCATTTTTTCCCCCAAATCCCCATTTTCCCAAAAATCCCCATTTTTCCCCAATAGAAATTTAAAATTTCTTCTAAAAATTCCCATTTTCCCTCCAAAAACTCCCATTTTTTACCCAAAAAAATTCAAATTTTTTGGAAAAAAATCCCTTTTTTTCCCCCCTAAAATCCCGAATTTTTCTCCAAAAATCCCCATTTTTTCCCCAAAAATACCCATTTTCCCCAAATTCCATATTTTTTCTCAAAAATCCCATTTTCCCCGAAAAAAATCACAAACTTTCCAAAAAATCCCCATTTCCCCCCCAAAATCCCCATTTCCCCCCAAAATTCCGAATTTTCCCCAAAATCCCCATTTTCTTAAAAGAAATCTCATTTTTTTCCCAAATCCCCATTTTTGCCCCAAAAATTCCAAATTTTCCCCCCAAATTCCCATTTTCCCCAAAATCCCCATTTTTCCCAAAAACAAATTTCAAATTTCTACTAAAAATTCCCATTTTCCCTCCAAATTTTCCCATTTTTTACCCAAAAAAATTCAATTTTTTTTTCAAAAAAATCCCTTTTTTTCCCCCTAAAATCCAAATTTTTCCCCTAAAAATCCCATTTTTTTACCGTAAATTTTTTTCTTTTTTTTAAATTTTTGGGGTTTTTTTCCAAAAATTTAATTTTTGCCCAAAATTTTAATTTTTATCCCCGAATTTTCCCCGGTACCTGCAAGTTGGGCGCCAGGTGCAGCAGAGCACGGCCGGGGACGGTTTGTCCCCAAAATCCCCATTTTCCCCCCAAAATTCCATGTTTTACCAAAATTCCAGGTTTTTCTAAAAATTCCCATTTTCCCACAAAATTTCTATTTTATGAGTAAAAAAATCGAAATTTTTTCTTTAAAAAATCCCCATTTTTCTCCACCAAAAACCCCCATTTTTTACCTAAAAATCCCATTTTTTCCCAAAATCCGTTTTTTTTCCCCCAAATTACAGGTTTTCCCTCAAAATTCCAATTTTCCCCCTAAAATTCCAATATTTCCCCCCAAAATTCCCAATTTCCCCCTCAAAATTCCCAAATTTCCCCAAAATCCCCATTTTCTTAAAAGAAATCTCATTTTTCTCCCAAATCTCTAATTTTTCCCCAAAAATATCTAAATTTTCCCCCAAATCCCCATTTTTCCCCAAAATCCCCATTTTCCCAAAAAGAAATTTCAAATTTCTGCTAAAAATTCATTTTCCCTCCGAAAACTCCCATTTTTTACCCAAAAAAAATTCAAATTTTTTTCCAAAAAAATCCCTTTTTTCCCTTTAAAATCCCAATTTTTCCCCTACAAATCCCATTTTTTTTACCTTAAATTTTTTTCTTTTTTTTTAAATTTTGGGGTTTTTTTCCAAAAATTTAATTTTTGCCCAAAATTTTCATTTTTAGCCCCAAATTTACCTGTGGGCTGGGCGCCAGTCGGGGGCGCTCGCAGGCGCGGCAGAGCACGGCCGGGGTCGGGTTCCTCAGGGTGCAGCTGCGGCAGGTCCAGCCCTCGTCGTCTGAAAAACCCAAAATTCACTTTTTTTAACCCAAAATTCACTTTGCCCAAAATCCCCATTTTTTTCACCAAAAAAAGCCCATTTTTCCCAGAAAAAATCTCAGTTTTTCCCCTCAAAATTCTATTTTTTCCAAAAAAATTGCTCATTTTTCCCCAAAAAAATTTCATTTTTCCCCCAAAGTTTCCATTTTTCAAAAAAATTCCCATTTTTCTGAAAAAACCCCATTTTTCCCAAAAAAATCCCATTTTTTTCCACAAAAAATTCAATTTTTTCCCAATAAAACCGCTCATTCCCCCCCCAAAAAAACCCTCATTTTTTCCCAAAATTTCCAAATTTTTTAAATCCCATTTTTGCCCAAAAAAATTTCATTTTTTCCTCCTAAAAATTCCCATTTTTCCCCAAAAAATCAAATTTTTTCCCCAAAAAATCCATTTTTTTTCCCAATACAACCTCTCATTTCCCCCCCCAAAAAATCTTATTTCCCCCAAAAATTTCCATTTTTCCCAAAAAAATTCCAATTTTTTTCCCCCAAAGTGCAATTTTTTTCCAATAAAACCCCCCATTTTCCCCCAAAAAAGTCTCATTTTCCCCCACAATTTCCGTTTTTTTTTAAATTCCAATTTTTTTATCCAAAAAATGCGTATTTTTCCTTAAACCTCTATTTTTTCCACAAAAAATCCATTTTTTTCCAATAAGACCCCTCATTTTCCCCCCCCCAAGGAATCTCATTTTCCCCAAAAATTTCCATTTTTCCCAAAAAAATCCCATTTTTTTCCAAAAAATCCCATTTTCCCCCAAAAATCCCATTTTTGCCCCCGTCGTCTGAAAAACCCAAAATTCACTTTTTTTAACCCATAATTCACTTTGCCCAAAATCTCCATTTTTTTCCTCCAAAAAATCCCATTTTTCCCCCCAAAAAAATCCCTTTTTTTCCCAAAAAAATCCCTTTTTTTTTGCCAAAAAACTCCTTTTTTTTTTAATAAAATCACTCATTTCCCCCCCCAAAAAATCTCATTTTCCCCCAAAATTTCCATTTTTTTTAAAAATCCCATTTTTGCCCCCAAAAAATTTCAATTTTTGCCACCCAAAATTTCCATTTTTTAAAAAAAAATTCTAATTTTTTTCTCCAAAACATTTTCTTCTTTTGCCTGAAAATTTCCATTTTTACACCAAAAAAATCTGATTTTTTTCCCCCAAAACTCCATTTTTTTTCCAATCAAACCGCTCATTTTCCCACCCAAAAAGATCCCATTTTCCCCCAAAAAACCCAATTTTTTCCCCAAAAAATCCCATTTTTACCCCCCAAAAAAATTCCAATTTTTTCCCCCCAAATTCCCTTTTATTCCAATAAAATCCCTCATTTTCCCCATTTCAATTTTTTTTTTTAATTCCAACTTTTTTCCTCCAAAAATTTCATTTTTTTCCAAAAACTGCCCATTTTTCCCCAAAAAATTCTATTTTTAACCCCAAAAACTCTAATTTTTTCCAATAAAACCCCTCATTTTTCTCCCAAAAAAATGTTTCCACCAAAATTTTCATTTTGAAAAAAAAATTCCAATATTTTTCCCAAAAAAATTCAATTTTTTTTCTGCCAAAAAATCCCATTTTTACCCCCAAAAAATCCAAATTTTTCCCAAAAAAACCTCTCAAATTTCCCAAAAAAAATCTTATTTTTCCCCAAAAATTTCCATTTTTAACCCCAAAAAAATCCAATTTCCCCCCAAAATTCCCAAATTTTCCCAAATTTCCCCCAAATTTTCCCAAATTTCCCCAAATTTTCCCCAAAATTCCCCAATTTCCCCTACCGGCCGTGTGCATTTGGGGCAGCGCATCCGAAACCAGCGACGCCTGGGGAGAGAAACCAGTATAAACCAGTATGGACCAGTATGGACCAGTATAAACCAGTATGGACCAGTATAAACCAGTATGGACCAGTATAAACCAGTATGGACCAGTATGGACCAGTATGGACCAGTATGGACCAGTATAAACCAGTATAAACCAGTATAAACCAGTATAGACCAGTATGGACCAGTATGGACCAGTATGGACCAGTATAAACCAGTATAAACCAGTATAAACCAGTATAAACCAGTATGGACCAGTATAAACCAGTAAAAACCAGTAAAAACCAGTACAAACCAGTCTCACCTCATCCTCTCCCAGTAAGATCTCGGTGAAGAAATGGGGGTTGGGGTGCTGGTTCTGGTGGGGGAGAGAAAAACCAGTTCAAACCAGTCAAAACCAGTATAAACCAGTATAAACCAGTATAAACCAGTAAAAACCAGTATAAACCAGTAAAAACCAGTATAAACCAGTATAAAAAATCCCCATTTTCCCCATTTTTACCCATTTTTAACCCTTTAACCCCCTCTAAACACCCCCAAACCCCCTCCCAGTTCATCCCAGTCCCCTCCCAGTCCAAACCAGTAACCCCAACCCCCTCCCAGTACAAACCAGTATAAAGCAGTATAAACCAGTATAAACCAGTATAAAAATCCCCATTTTCCCCATTTTTTCCTAATTTTTAACCCTTTAACTCCCTCCAACCATCCCCAAATCCCCTCCCAGTTCATCCCAGTCCCCTCCCAGTTCCATCCCAGTATAAACCAGTAACCCCAAACCCATTCCCAGTACAAACCAGTACAAACCAGTAAGAGCCGGTCCAGCTCGGCGCGCAGCACCAGGACGTCGGCGGTGACGGCCGCCACCAGCGGGGGGAGGGGCCCGTGGGGGGGGGAGGGAAGCTCAGCCCCTCCCCCGACTCCTCCGTGTACCCCAAAAGCTTCAGCACCTCCCGGCCGCCCTGTGGGGGGTACTGGTTTATACTGGTTTGTACTGGTTTGTACTGGTTTGGGCTGGGAGGGGATTTGGGGTTACTGGTTTGTACTGGGAGGGAACTGGGAGGGACTGGGAGGGGCTTTGGGGGTGGTGGGAGGGAGTTAAAGGGTTAAAAATGGGGAAAAAATGGGGAAAATGGCGGGTTTTTTATACTGGTTTATACTGGTTTGTACTGGTTTATACTGGTTTGGGGTTTGGGGTTACTGGTTTGGACTGGTTTATACTGGGAGGGACTGGGAGGGGGTTTGGGGGTGGTGGGAGGGAGTTAAAGGGTTAAAAATGGGGAAAAAATGAGGGGAAAATGGGAAAAATTGGGATTTTTTATACTGGTTTGTACTGGTTTATACTGGTTTGGGACTGGGGGTTACTGGTTTGTACTGGGACGGGGTTTGGGGTTACTGGTTTATACTGGGAGGGGACTGGGAGGGACTGGGAGGGGGTTTGGGGGTGCTGGGAGGGAGTTAAAGAGTTAAAAATGGGATAAAATGGGGGAAAATGGGGAAAATTGGGATTTTTTATACTGGTTTGTACTGGTTTTATACTGGTTTGTACTGGTTTGTACTGGTTTGGGGTTACTGGTTTGTACTGGTTTGTACTGGTTTGGGGTTACTGGTTTGTACTGGGAGGGACTGGCATGGACTGGGAGGGAGAAAAATGTAAACTTTGGGGGCAAAAAAATCGAAGTTTTGGGCAAGAAACTGAATTTTTTGGGCAAAAAAAATCAATTTTTTTTGGGTAAAAAAGTGGATTTTTTTGGTCAATAAAAAAGGGATTTTTTTGGGGGAAAAAAAAGCTATTTCGGGAAAAAATGGAATTTTGGGGGGAAGAAAATAGAATTTTGGGGGGAAAAAAATGGAATTTTTATTTCTATAGGAAAATGTTTTGTGTTCTCTGGAGGATTTATGGGGCAAAAAATGCAAATTTTGGGTGCAAAAAAATCGCATTTTTGGCCAAAAAACGCCGATTTTTTGGGGGAAAAAAGTGGATTTTTTTGGGGAAAAAACCGAATTTTTTGGGGGGAAAAAGGGATTTTTGGGATTTCCAGAGAAATTGGGTGATTTTTGGGAAGGAAAAATTGATATTTTGAAGGAAAAATGGTAATTTTTGGTAAAAAACTTATTTTCTTTTGTGTAAAAAATCAGACATTTAAGGAAAAAAAATTAAATTTTTTTGTAAATATTTTGATTTTTCTAGCAAAATTTTCGGCAGATTTACGGGACAAAAAAGCACAAATATTGCATGGGGGAAAAAATCGAGTTTTGGCCTAAAAAAAAATTCGAATTTTTGTCAAAATAAATCAAATTTTTGGCCTAAAAAAATCTAATATTTGGCCAAAAAAAATTCCAATTTTTGGTTTAAAAAAATCGAATTTTTGTCCAAAAAAAATCCAATTTTTGGCCTAAAAAAATCCAATTTTTGGCCTAAAAAATATTGAATTTTTGGCCTAAAAAATCCAATTTTTGGCCTAAAAAAATCGAATTTTTGGCCAAAAAAAAATCTAATTCTTGGCCAAAAAAAATCGAATTTTTGGCCTAAAAAAATCTGATTTTTGGCAGAAAAAAATCAAATTTTTGGCCGAAAAAAATCGAATTTTTGGCCGAAAAAATCGAATTTTTGGCCAAAAAATGCCGATTTTTTGGGGGAAAAAAGCGGATTTTTTGGGGAAAAAACCGAATTTTTTTTGGGGAAAAAGGGATTTTTGGGATTTCCAGAGAAATCAGGTGATTTTTGGAAAGGAAAAATTGATTTTTTGTAAGAAAAATGGGGATTTTTGGTAAAAAACAATTTTTTTTGTATAAAAATCAGAGATTTTAGGAAAAAAAATTTCTAATTTTTTTGTAAATATTTTTATTTTTCTAGGAAAATTTTCGGCGGATTTACGAGGCAAAAAACCACAAATATTTCGTGGGGAAAAAAATCGAGTTTTGGCCTAAAAAAAATTCGAATTTTTGTCCAAAAAAATCAAATTTTTGGCCTAAAAAAATCTAATATTTGGCCAAAAAAAATTCCAATTTTTGGCTTAAAAAAATCCAATTTTTGGCCCTAAAAAACTCGAATTTTTGGCCTAAAAAAAAATTCCAATTTTTGGCCTAGAAAAATCAAATTTTGGGCCAAAAAAAAAAATCGAATTTTTGGCTAAAAAAATCCAGTTTCTGGCTAAAAAAATCCAATTTTTGGCCAAAAAAAATCAAATTTTTGGCCTAAAAAAATCCAATATTTGGCCCAAAAAAATCGAATTTTTTGCCTAAAAAAATAGAATTTTTGGCCAAAAAAAATCGAATTTTTGGCCAAAAAAATCAAATTTTTGGCCTAAAAAAATCGAATTTTTGGCCTAAGAAAAATCAAATTTTTGGCCAAAAAAAAAAATCGAATTTTTGGCCTAAAAAAATCTAATTTTTGGCCTAAAAAAATCAAATTTTTGGCGAAAAAGAGCGAATTTTTGGCCAAAAAAATCTAATTTTTGGCCTTAAAAATCAAATTTTTGGCCTAAAAAAATCAAATTTTTGGCCCAAAAAATCATATTTTTGACCAAAAAACGCCAATTTTTTTGGGAAAAAAGCGGATTTTTTTGGGAAAAAGCGGATTTTTTTGGGAATGTGGGGAAATGTGGGAATTTTTGGGGAATTCCGACCTGGATGGCCCCGACGGTGGATCTGAAGACGGGATTGCCGAACCGGACCCCCCTCCAGTGCCGGGGCGGGCGCGGGCTCAGAAGGTTCCGACCGTATTTTTCCAGAATGTTCAGCGCCGTCCTCAGCTGCTCCAATCCGTGGGGGACCCCCTCGGGATTCTGGGAAAAGAGAAAATTCCGGAATTTTAGCCAATCCCAAAAAAAATTTGGGGAAAATCGGTGAAAATTTGGCGAAAATCCGTCGAAAAATGGCAAAAATATGTCGAAAAATGTGATTAAAAAGGGGAAAAAACACCAAAAAGGTGGAAAGTTTAAAGGGATTTTGGAGAAAATTTGGGGGTTTTGAAGGAATTTTGGGAAATTTTGGGGATTTTGGGAATTTTAAAAGGTTTTTGGTGGAAAAATACAGGAAAATTTGGTTAAAAATGGGTTAAAATGGGGAAAAATCTCGGAAGGGTTTTGGGGTTTTTCGGAGTTTTGGAAAGAGAAAAATGGCAAAAAATAAATTACAAAAAAATTCTAATTTTAGAGTTATAAAAAAATGTAGAATTACTAAAAAAAATATACGTGAAATTTCTAAAGAATTACTAAAAAATTGCCAAAAAAAATCAATAAAATCGCCCCCAAAAAATCCCCAAAAAAACTAAAAAAATCCCACAAAAATTCTCAAAAAATCCTAAAATCTTCCCAAAAAAATCACAAAAAATCTCAGAAAAAAACCTACAGAATCCCCAAAAAATTCCCATAAAAACGCAGAAAAAATACAACCCCCAAAAAAATGTGATAAAAAGCCCAAAAATGTGAAAAAAAATCCCTAAAATTCCCACAAAAATCCGTTAAAAGTTCCATGAAAACGCCCTAAAAATGCTCAAAAAAATCCTGTAAAATCCGAAAAAAATTCCCAAAAAATCCCCAAAAAAATCCTAAAATATCTCTAAAAGAATCCCCAAAAATTCCTAAATAATCCCCCAAAATTCCCAAAAACTGCTCAAAAATCTACCAAAAAATTCCTAAAAAATCTGAAAAAAATCCCCCAAAAAATCCTGAAAAATCGCATAAAAATCAAAAAAAACCAAAACAATCCTATAAAAATCCTAAGAAATCCTTAAAAAATCCCCAAAAAATCCTTAAAAAATCCCAAAAAATCCCTTAAAATTCCTCAAAAAAATTCTTAGAAATTCCAAAAAAAATCCCTAAAAATACCACAAAAATCCCTTAAAAATTAAAAAAAAGCCTATAAAAATCCTAAAAAATCGTCCAAAAATTGCCCAAAAAATCCCATAAAACCCCTAAAAATCCTCAAACGTCCCCCCAAAATCCCATAAAAATGTCACCAAAAAATCCCTAAAAAATCCCCAAAAAATTCCTAAAAAATCCCCCAAAATTCCTAAAAATCCCTAAAAAAACCCAGAAAATATTCCTAAAAAAACTCCAAAAATTCAGAAAAAAATCCCTAAAAAATCCCAAAAAATCCTCAAAAAATCCCTAGGAATTCCCAAAAAATCCTCAAAAAAATCCCTAAAAAATCCCCAAAAATTCAGAAAAAAATCCCCAAAAAATCCTCAATAATTCCCAAAAAATCCCAAAAAATGCCCCAAAAAATCCCTAAAAAACCCCCAAACAAATCCCCTAAAAACTCTCGTTGAAACCCCATTGCATTCCCCCGGAAGTTCCGCCGGAAGTGGCCCAAGATGGCGGCGCGCACTCACCCAGGCCAGGTTGTCCCGGAGCAGCTTCCGGCCCGGCAGCAGCCGCAGTTTCCGGTCGGGCGGAAGCGGAAGTCGCAGCAGCGGCTCCAGCTCGGGCGGTTCCGGTTGGGCCGGGGAGCGAATCAGCGCCCCCTGCAGGGCCGCGCGCAGGGCCTGACGGGAAACGAAATTTGGGGTGAAAAACGGGGATTTTGGGCAAAAATAAAAAAAATGTAATTTTTAGGTGATTTTTAGAGGGGTTTTGGGGAGATTTTTGGGGGGTTTTGGGGTTTTTTTGGGAGATTTTTGAGTGATTTTTAGGGATTTTTTGGGTGGTTTTGAGAGTATTTTATAGGATTTTTTGGGTGATTTTTGGGTGATTTTTTACGGATTTTATGGGATTTTAAAGGTAATTTTTGGGGATTTTTTTGGGTTATTTTTTGGGGATTCTGGGGTTTTTAAGGAATTTTATGGGATTTTAAAGGTAATTTTTGGGATTTTTTAGGGTTATTTAAATGGATTTTTGGGGATATTTTGGGGATTTTAATGGAAGTTTTTGAGGATTTTTGGGTAATTTTATGGGATTTTTATGGGGTTTTTTGGCGATTTTTTTAGGTGTTTTTCAGGGATTTTTTGGTGATTTTTTAGGAATTTTATTGGATTTTTTTGGGTGGTTATTAAGGATTTTTAAATGGATTTTTTGAGGTGATTTTTGGGTGATTTTGGGGTTTTTTTAGGCAGTTTTGGGACTCCGGCTAGGCCGGGCCGCGCGCAGGGCCTGATGGGAAAGAAATTTGGGGTGAAAAACGGGGATTTTGGGGAAAAAAAAAATGGAATTTTAGGTGATTTTTAGAGGGATTTTTGAGGGGTTTTTGGGGATTTTTGGGGGGGTTTTATGGGATTTTTGGAGGATTTTTGAGTGATTTTTAGGGATTTTTTGGGTGATTTTGAGAGTATTTTATGGGAATTTTTTGGGGGATTTTTGGTTGATTTTGGTGATTTTTTAATGGATTTTATGGGATTTTAAAGGTAATTTTTGGGGATTTTTTAAGAATTTTAATGTGCGTTTTTGAGGATTTTTGGGGATTTTTATGGGATTTTAAGGTGGTTTTTGGGGATTTTTATTGGGTTTTTTAGGTGTTTTTCAGGGATTTTTATGGGATTTTTTGGTGATTTTTTAGGAATTTTATGGGCTTTTTTGGGGGGTTTTTGGGGATTTTTATACGGTTATTTAAATGGATTTTTGGGGATTTTTAAATGGATTTTTTGGGTGATTTTTGGGCGATTTTGGCGATTTTCTTATGGATTTTATGGGATTTTAAAGGTAATTTTGGGGATTTTTAAGGGTTATTTAAATGGATTTTTTGGGATTTTTGGGGAATTTTAATGGGAGTTTTTGAGGATTTTGGGGTAATTTTATGGGAATTTGCAGTGATTTTTGGGGATTTTTAGTTGTTTTTTTTTGGAATTTTTAATGGTATTTTTTAATTGATTTTATGGGATTTTAAGATGATTTTTATTGGATTTTTAAGAGGTTTTTTGGGGATTTTTTGGTGATTTTTAGGAATTTTATGGCATTTTTGATGTGATTTAGAATTATTTTTTGTGATTTTTTTGGGGTGATTTTTGGGGATTTTTTTGAGATTTCTTAGAGATTTTTGGATGATTTTTAGGTGTTTTTGGTGAATTTTTTAATGGATTTTTGGGGAATTTATGGGCTTTTCTGGATAATTTTTGGATATTTTAATGGGATTTTTTAGGAATTTTACGGGATTTTTGGGAGACTTTTTTGGGGATTTTTCGGGATTTTTAAGGAATTTTATGGGATTTTTGGGGGGGGGGAATTTTAGGACAAATTTGAGGGATATGAGGGAGAAATTTGGGGGATTTGGGAGAGAAATTTGGGGAATTTGAGGAAATTTGGGATAAATTTAGGAGAATTTTGGTGATTTGAAGGAGAAATTTGGGAAATTTGGGGGATTTGAGGGAGAAATTTGGGGGATTTGGGACCAATTTTGGGGATTTTGAGGAAGAAATTTGAGAAATTTGGGAGATTTTGGGTAATTTTGGGGGAAATTCAAAAATTTTGGGGGTTTGAGGGGGAAATTTGGGGAAAATTTGGGGGATTTGAGGGACAATTTGGGGGAATTTGGAGAAAATTCAGGAATTTTGGATGATTTGGGGGAAAATTTGGAGGATTTTGGAAAATTTGGATAAATTTAGGAGAATTTTGGGAATTTGAAGGAGAAATTTGGGAAACTTGGGGGATTTGAGGGAGAAAATTGGGAAATTTGGGGGATTTGAGTAAAAATTTGGGGCATTTGGGAAAATTTAGGATAAATTTGGAAGATTTGGAGGATTTGGGACCAATTTTGGGGATTTGAGGAAGAAATTTGAGAAATTTGGGAGATTTTGGGTAATTTTGGGGAAAATTCAAAAATTTTGGGGAATTTGAGGGAGAAATTTGGGGAATTTGGGACAATTTTGGGGAATTTGAAGAGGAATTTAAGGGATTTGGGGATTTGAGGGAGAAATTTGCAGAATTTTTGGAAATTTGGGACACATTTTGGAGACTTTGGGGAATTTGAGGGAGAAATTTGGGAAATTTGGGGAAAATTCAGGAATTTTGGGAGATTTGAAGAAGAAATTTGGGGATTTGGGGAATTTTAGGACAAATTTGAGGGATATTTGGGAGAAATTTGGGGGATTTGGGAAAAATTCAGGAATTTTGGGGAATTTGAGGGAGAAATTTGGGGAATTTGGGACAATTTTGGGGAATTTGAGGAGGAATTTAAGGGATTTTGGGAGATTTGAGGGAGAAATTTGGAAAATTTTTGGAAATTTGGGACAAATTTTGGAGACTTTGGGGAATTTGAGGGAGAAATTTCGGAAATTTGGGGAAAATTCAGGAATTTTGGGAGATTCGAGGAAGAAATTTGGGGATTTGGGGAATTTTAGGACAAATTTGAGGGATATGAGGGAGAAATTTGGGGGATTTGGGGAAAATTCAGGAATTTTGGGGGATTTGGGAAAGAAATTTGGGGACTTTGAGGAAATTTGGGATAAATTAAGGAGATTGTGGGGAATTTGAAGGAGAAATTTGGGAAATTTGGGGGATTTGAGGGAGAAATTTGGTGGATTTGGGAAAATTTAGGACAAATTTGGGAGATTTGGAGGATTTGGGACCAATTTTGGTGATTTGAGGAAGAAATTTGAGAAATTTGGGAGATTTTGGGTAATTCTGGGGGAAATTCAAAATTTATGGGGCATTTGATGGGGAAATTTGGGGAAAATTTGGGGGATTTGAGGGACATTTTTGGGGAATTTTGGGAAAATTTAGGAATTTTGGGGGAAATTTGGAGAATTTTGAGAAAATTGGGACAAATTTGGGCGATTTTAGGGGATTTGAGGGGGAAATTTGGGGAATTTGGGGGAAATTCAGGAATTTTGGGGGAAATTTGGAGAATTTTGGGAACATTGGGACAAATTTGGAAGATTTTGGGAGATTTAAGGGATATTTGAGGGCATTTGAAGGGGTTTTTGGGGAGATTTGAGGGGATTTGTGGGATTTTTTGAGATTTTGGATAGATTTGAGGGGATTTTTGGGGAATTTTTTGGATTTTGGGGGATTTTTGGGATTTTAGGGGGGCTCACCTGCAGAGACCCCAAATCTGTGGTGTCTTTGGGAGGGTCTGCCATCACCTGGGGGCAAAAAAAGAGAAAATTCGGGGAAGATTCTTTCGATTTTTGGGATTTTTTCCCAACTCGATTCATAGAATGCGAAATACAAACCGCGGTTGGAGCCCAAATTCGGGAGAATTTTGGGTGGAATCTCCAGATGAGTTTCAGGGTGCGGCGCCCCTCAACCCCCCCTCGCTTTTGGGAGGATTTTTGGGGTGATTTTTGGGTTTTTTGGGGTTTTTTTAAACCCCTCAAATTTCGTTTTTACCTCAGGGAAGCGGCGGCGGATCCAAAATGGCGGCGCGGCCTGAGGGGGAGAAGTGGGCGTGGCTTAACTTATGTGACGTCATGCCCTTACTTTTTTGCCCTTTCTTAGCATGGCGCTTTGCGCGCTTCACCCCTCATGGCGCATGCGCCAACACAAGCAGCTTTTCTATTGGTGGATTTATTATCCTGAATTCCCGCCTTTCCCCTTTTTGGCCACGCCTTACTGAGGTTTGCCCTTAAGCAAAATGGCGCGGCGCGCTTTTCACAACAGAGCGCATGCGCTAGTTCTCATTGACCAATCAGCTTGCGCGGTTTTGGCGGGCACGCCCCTTCAGCGCTAAGCCCCGCCCTTCTTCTCGCTCCCCTCAGGCCGCCATGATGGCGGCGGCGGCCCCGCGGCTTGGGCCGCTGATTTGCGCCCTGAGGGTTCAGGTGAGCTTAAAAAGCTTTTTTTAATTTTTTTTTTAATTTTTTGGGTTATTTTAGGGGTGGTTATGACGTCAAATGTGTTTTTTTCGTTGCAGAGGTGTCGGGGTCCCGTGTGGGGCTGCGGAGCTTCGGCCGTGAGGGGAGCGGCGACCGGCGCGGGGCAGGTGAGGGGGGGAAAAATTGGGGAAATTTGGGAAAATTTGGAAAAAAATTGGGATTGTGGGGGAAATTTGGGGTGAATTTGGGGGGATTGAGGGAAAATTGGGGTGAATTTGGGGGGATTGAGGGAAATTTGGGGGTTTTGGGGAGAAATTTGAGGGAAAATTGGGGTTTTTGGGGGGAAAATTGGGGGTTTTGGGGGAGATTTGGGGGAAATTTGGAGGGAAATTGGGTGTCTTGGGGGAATTTGAGTTTTTCTGGGGTGAATTTGGGGGGTTTGAGGGAAATTTTGGGGAAATTCGGGGGGTTTGGGGGGAAATTAGGGGGAAATTGGTTTTTTTGGGGAAAATTTGAAGGGTTTGGGGAGAAATTTAGGGAAAATTTGGGGATTTTGGGGAAAATTTGAGGGAAATTTGGGGTATTTTGGGGACAATTTGGGGGAAAATTGGGTTTTTTGGGGGGGAATTTGCTGGTTTTAGGGGAAAATTTGGGGTGAATTTTGGTGGGTTTGGAGGAAATTTGGGGGATTTGGGGGGAAATTTGAGGGAAAATTGGGTTTTTTTGAGCACAATTTGGGGGTTTTGGGGGAAAATTTAGAGTTTTGGGGAAAATTTGGGGTGAATTTGGGGGAGTTGTGGGAAATTTGGGGTTTTTTGGGGAGAAATTGGGGGTTTTGGGGAGAAATTTGAGGGGGATTTGGGGTAAATTTGGAGGGAAATTGGGTGTTTGGGGGAAAATTCGGGTTTTTGGGGTGTTTGGGGGAAATTTTGGGGAAATTTGGGGGTTTGGGGGGGAAATTGGGAGGTTTGGGGGGAAATTAGGGGGAAATTGGGTTTTTTGGGGAAAATTTGAAGGGTTTGGGGAGAAATTTAGGGAAAATTCAGGGGGAATTTGGGGTTTTTGGGGAAAATTTAGAAAAAGTTGGGGGTTTTGGGGGGAAATTTTAGGGAAATTTGGGGTATTTTGGGGGCAATTTGGGGGAAAATCTGGTTTATTGGGGAGAATTTACAAGTTTTGGGGGAAATTTGGGGTGAATTTGGGAGGTTTGGGGGATTTGGGGAGAAAATTTAGGGAAATTTGGGGGGGTTGGAGGGAAATTTGGGGGAAGTTGAGGTTTTTTGGGGGGAATATTGGGGTTTGGGGGGAAATTTGAGGGAAAATGGGGGTTTTTGGAGCACAATTTGGGGGTTTTGGGGGAAAATTTAGAGTTTTGGGGAAAATTTGGGGTGAATTTGGGGGAATTTTAGGGAAAATGGGGGTTTTGGGAGGGAAATTGGGGGTTTTGAGGAGAAATTTGAGGGAAATTTGGGGGATTTGGGGGAAATTCGGGTGTTTTGGGGGGGATTTGGGGGAAGTTTGGAGGAAAATTGGGGGTTTTGGGGGAATTTGGGTATTTTGGGGTGATTTTGGGGGGTTTGAGGTAAATTTTGGGGAAATTTGGGGGGTTTGGGGGGAATTTGGAGGTTGGGGGGAAATTTGGGGGAAATTGGGTTTTTGGGGAAATTTTGAAGGGTTTGGGGGGAAATTTAGGGAAAATTCGGGGGGAATTTGGGGTTTTTGGGGAAAATTGAAAAAAAGTTGGGGATTTTGGGGGCAATTTGGGAAAAATCGGGTTTTGGGGGGGAATTTAAAGGTTTTGGGGGAAAATTTGGAGTGAATTTGGGGGGTTTGGGGGAAATTTGGGGGGTTTGGGGGAAAATTTGAGGGAAAATTGGGGGTTTTGGAGCACAATTTGGGGGTTTTTGGGGAAAATTTTGAGTTTTGGGGGAAATTTGGGGTGAATTTGGTGGAATTTGAGGGAAAATTGGGGGTTTTGGGGAAATTTCAGGGAAAATTGGGGGTTTTGGGGAATATTTAAGGAAAATTTGGGGTTTTTAGAGGGGAGATTTGGGGGTTTGGGGGGATTTGGGGTATTGGGGGGAAATTTGGGGGAATTTGAGATTTTTGGAGGAAAATTGGAGGTTTTGAGGGGAAAATTCAGGTTTTTTGGGGGGAATATTGGGATTTGGAGGGAAATTTGAGGGAAAATTGGGGTTTTTTGGAGCACAATTTGGAGGTTTTAGGGGAAAATTTCGAGTTTTTGGTGGAAATTTGGGGTGAATTTGGTGGAATTTTAGGGAAAATTGGGAGTTTTGGGGAATATTTGAGTGAAATTTGGGGGTTTTGGGGGGAAATTTGAGATTTAGAGGGGAAATTTGGGGGGTTGGGGGGATTTGGGGTTTTTGGGGGAAATTTGGGGAAATTTGAGATTTTTGGGGGAAAATTTGAGGTTTTGGGGGCAAAATTCAGGTTTTTTGAGGGGGAATTTGGGGATTTTGGGGGAAATTCGGGGAAAATTTGAGGAGTTTCGGGGAAAATTGGGGGTTTTGGGGAAATTTGGGGGGTTTGAGGGGGAATTTGGGGGTTTTGGGGGAAATTCAGGGGATTGGGGAGAAATTTGGGGTTTTAGGGGAGAAATTTGAGGGGAATTTGGAGGTTTTTGGGGGAAATTAGGGGTTTTGGGGGGAAATTGAGTTTTTTGGGAGATAATTTGAGATTTTTGGGGTAACTTGAAGGAAATTTGGGGGAAAATTTTTGTTTTTTGGGGAGAAATGTGGGGGAATCTTGGGGGGAAAATTTGTGGTTTTGAGGTGAATTTGGGGGAAAATGGGGTTTTGGGAGGGAAACTTGAAGGAAATTTGGGTGTTTTGGGGGAAATTTGGGGGTAATTCAGGAGAAATTTGGGGGTTGTGGGGAAAATTTGGATGAAATTTTTTTTTTGAGAGGCAATTTGGGGCAAAATTTGGTTTTTTGGGGGGAATTTGGGGGGTTTGGGTCAAATTTTGGTTTTTGGGGTCAAATTTTTGGAGTTTTAGTTAAATTGAGAGAATTTGGGTCAAATTTTGTGTGCTTTTTTTCATAATTTATTTATTTTGAGTTAAATATTGAGGGTTTTGTTTAAATTGAGAACTTTTGGTCAAATATTGATTTTGAAATCAAATTTTCGTTCTAATTTTGGGAGTTTTTAATTCAATTCTTCATTTTTTTTGAGTTGAATTTTGGATCAATTATTGGAACTTTGATAAAATAAATTTTGATTTCAAATTTCATTTTGTGGTTGATTTTTCATCAAATTTTTCATTTTTTTGCTATAAATTTCACAATTTTCTCCTTTTTAACCCCAATTTTTTCCCTCAGCCTCCACCCCCGACCCCTCCAGAAATTCCAGAACCGGCGGAAATTTTGGAAAATTCCCCAAATTTGGGGGAGCCCCGATTGGAGGAACTGGGCCTGGGGGGTTCCAGCCCCGTTGGAATGATCCAGAACCTTCTGGAATTTCTTCACATGGACCTGGGGCTGCCCTGGTGGGGCGCAATCGCCACAGGTGAGCCAAAATTTGGGGAAAATTTCGGGTTTTTTGGGAAAAATTCAGGATTTATGTGAAAAAATCTGGGGTTTTGCAGGAAAATACTGAGATTTTGGAGAGAAATTTGGGATTTTTAAGTGGAAATTTCGGATTTTTAAGGGGAAATTTTAGATTTTTAAGGTGAAATTTTGAATTTTTAAGGGCAATTTTGGTGATTTTTTGATAAATTCAGGATTTATGTGAAAAAATCTGGGGTTTTGCAGGGAAATATTGAGATTTTGGATAGAAATTTTAGAATTTTAAGGGGAAATTTGGGATTTTTAAGGGCAATTTGGGTGATTTTTTGATAAATTCAGGATTTATGTGAAAAAATCCGGGGTTTTGCAGGGAAATATTGAGATTTTGGAGAGAAATTTTAGAATTTTAAGGGGAAAATTTGGATTTTTAAGGGCAATTTGGGTGATTTTGTGATAAATTCAGGATTTCTGTGAAAAAATCTGATGTTTTGCAGGGAAATATTGAGATTTTTGAGAGAAATTTTGGATTTTTAAGGGGAAAATTTTGATTTTTAAGGGCAATTTGGGTGATTTTGTGATAAATTCAGGATTTATGTCAAAAAATCTGGGGTTTTGCAGGGAAATATTAAGATTTTGGAGATAAATTTTGGATTTTTAAGGGGAAAATTTGGATTTTTAAGGGCAGTTTAGGTGATTTTGTGATAAATTCAGGATTTATGTGAAAAAATCTGGGTTTTTTGCAGGGAAATATTGAGATTTTAGTGGGAAATTTTGGATTTTTAAGGGAAAATTTTAGATTTTTAAGGGCAATTTGGGTGATTTTGTGATAAATTCAGGATTTATGTAAAAAAATCCGTTTTTGCAGGGAAATATTGAGATTTTGGAGAGAAATTTTGGATTTTTAAGGTCAATTTGGGTGATTTTGTGATAAATTCAGGATTTATGTGAAAAAATCTGGGGTTTTGCAGGGAAATATTGAGATTTTGGAGAGAAATTTTAGATTTTTAAGTGGAAATTTTGGATTTTTAAGGGCAATTTAGGTGATTTTGTAATAAATTCAGGATTTATGTGAAAAAATCCGGTTTTTTGCAGGGAAATATTGAGATTTTAGAGGGAAATTTTGGATTTTTAAGGTGAAATTTTGGATTTTTAAGGGCAATTTGGATAATTTTGTGATTAATTCAGGATTTATGTGAAAAAATCTGGGGTTTTTCAGGGTAAATTGGGAGTTTTGGAGGAAAATTTGGGAGTTTTTGGGTTTTCAGGGAAAAACTTGTGATTTTTCAGGGAAAATTTTGGATTATTTTAGAAGTTTTGAAGAAAATTTGAAGTTTTATGGGGGTAATTGGGATTTTGGGGGGTTATGGAGGAAAATTTGGAATTTTTGGAGAAAATTTCAGATTTTATGGATAAAATTGTGATTTTGGGGAAAAATTTGGGGTTTTAAGGAAAATTTTGGGGGTTTTAAGGGGAATTTCGGAGTTTCAGGACAAAAAATTGTGATTTTTCAGGGAAAATTTTTGCTTTTTGGGTTGAAATTTGCAGTTTTAGGTGAAAAATTTATGATTTTTCGGGGAAAAATTTGGATTTTTGGGGTGAATTTTGGTTGTTTTGGTGGAAATTCGAGAGTTCTGGGGATGTTTTAACTGAATATTTGGAATTTTCGGGGAAATTTTTCGATTTTAAGGGGAAATTTAGGATTTTTTTGGTGAAATTTGGGGTTTTGGGGAAAATTTGAAAGTTTGGAGGGAAATTGGGGTTTGTTTGGGAGGAAAATTTGAGATTTTATGGAGAAATTTGGGGGGTTTTGGCAAAAATTTGGGTTTTGGGGTAAAATTTGGGGATTTGGGGGACAATTGGGATTTTGGGGGGAAAATTTGGAATTTTAAGCGGAAATTTTGGATTTTTTGAGTAAAATTTGAGGTTTCAGATGAAAAATTTTTGATTTTTCAAGGGAAACTTTGGATTTTTAGGGTGAAATTTGGCGGTTTTGGGAAAATTTGAGATTTTATGGGGGAAAATTGAGATTTTGGAGGGAAATTTTGGATTTTAGGGGAAGATTTGTGGTTTTTGGAAGGGAATTTGGGGTTTTGAAGGGAAAAATTGGGAATTAAGGAGGAAAATTGGGATTTCTTAGGGGAAAAATTGGGAATTGAGGAGGAAATTTGGGATTTTGTGGGGGAAATTTGGGGTTTTGGGAAAAAATTCATTTTTTTTGTGGGAAATTTGGATATTTGGGTAGAGAAATTGGATTTTAGGGAGGGAATTCGGCATTTTGGGGGAAATTTGGGGGTGTTTTCACAGAATATTTGGAATTTTGGGGGAAAATTTTGGATTTTAATAAAAAAAGTTTAGATTTTGGGGGAAAATTTGTGGCTTTTGAAGGGAATTGGGGTTTTGAGTGGGAAAATTGGAATTTAGTGTGGGAATTTGAGCATTTTGGGGAAAATTTATGAGTTTTGGGGGAAATTTGGATATTTGGGTGGAAATATTGGGATTTAGCGAGGGAATTTGAGCATTTTGGGGGAAAATTTGTGAGTTTTGGGGGAAATTTGGATTTTTGGGTGGAAATATTGGGATTTAGCGAGGGAATTTGAGCATTTTGGGGGAAAATTTGTGAGTTTTGGGGAAAATTTGGATATTTGGGTGGAAATATTGGGATTTAGGGAGTAATTTGAGGGAAAATTGGGGAAATTTGAGGGAAGATTGGGAAACTTTCTTTAAAATTTGGGATTTTAAATAAAAACTTGGAATTTTGGGAAGATTTACAAGAAAAAAGTGTGAATTTGAGGGGAATTAGAGAAGAATTAAGAAATCAAAAAAATGACAATTTTTGGGATAAAACCAAGTTAAAAAATCTGAATTTTACCCTGAAACTCCCACATTTTTTTGCCTAATTCCCTCATTTTTTCACCGATTTTCGCGGGGTTTTTTGCGTTTCACCCCGAATTTTAGGAATTTCGGTAAATTTGGTGTTTTTTTCGTTTTTCAGGCACGGTGGGAGCCCGGATCCTTTTGCTGCCCCTGGTGCTGCGTGGTCAGCGCGAGGCCGCCCGACTCTCCCTGCACCTCCCGCAGCTCCAGCGCCTCTCCCAGCGCGTGGCCGAGGCCCGACGGGGGTCAGACCCCAACCAAGGTGGGCGTGGCCACCAAATTTGGGGCGTTTTGGGTGGATTTTGGGGGTGAGAAGCGAAATTTTGGTGAAAAAAGGTGAAAAAATGGGGTTAAAACGCGCAAAAATAAGGTTAAAATCCATTAAAATTAGATTAAAATGCATAAAAATGGGGTTAAGGGGGCGTGGCTTAAAAATTTGGGCGTGGCCTAAAATTTGTGAGATTTTGGGGGTGGGAGGTGAAATTTGGGTGAAAAAAGGTGAAAAAATGGGGTTAAAATACAAAAAAATGGGATTAAAATGCATAAAAATGGGGCTAAGGGGGCGTGGCTTAAGGGTTGTGGGCGTGGCCTAAAATTTGTGAGATTTTGGGGGTTGGAGGCGAAATTTGGGTGAAAAAAGGTGAAAAAATGGGGTTAAAATTAGTAAAAATGGGATTAAAATCAATAAGAATGGAATTAACGGGGTGTGGCTTAAGGGTTGTGGGCGTGGCCTAAAATTTGTGAGATTTTGGGGCTGGGAGGTGAAATTTGGGTGAAAAAAAGTGGAAAAATGTGGTTAAAATACAAAAAAATGGGATTAAAATCAATAAAAATGGAATTAAAATCAATAAAAATGGAATTAAGGGGGCGTGGCTTAAGGGTTGTGGGCGTGGCCTAAAATTTGTGAGATTTTGGGGGTGGGAGGTGAAATTTGGGTGAAAAAAGGTGAAAAAATGGGGTTAAAATACAAAAAAATGAGATTAAAATGCATTAAAATGGGATTAAGGGGGCGTGGCTTAAGGGTTGTGGGCGTGGCTTAAAATTTTGGGACACTTTGGAAGGTGGGAGGTGAAATTTGAGTTAAAAAGGTGAAAAAATGGGGTTAAAATTAGTAAAAATTGGATTAAAATCAATAAAAATGGAATTAAGGGGGCGTGGCTTAAGGGTTGTGGGCGTGGCCTAAAATTTTGGGACATTTTGGAAGGTGGGAGGTGAATTTTGAGTTAAAAAGGTGAAAAAATGGGGTTAAAATTAATAAAAATGGGACTAAAACCCATAAAAATGGGATTAAGGGGGCGTGGCTTAAGGGTTGTGGGCGTGGCCTAAAATTTGTGAGATTTTGGGGGTGGGAGGCAAAATTTGGGTGAAAAAAGTGAAAAAATGTGGTTAAAATACAAAAAAATGGGATTAAAATCGATAAAAATGGAGTTAAGGGGCGTGGCTTGTGGGTTGTGGGCGTGGCCTAAAAGTGGAGGGTGGGAGGCGAAATTTGGGTAAAAAAAGGTAAAAAAATGGGGTTAAAATTAATAAAAATGGGATTAAGATAAATAAAAATAGGTCTAAGGGGGCGTGGCTTCAGGGTTGTGGGCGTGGCCTAAAATTTGTGAGATTTTGGGGGTGGGAGGCGAAATTTGGGTAAAAAAAGGTGGAAAAATGTGGTTAAAATACAAAAAAATGGGATTAAAATGAATAAAAATGGGGCTAAGGGGGCGTGGCTTAAGGGTTGTGGGCGTGGCCTAAAATTTGTGAGATTTTGGGGGTGGGAGGCGAAATTTGGGTGAAAAAAGTGGAAAAAATGGGGTTTAAATTAATAAAAAAATTATTAAAATCAATAAAAATGGAATTAAGGGGGCGTGGCTTAAGGGTTGTGGGCGTGGCTTAAAAGTGGAGGGTGGGAGACGAAATTTGGGTTAAAAAAGGTGAAAAAATTGGGTTAAAATTAATAAAAATTGGATAAAAATCCATTAAAATGGGGCTAAGGGGGTGTGGCTTATTTATTTGTGGGCGTGGTCCCAAAATTTAAAGCATGGTGGCAAAATTTGAATTAAAAATTATTTTAAATTTGGTTAAAAACACCTAAATATGAAAATTAGGGGGCGTGGCTTAAGGATCGGGGCGTGGCCTTTAAAATTTTTAATTTGGGGGGGTGGGACACAAAATTTTCATGGAAAAGGTAAAAAATGGCGCAAAAATGGACAAATATGGAATAAAGGGGCGTGGCTTGGTGTTGGTGGGCGTGGCTTATTCTTAAAGCGCCCTCGCCCCATTTTAATTTTTGCCATTTTTTTCCCCAATTTTTTTGTTTTTTCACCCAAATTTTTTGGGTGTGGCTTGTTTGAGGTGGGCGTGGCTTGTTCACACTTCCGGGACTGACCACGCCCCTTTTTAACCCCTCAGTGGCCGTGGCTTACTCGGAACTTGTTTCGTACCAGCGGCGCCACGACGTCAATCCCCTCCGAGGATTCCTGGTTCCCCTCGTGCAGGTTTGGAAACACCAAAAATTCGGGAAAAACCCAAAAAAAATTCCCAAAATATTTTGGGAAAAGGTCCCGGATACGTCTGGAAAAATTTGGGGGATTTGGGGTAAAATTTGTGTGAAAATTTGGTGAAAAAATGGAAAATTTTCATCAAAATTTAGTGCAAAATTTTAAAAATTCGTAAAAAAAAAATTTTCTAGATTTTTTCCTGATTTTTGGGTACATTTGAGAATTTCTGAAGTGTAAAAAAATCCCCTTAAAATTTACCTGAAAATAAAACAAAAATATTTAAAAATATGGAAAATTTTTAATAAGATCAGGAAAATGTCAGAAAAAATCTGAAAAAAAAATGGGAAATAATCATAAAAAATCAGATAAAATATCCTTAAAAAAATAAGAGAAAAATCAGAATAAAATAGTGAAAAAAATAAGAAAATATTGGAAAAAATCGTGAAAAAATCGTAAAAATCGTAAAAAATAAGAAAAAAATCTGTAAAAAAATCACTAGAATTCCGAGATTATTTCTTAATTATTTTCTATTTAATTGGTAATTATTTTATTATCAATAATTAGGTTTGCTTGAAAAATCTGAAAAACTACTAAAAAAATTAGGAAAAATTTCAAAAAAAAGGAGAAAAAAATCGGAAAAAAATTCCATAATAAATCCTTAAATTCCCTTTACTATTTCTGAATTAATTCCTTTTTAATTCTTAATTAATTCTTAATTAATCTCACTTAAAAATCAGGAAAAAAATCCCTAAAAAATTGTGAAAAAATCAGAAAAAAATCAGAAAAAAACCCCAAAAAATCAGAAAAAAATTCCGTAAAAAATCCCAAACTCTCCCTAATTAATTCCTAATTATTTCCTAATTAATAGCTATTAATTAATGCCTAATTGGGGTCGCAGACCCCTCTGTTTGTGTCGTTTTTCCTGGCGCTGCAGGGGATGGCGGCGGCGCCGGTGCCGGGGCTGCTCCGGGGAGGACTGGGCTGGTTCCCGGATTTGGCCGCTCCCGACCCCTTCTACGTCCTGCCCGTGCTGGTCACAGCCTCCACCTGGCTCGTGCTCGAGGTTTGGGGTGAAAAAAGGCGATTTTGGGCAAAAAAAATGGGATTTGGGGAAAAAAAATGGAGTTTTTAGGTGAAAAAATGGAGATTTTAGAGCAAAAAACGTGGATTTTAGAGCAAAAAATGCAGATTTTAGAGCAAAAAATTGAATTTTTTAAGGGATAAAATGGAAAATTTTTAAGGCAAAAATGAGGATTTTTGGGGAAATGGGATTTGGGAAAAAAATGGGAATTTTGGGTGGAAAAATGGAGATTTTAGGTGAAAAAATGGAGTTTTTAGTAGGAAAAATGGGGTTTTAGGGGGAAACCGAGACTTGTGTCCTGCCTGTGCTGGTCACAGCCTCCACCTGGCTCGTGCTCAAGGTTTGGGGTGAAAAAAGGCGATTTTGGGCAAAAAAAATGGGATTTGGGGAAAAAAAATTGAGTTTTTAGGTGAAAAAATGAGGATTTTAGGTTTAAAAATGGAGATTTTAGAGCAAAAAATTGAATTTTTTAAGGAATAAAATGGAAAATTTTTAAGGCAAAATAAGGATTTTGGGGAAAATGGGATTTGGGGGAAAAATGGGAATTTTGAGTGAAAAAATGGAGATTTTAGATGAAAAATGGGGATTTTCAGGGGAAATGGGGATTTCTGTCCTACCCGTGCTGGTCACAGCCTCCACCTGGCTCGTGCTCGAGGTTTGGGGTGAAAAAAGGCGATTTTGGGCAAAAAAAAAGGGATTTGGGAAAAAAAAAATGGAGTTTTTAGGTGAAAAAATGAGGATTTTAGGTGAAAAAATGGAGATTTTAGAGCAAAAAATGAGGATTTTGGAGCAAAAAATAGAATTTTTTAAGGGATAATTTGGAAAATTTTTAAGGCAAAAATGAGGATTTTTGGGAAAATGGGATTTGGGGAAAAAATGGGACTTTTGAGTGAAAAAATTGAATTTTTAGGAGGAAAAATGGTGATTTTCAGGGGAAATGGGGACTTGTGTCCTGCCCGTGCTGGTCACAGCCTCCACCTGGCTCGTGCTTGAGGCTTGGGGTGAAAAAAGGCGATTTTGGGCAAAAAAAATGGGATTTGGGAAAAAAAAAATTGAGTTTTTAGGTGAAATAATGAAGATTTTAGGAGAAAAAATGGGGATTTTAGAGCAAAAAATGCGGGTTTTAGAGCAAAAAATTGAATTTTTCAAGGGATAAAATGGAAAATTTTTAAGGCAAAAATAAGGATTTTTGGGGAAATGGGATTTGGGAAAAAAATGGGATTTTGGGTGGAAAAATGGAGATTTTAGGTGAAAAAATGGAGATTTTAGAGCAAAAAATGCGGATTTTAGAGCAAAAAATTGAATTTTTAAGGGATAAAATGGAAAATTTTTAAGGCAAAATAAGTTTTTTTTGGGAAAATGGGATTTTGGAAAAAAATTGAATTTTGGGTGGAAAAATGGAGATTTTAGGTTAAAAAGTGGAGTTTTTAGAGGAAAAATGGGGTTTTAGGGGGAAATGGGGACTTGTGTCCTGCCCGTGCTGGTCACAGCCTCCACCTGGCTCGTGCTCGAGGTTTGGGGTGAAAAAAGGCGATTTTGGGGAAAAAAAATGGGATTTGGGGAAAAAAAAATGGAGTTTTTAGGTGAAAAAATGAAGATTTTAGAGCAAAAAATGTGGATTTTAGAGCAAAAAATTGAATTTTTCGAGGGATAAAATGGAAAAATTTTAAGGCAAAATGAGGATTTTTGGGAAAAATGGGATTTGGAAAAAAAATGGGAATTTTGGGTGGAAAAATGGAGATTTTAGGTTAAAAAGTGGAGTTTTTAGAGGAAAAATGGGGTTTTAGGGGGAAATGGGGATTTCTGTCCTACCCGTGCTGGTCACAGCCTCCACCTGGCTCGTGCTCGAGGTTTGGGGTGAAAAAAGGCGATTTTGGGCAAAAAAAATGGGATTTGGGAAAAAAAAAATGGAGTTTTTAGGTGAAAAAATGAGGATTTTAGGTGAAAAAATGGAGATTTTAGAGCAAAAAATTGAATTTTTTAAGGGATAAAATGGAAAATTTTTAAGGCAAAATAAGGATTTTATGGGAAAATGGGATTTGGAAAAAAAATGGGAATTTTGGGTGGAAAAATGGAGGTTTTAGGTGAAAAAATGGAGTTTTTAGAGCAAAAAATGCGGATTTTAGAGCAAAAAATTGAATTTTTAGGGGAAAAAATGGAAAATTTTTAAGGCAAAAATGAGGATTTTTGGGAAAATGGGATTTCGCAAAAAAATGGGAATTTTGGGTGGAAAAATGGAGATTTTAGGTGAAAAAAAGAGGATTTTAGGTGAAAAAATGGAGATTTTAGAGCAAAAAATGCGGAATTTTAGAGCAAAAAATTGAATTTTTCAAGGGATAAAATGGAAAATTTTTAAGGCAAAAATGAGGATTTTTGGGGAAAATGGGATTTGGGAAAAAAATGGGACTTTTGAGTGAAAAATTTGAGTTTTTAGGAGAAAAAATAGAGATTTTAGAGCAAAAAATGCAGATTTTAGAGCAGAAAATTGAATTTTTAAGGGATAAAATGGAAAATTTTTAAGGCAAACTTAAAATTTTTGGGGAAAATGGGATTTGGGGAAAAAATGGGAATTTTGGGTGGAAAAATGGAGATTTTAGGTGAAAAAGTGGAGTTTTTAGGAGGAAAAATTGGGTTTTAGGGGGAAACGGGGATTTCTGTCCTACCCGTGCTGGTCACAGCCTCCACATGGCTCGTGCTCGAGGTTTGGGGTGAAAAAAGGCGATTTTGGGCAAAAAAAAATGGGATTTGGGGAAAAAAAAATTGAGTTTTTAGGTGAAAAAATAAGGATTTTAGGTGAAAAAATGGAGATTTTAGAGCAAAAAATGCGGATTTTAGAGCAAAAATTTGAATTTTTATGGGAAAAATGGAAAATTTTTAAGGTAAAAATGTTGATTTTTTGGGAAAATGGGATTTTGGGAAAAAAAAATGGGAATTTTGGGTGGAAAAATGGAGATTTTAGGTGAAAAATTGGAGTTTTTAGGAGGAAAAATGGTGATTTTCAGGGGAAATGTGGATTTCTGTCCTGCCCGTGCTCGTCACAGCCTCCACCTGGCTCGTGCTCGAGGTTTGGGGTGAAAAAAGGCGATTTTGGGCAAAAAAAATGGGATTTGGGAAAAAAAAAATGGAGTTTTTAGGTGAAAAATGAGGATTTTAGGTGAAAAAATGGAGATTTTAGAGCAAAAAATGTGGATTTTAGATCAAAAAATTGAATTTTTTAAGGGATAAAATAGAAAATTTTTAAGGCAAAAAAGGATTTTTTGGGAAAATAAGATTTAAGAAAAAAATGGGAATTTTGGGTGGAAAAATGGAGATTTTAGGTGAAAAAGTGGAGTTTTTAGGAGGAAAAATGGGAATTTTCAGGAGAAATGGGGATTTCTGTCCTGCCCGTGCTGGTCACAGCCTCCACCTGGCTCGTGCTCGAGGTTTGGGGTGAAAAAAGGCGATTTTGGGCAAAAAAAAAGGGATTTGGGAAAAAAAAAATGGAGTTTTTAGGTGAAAAAATCAGGATTTTAGGTGAAAAAATGGAGATTTTAGAGCAAAAAATGTGGGTTTTAGAGAAAAAACTTGAATTTTTTAAGGGATAAAATAAAAAATTTTTAAGGCAAAAATGAGGATTTTTGGGGAAAATGGGATTTGGAAAAAAAAATGGGAATTTTGGGTGAAAAATTGGAGTTTTTAGGAGGAAAAATGGGGATTTTCAGAGGAAATTGGGATTTCTGTCCTGCCCGTGCTGGTCACAGCCTCCACCTGGCTCGTGCTCGAGGTTTGGGGTGAAAAAAGGCGATTTTGGGCAAAAAAAATGGGATTTGGGGAAAAAAAAATTGAGTTTTTAGGTGAAAAAATGGAGATTTTAGAGCAAAAAATGGAGATTTTAGAGCAAAAAATGCAGATTTTAGACAAAAAAATTGAATTTTTAGGGGAAAAAATGGAAAATTTTTAAGGCAAAATAAGGATTTTATTGGATTTGGGAAAAAAATGGAATTTTGGGTGGAAAAATGGAGATTTTAGGAGGAAAAATGGGGTTTTAGGGGGAAACAGGGACTTTTGTCCTGCCCGTGCTGGTCACAGCCTCCACATGGCTCGTGCTCGAGGTTTGGGGTGAAAAAAGGCGATTTTGGGCAAAAAAAAATGGGATTTGGGGAAAAAAAAATTGAGTTTTTAGGTGAAAAAATAAGGATTTTAGGTGAAAAAATGGAGATTTTAGAGCAAAAAATGCGGATTTTAGAGCAAAAATTTGAATTTTTATGGGAAAAATGGAAAATTTTTAAGGTAAAAATGTTGATTTTTTGGGAAAATGGGATTTTGGGAAAAAAAAAATGGGAATTTTGGGTGGAAAAATGGAGATTTTAGGTGAAAAATTGGAGTTTTTAGGAGGAAAAATGGTGATTTTCAGGGGAAATGTGGATTTCTGTCCTGCCCGTGCTCGTCACAGCCTCCACCTGGCTCGTGCTCGAGGTTTGGGGTGAAAAAAGGCGATTTTGGGCAAAAAAAATGGGATTTGGGAAAAAAAAAATGGAGTTTTTAGGTGAAAAATGAGGATTTTAGGTGAAAAAATGGAGATTTTAGAGCAAAAAATGTGGATTTTAGATCAAAAAATTGAATTTTTTAAGGGATAAAATAGAAAATTTTTAAGGCAAAAAAGGATTTTTTGGGAAAATAAGATTTAAGAAAAAAATGGGAATTTTGGGTGGAAAAATGGAGATTTTAGGTGAAAAAGTGGAGTTTTTAGGAGGAAAAATGGGAATTTTCAGGAGAAATGGGGATTTCTGTCCTGCCCGTGCTGGTCACAGCCTCCACCTGGCTCGTGCTCGAGGTTTGGGGTGAAAAAAGGCGATTTTGGGCAAAAAAAAAGGGATTTGGGAAAAAAAAAATGGAGTTTTTAGGTGAAAAAATCAGGATTTTAGGTGAAAAAATGGAGATTTTAGAGCAAAAAATGTGGGTTTTAGAGAAAAAACTTGAATTTTTTAAGGGATAAAATAAAAAATTTTTAAGGCAAAAATGAGGATTTTTGGGGAAAATGGGATTTGGAAAAAAAAATGGGAATTTTGGGTGAAAAATTGGAGTTTTTAGGAGGAAAAATGGGGATTTTCAGAGGAAATTGGGATTTCTGTCCTGCCCGTGCTGGTCACAGCCTCCACCTGGCTCGTGCTCGAGGTTTGGGGTGAAAAAAGGCGATTTTGGGCAAAAAAAATGGGATTTGGGGAAAAAAAAATTGAGTTTTTAGGTGAAAAAATGGAGATTTTAGAGCAAAAAATGGAGATTTTAGAGCAAAAAATGCAGATTTTAGACAAAAAAATTGAATTTTTAGGGGAAAAAATGGAAAATTTTTAAGGCAAAATAAGGATTTTATTGGATTTGGGAAAAAAATGGAATTTTGGGTGGAAAAATGGAGATTTTAGGAGGAAAAATGGGGTTTTAGGGGGAAACAGGGACTTTTGTCCTGCCCGTGCTGGTCACAGCCTCCACCTGGCTCGTGCTCGAGGTTTGGGGTGAAAAAAGGCGATTTTGGGCAAAAAAAATGGGATTTGGGAAAAAAAAAATGGAGTTTTTAGGTGAAAAAATGAGGATTTTAGGTGAAAAAATGAAGATTTTAGAGCAAAAAACGTGGATTTTAGAGAAAAAAATTGAATTTTTTAAGGGATAAAATGGAAAATTTTTAAGGCAAAATGAGGATTTTTGGGGAAAATGGGATTTGGGAAAAAAATGGGAATTTTGGGTGGAAAATTTGAGTTTTTAGGAGGAAAAATGAAGATTTTAGAGCAAAAAATGCGGATTTTAGAGAAAAAAATTGAATTTTTTAAGGGATAAAATGGAAAATTTTTAAGCCAAAAAAAGGATTTTTGGGAAAATGGGATTTGGGAAAAAATGGGAATTTTGGATGGAAAAATGGAGTTTTTAGGTGAAAAAATGAGGATTTTAGGTGAAAAAATGGAGATTTTAGCGCAAAAAATGCGGATTTTAGAGCAAAAAATTGAATTTTTTTAGGGATAATTTAGAAAATTTTTAAGGCAAAAATGAGGATTTTTAGGGAAAATGGGATTTGGGGAAAAAATGGGAATTTTGGGTGGAAAAATGGAGATTTTAGGTGAAAAAGTGGAGTTTTTAGGAGGAAAAATGGGGATTTTCAGGGAAATGGGGATTTCTGTCCTGCCCGTTCTGGTCACAGCCTCCACCTGGCTCGTGCTCGAGGTTTGGGGTGAAAAAAGGCGATTTTGGGAAAAAAAATGGGATTTGGGGAAAAAAAAAATGGAGTTTTTAGGTGAAAAAATGAGGATTTTAGGTGAAAAAATGGAGATTTTAGAGTAAAAAATGCGGATTTTAGAGCAAAAATTTAAATTTTTATGGGAAAAGTGGAAAATTTTTAAGGTAAAAATGTGGATTTTTTGGGAAAATGGGATTTAGAAAAAAAATGGGAATTTTGAGTGAAAAAATGAGATTTTTCGAGGGTTAATTGGAATTTTTAGGGAGTAAATTAAATTTTGGGGCGGGAAATCTGGGATTTCTCGCAAAAAAAATCGGAATTTTTTGGGGGAAATTTTTCAATTTTGGAGGAAATGGTAAATTTATGGTAGAAAAGGGAATTCTGGTGTAATTTTGTGGACAATTTTGAAATTTTGAGGTAAGATTTTAGAATTTTGGTTAAAAAGTCATAATTTTAAAGATTTTAGGAGGAAATAAAGTTCTAAAAGGGGAAAACGGGAGTTTTTAAGAAAAAAACTGGTAATTTTTCAGGAAAACTGGAATTTTGTGGAGAAAAATTTTTTGGGAGAAATCAGAATTTTCAGGGGAAAATAGGATTTTGAGGGGAAACATCGGGATTTTTGGGCAAAAAATTGGAATTTCTGTGGGAAATTTTGCATTTTTAGTGGGAATTTTGGGATATTAAAGAAAATTTTAGTGGAATTTTATGGAACCAAAAAATTAAAATTTCAGGGTGTAAAAATCCTAAATTTTGGTCAGAAATTCTTCATTTTGAGGGTTTTAAAGGGAATTAAATGAGAAAAGGGCGGGGAATCTTTATGCAAATGAGGGGCGTGGCTAATTTAAATATTTCTCTTGGCAGCTGGGGGCGGAGACGGGCGTGTCGGCGCCGGGGGCGGGGCCTGTCCGTCAAATCCTGAGGCTCCTCCCACTTTTCTTCCTCCCCTTCATCCTCCACTTCCCCACCGTGAGTTGGGGGCGGGGCTTGTTCGAAAGTGGGCGTGGTCACTTTAAAAAGGGGCGTGGTCACTTTAAAAACAGGCGTGGTCACTTTAAAAAGGGGCGTGGTCACTTTGAAAAAGGGTGTGGTCACTTTAAAAATGGGCGTGGTCACTTTAAGAAGGGGTGTGGTCACTTTAAGAAGCGGCGTGGTCACTTTAAGAAGGGGCGTGGCCATTAAAAAGGGGTGTTGTCACTTTAAGAAAGTGGGAGTGGCCAATTTAAATGGCTCCTGCCTTCATTTCCTGTGGCCACGCCCCTTCATTTCCATATTTCCCGCCAAAATTTGTGAGTTTTTACCAATCCAGAAAATTCCTCCCCAAATGTTATGGAATTTCCTAAAAAAATTGGATTTTTTCCCACAAAGTCTTGAAAATGTCCCAAAATAATTTCAGAATTTCCTAAAGAAATTCAGAGTTTTGACTGAAATTCTGGAATTTTTCCCTTAAAATTTGGGAATTTCCTCAAAAGTTTTAGGATTTTTTTTTTGTAAGGCCTTAAAATTTCCTGAAAAATTTTGGAAATCTGTAAAAATTCAAAATTTTTTTCCAAATTTGGGAAATTTTAAAAAAAGGAATATGGAAAATTTCTCTGAAATTCCATCAAATTTTGGGGATATCAAAAAAAAAATTTAGTATTTTGCCCAAAATTCCAAATTTCCAAAAACAACCAGGAATTTTTTTCTAAAATCCTGGAATTTATGTTAAAAATTTTGGAAATTCCCATTAAAATCTTCCCATTTGAAGATTTTACCAAAATCTTCAAATTTCTTAAAAATTTAAACACTTTTAAGAAAAATTCAGGAATTTTGTTTCGAGATCTTGAAATTTAAAAAAAAAAATTTGGCAATTTCCCCTAAAAAAAAATGTGAATTTCAAAAAAAATAATTCAGGAATTTTTCACTAAAATCCTAACATTTTCAGAAAACAATTTGGAACTTTCACAAAAAGTCAATATTTCTTAAAATCTTGAAAATTTCAAAAAAATCAGGGATTTAACTTCAAGTTTTTAAATAATCAAATGAATTTTGGGAATTTCCAAAAAAACCAGTAATTTTTTTCCGAAATCCGTGAATTTATGTTAAAAACTTTGGAAATTTCCCATTAAAAATCTCCAATTTTTACCAAAATCTTCGAATTTCTTACAAATTTATACATTTTTTACAAAAATTCAAGCATTTTGTTTCAAGAACTTGAAATTCACAATTTTTTTAGGGGAAATTGCCTATTTTTATTTTTTTTTTAAATTTCAAGATCTTGAAATTTCAAAAATTGTGAATTTAAAGAAAAAAAATCTGGAAACTTCCCCAAAATCCTAAAATTTCCAAAAAGGAAATTGCGAATTTCAAAAAAAATCCCAAAAAATCCCCAAAATTTGTGATTTTTACCACTTTTTTCACCACTTCCTGGTTGCCCGCGAAGCTCCGCCCACTCTTGGCGCTTCCCGGCCTCTGATTGGCTGCTCCTTGCAGGCGGTCTTCACCTATTGGCTGACGTCGAACAGCTTCAGCCTATTGCAGACGGGGCTGCTGCGAGTCCCCGCCCTTCGCGCCAAATTGGGCGTGGCCCCGCCCCCTTTGGTTAAAGCCACGCCCACTTCCGGACAAGCCACGCCCACTCCCGATCAGGCCACGCCCACCCTGGGTCAGGCCACGCCCCCCGGCCACGCCCCCCAAGCCAAGACCGGGATCCTGCAGCAGCTGAGGAAAGGTGAGGGAGGGAAATTTGGGGATTTTTGGGGGGAAATTTGGGGATTTTGGGAAAATTTTGGGGATTTTGGGAAATTTAGGGTGGGGATTGAGGATTTTGGGAGGAGTTTGGGGGTTTTTGGGGGGAAATTTGGGGGTTTTTGGGGGAAATTTGGGGGGATATTCTGGAATTTTGAGGGGATTTTGGAGGGATTTTTGAAGGGATTTTTGAGGGGAACTTTGGGGATTTGGGGGAAAATTTAAGAATTTTCGGGGGATTTTGGGGATTTTTGGGAAAATTTGGAGATTTTGTGGTGGAATTAAGCAATTTTGGCAAAATTTTGGGGGAATTTTGGGTGATTTTGGGGGGATTTTTTTGAATTTTAAGGGGTTTAGGTGGATTTTGGGGTTTTTTTGGGGGGTGATTTTATGGAGTTTTAGGGGGATTTTTGGGGAGATTTTCTGGAATTTTGGGTAATTTGGGGTGAATTTAGGGAAAAATTTTGGGTGGTTTTTGGGAATTGAGGGTTTTGGGGGTTTTTATGGAATTTTGGGGGTTTAGGAATTTTGGGGGGATTTTGGAGAGATTTTCAGAAAAAATTGGGAATTTTGGATAATGTGAGGGGGGTTTAGAGAAATTTGAGGAAAATTCAGGGATTTTGGGGGTTTTGGGAAATTTTGGGAAAATTGAGGGATTTTGGGGGATTTGGGAAGTTTTGTGGGGGAATTGAGGGATTTTGGGGAGTTTTGGGGGATTTTATGAAATTTTGAGGGGTTTTGGGTTGTTTTGTGAGATTTAGGGAGAATTTGGAAGAAATTTGGGAAATTTGGGGGAATTTGGGAAATTTACTGGGGTAATTGTGGAATTTTGGGGGAAATTTGGGGGAATTTTAGAAATTTTTTGGAAAAATGGGGAATTTTTCGGGGATTTTATGGCATTTTGAGAGTTTTGGGGGGATTTTTGGGGAGATTTTGGAAATATTTCAGGAATTTTTGAGAATTATATGATATTTTGGGGAATTCCGGGGATTTTGGGGAGAAATTGAGACATTTTGGGGGAAATTTGGGAGAGTTTTGGGAGTTTTTGGGGGGAATTGTGAAATTTTGGGGGAATTTTATGGAATTTTATGGGTTTTTGGAGGGATTTTTTGGGAGATTTTGGGGAAATTTGGGGAATTTTGAGCAATGGTAATTTTAGAGAAATTTGGGGATTTTTTGGGTGAATTTTGGGGGCATTCTGTGGAATTTTGGAGGTTTTTGGGGAGATTTTGGGAAAATTGAGGAATTTCTGGGAATTTTAGAGGAATTTTGGGTGAAATTGGAGGAATTTTGGGGGGATTTTATGGAATTTTGGGAGTTTTTAGAGGGATTTTGGGGAGATTTTTTGGGAGATTTTGGGGAAATTTGGGGAATTTAGAGACTTGGGGGAAATTGGGGATTTTGGGGCAACTTTTGGGAGAAAATTCAGGAAATTTGGAGCATTTCGGTGAAATTTGGGAATTTGGGGGAAATTTTGGAGGTTTTGGAGGAAATCTGATAAATTTGGTGAATTTTGGGAAATTATTCATTATTTTGAAAATTTTGGGAAAAGTTTTGGGGATTTTGGGGTTTTTACGGGAAAAGTGAGGAATTTTGGAGAAAATTTGGGGGAATTTTGAGAGTTTTTGGGGGGATTTTATGGAATTTTAGGGGATTTTTAGAGAAAATTTGGGGGGATTTTTGGGGAAATCTTGGGGATTTGGGGGATTTTTGGGAAAATTAGGGAATTTTGGGAAATGATTAATGATTTTAAAAATTTTGGGAAAACTTTTGGGGATTTTTGGGGATTTTATGGGGAAATTGAGGAATTTTGAGAAAATTTGGGGGAATTTTGAGAGTTTTTGGGGGGATTTTATGGAATTTTAGGGGATTTTTAGAGAAAATTTGGGAGGATTTTTGGGGAAATCTTGGGGATTTGGGGGATTTTTGGGAAAATTTTGGGAAAATTCGGGATTTTTGGGAAATGATTAATGATTTTAAAAATTTTGGGAAAACTTTTGGGGATTTTGGGGTTTTTACGGGAAAATGGAGGAATTTTAGAGAAAAATTGGGGGAATTTTGAGATTTTTTGGGGGGATTTTTAGAGAAAATTTTGGGGGATTTTCGGGGAAATCTTGGAGATTTGGGAGATTTTTGGGGAAATTTTGGGAAAATTCAGGATTTTGGGGGAATTTGGGGGATTTTTTGGGAAAATTTTGGGGCTTTTTGGGAATTTTCCGAAATTTAAGGGAAAATTGAGGAATTTTTGGGTGGATTTGGGTATTTTTAGTTGGTTTTGGCTATTTTGGGGTGGACTTAGTCAATTTTGGGTGGATTTATGGGTATTTTGGTACCCCCAACCCAATTTTGGGACCCCCTGACCCATTTTTGGGACCCCCCAGAGTGATTTTGGGGTTCCCCTTCCCCAAAATTTCCAGAGTGGCGCGAGGCCCAGGCCACGCACGAGGCCGAGCGGCGCCAGTGGCGCCTCAGGAACCACCTCCAGCTGGCGGCCAAAGGTGACCAAAAACCCCCCAAAAAAACCCTAAAAAAACCCAAAAATCCCTCAGCGACCCCTCCCCAAATTTCAATTTTTTTTATATTTTTCCAGGTCCGCTCCGCCAAACTTTCGCCCAAAACCCCCTAAACCCCCCCAAAACGGCGCCCTCAGAACCCCCAAAAAGACCCTGGAAGGACACGCTGGGCTGAGGGGGGGTGGGGACCACCCCAAAAATAAAAAACGCGCGAAACGAGACCCCAGACTCATTATTTTGGGAGAATTTTGGGTGGGTTTGGGGTATTTTGGCCGCTGGGAGACGCCGTAGCAAAATGGCGGCGTAGAGCAAACAGTGGAGCGTTCTATAAAATGGCGGCGCGCTGGTGGTTTTGCCGTACAAAATGGCGGCGGCGCATGCGCGGTGACGCCGCTTGCTGTACAAAATGGCGGCGGCGCATGCGCGGTGGCGGCGGGCTTGACGTACAAAATGGCGGCCGCCAGGTTGCTGCGCAAAATGGCGGCACGCAGCGGTTTTGCCGTACAACATGGCGGCCGCGCATGCGTAAAGGTGACAATGCGCGGTTTGCCGTACAAAATGGCGGCCGCGCATGCGCAGTGAGCAGAACGGGGATTTGCTGTAAAAAATACACTAAAAAGGGATAAAAAACATTAAAAATTTCATTTAAAACACCCAAAATTTTAGGATTTTTTTGAAAATTGCCCAAAATTGCGGCCGTGAGGGGAAAATAATTCAGTACAAGCGGTGGAGACGCGGTTGTGGGGAGACATAAAAAGAAACCCGAAAATAAATTAAAAAAAAAAAAACAGTTCTAAAAAGGCGTAAAATTTAAAGGAAAGTCGTAAAAAGCCACAAATTAAAAAATAAAAGATGATAAATAGTGTAAAAATAAAGAAATAGCGAAAAATGTCTCAAATTCCACAAAAAGCGATTAAAAAGTCATGAAATGAAAATAAAGCCGAAAAAGGAATCAAATTCAACAAGGTGAAAAAGTCAAAAAATAAATTGAAAAATCCCTAAAAAGTCCCAGATACAAAAAAAAGAAAACCTTAAAAATAATCAAATTGCACAAAAAAGCAATAAAAAGTCTAAAAATTTTTTAAAAAATTTAAAAGTCTAATATTTTAAAAGAATCTCCTATAAAAGCCTCAAAGTGTAGAAAATAAATCCCTTAAAAACCTTCGAATTAAAAAAAAATCCAAAACCTTTAAAAATCCGAAAAAACTAAAAGAAAAAAACGTTTAAAAATCTGAAAATTAACTGGAAAAAATCTTAAAATGTCTAGGAATAAAATTAATTTTTAAAACTGAAGTAAAAAAATGGGTGAAACCCCAAAAATTTAAAATAAAAAATATTTTAAAATCCGGAAAAGCAAAAAAAACAGGTTTTAAATCGTCTCAGCTTTAAAATGGCGGCGCTTCCGCTTCCTTTCCGTACAATATGGCGGCGCCTTGCGACAGTGAGTTTGGTCACAAAATGGCGGCGCTCAGGGTTTTTCCGTACAACATGGCGGCTATTAGGAGAGTAAGCCCAGCGCGCAGCGTGCGTGCTGACGTCACTTCCTGCCGTTCCCAAAATGGCGGCGCGCAGAGTTCTCCGGCTCGGTGCGTCCCGGGGGAGCCCCCGAGAGGGTCCCTGAGGGGTGGGGGAGGGGCAAAAAGGGGTTAAAAAGGAGAAAAGGGAGGTGGGCGTGGCCTAGAGGCGGTGGGCGTGGTTTAACAGCGATTTTTGGGGCGCTAATTGGGGTTTTAATGAAAAGTGGGCGTGGTTTAAGGAGGTGGGCGTGGCTTGCTGACCGATGTTTCCGCCCCTCAGCGGAGCGCCAGGCGAGATCGCTCCGCCCCTTGCCCCGCCCACCGCAGCGGATCGGCCAATGGCGAGAGGCGTGAGTAAAAGGGGCGTGGCTTAGCCAAGGGGGCGTGGTTTGTGTGAGGGGCGTGGCTTGGCGGGGGGATTTGGCGGGAATTTGGGGGGTTTTCCCGCGTTTTTCGCGGGTTTTTCCGCGATTTTTGGGGAAATTTGGGGATTTTTGGGACATTTCCGGTAAAATTTGGGAAATTTGGGGGATTTTTTCAAAATTTGGGGATTTTTCCTAAATTTTTTGCGTTTTTTTACAAAATTTTTGTATTTTTTACCCAAATTTTCGTAATTTTTTTCCCCAAAATTTTTTGTATTTTTTACCCAAAATTTTTGGGTTTTTTTACTCAAATTTTTGTATTTTTTTGCTAAAATTTTGAGTGTTTTTTTTACCCAAATTTTTTGCATTTTTGATGCAAAATTTTGGGGATTTTTTAACCCAAAATTTGAGGGATTTTTTTACCAAATTTTTGGGGTATTTTCCCCAAAATTTTTTAGTTTTTTCCCAAATTTTTGTACATTTTTACTTAAAATTTTGTGGGTTTTTTTTCCTAAAATGTTGGGATTTTACGAAATTTCTGCTGTTTTTTACCCAATATTTTATCTTTTTTTACCCAAAATTTTGGGGGGTTTTCTCCCAAATTTTTATATTTTTTTCCCTAAAATGATGGAGTTTTTTTTCTCAAATTTTTGTATTTTTTCCCCAAATATTTGGGACTTTTTTTCAAAAATTTTGTGGTTTTTTTTCCATGAAAATTTTCAGATTTTTTTTCTCCAAATTTTTGTAATTTTTACCCAAAATTTCGGCTTTTTTCCCAAATTTTTTATTTTGTTATGGAATTTTTTATGGTTTTTTTTCCAATATTTTTAAATATTTTACTCAAAATTTTTATGGTTTTCCACCAAATTTTTGTCATTTTCCCCCAAAAAATTTTGGGGTTTTTTATCCAAAATTTTAGAATTTTTCTTCAAATTTTTGGGTTTTTTTTCCAAAATTTTTGTAATTTTTACCCAAAATTTTATTATTATTTTTCCAAATTTTTGTATTTTTTACTTTAAATTTTCTGCGAATTTTTCTCCCATTTTTTAAAATATTTTTACCCAAAAATTACAGAGTTTTTCCCAAAATTTTTGGGGTTTTTCCCAAATTTCAGATTTTTGTTGGATTTGAGGGAATTTTTGTTGGAATTCTGGGTTAAAATTCCCAAATTTGGAATTCTTTTTCCCCAAAATTTTGATTTTTTTTTCTATTTTTTTTTTGTGTTTTCCCCAAATTTTTTAATTTTTTCACCAAATTTTTGGGGTTTTTTCCCAAATTTCAGATTTTTGTTGGATTTGATGGAATTTTGGTTGGAATTTGGGGTGAAAATTCCCAAAATTTGTGATTTTTTTTCCCTCAAAATTTTGATTTTTTTGTCTGAATTTTTTTGGGTTTTCCCCGAATTTTTTAATTTTTTCCCCAAATTTTGGGATTTTTTTCCTCAAAATTTTGATTTTTTTTTGGTCTAAATTTTTTTGGGTTTTCCCCAAATTTTTTTAATTTTTCCCCAAATTTTTACGGGTTTTTTACCAAAATTTTGGATTTTTGTTGGATTTGAGGGAATTTTTGTTGGAATTTTGAGTTAAAATTCCCAAAATTTGGGATTATTTTTCCCTAAAATTCTAATTTTTTTTTGTCTGATTTTTTTTTTTATTTTTCCCGAATTTTTTCTTTTTCTCCCCAAATTTTTGGGGTTTTTTTCCCAAATTTCAGATTTTTGTTGAATTTGAGGGAATTTTAGTTGGAATTTTGGGTGAAATTTCCCAAAATTTGGAAATTTTTTCCCCAAAATTTTAATTTTTTTGTCTGATTTTTTTCTGTTTTCCCCAAATTTTTTCTTTTTTTCCCCAATTTTTGGGGTTTTTTCCCAAATTTTGGGATTTTTGTTGTATTTGAGGGAATTTTTGTTGGAATTTTGTGTCAAAATTCCCAATTTTTGGGATTTTTTTTTCCCCAAAATTTAAATTTTTTTGTCTGATTTTTTTGGGGTTTTCCCCAAATTTTTGGGTTTTTTCCCCAAATTTTGAATTTTTGTTCAAGTTTTGGGTTAAAATTCTCAAATTTTGGATTTTTTTCCCCAAAATTTTAATTTTTTGTGTGATTTTTTTTGGGTTTTCCCCGAATTTTTTCTTTTTTTCCCCAAATTTTTGGGGTTTTTTCCCCAATTTTTTTGGTTTTTTCCCAAATTTTGGGATTTTTGTTGGAATTTAGGGAATTTCTGTTGGAATTTTGGGTTAAAATTCCCAAATTTTGGCTTTTTCCAGCCAGGGCCTCTCCCCGAGTCCCTCCGGGCCTGGACCCCTCAGGGACCTCCCGGATTGGAGCTTTTCGGGTAAAAAAACGGAATTTTGGGAAAATTGGGGGAAATTTGGGAATTTTGGGGGGAAAAATGGGAATTTTGGGAGAAAAAATGGGAATTTTGGGAGAAAAAATGGGAATTTTGGGGGCGAATGGACAGTTTTTGGGGGGAAAAATGGGAATTTTTGGAGAAAAAATTGGAATTTTGGGGGGAAAATGGGAATTTTGGGAGAAAAATGGGGATTTTGGGGTAAAAATGGGAATTTTGGAATCAAAAAATGGGAATTTTGAGGTAAAAATGGGAATTTTGGGGGAAGATTTTGGGAATTTTTGGATAAAAATGGGATTTTGGGGGAAAATGGGAATTTTGGGAGAAAAACTGGAATTTTGGGGCAAAAATTGGAATTTTGGAATCAAAAAATGGGAATTTTGAGGAAAAAATGGATTTTTGGGAGAAAATTTTGGGAATTTTTGGATAAAAATGGGATTTTGGGGGGAAAATGGGAATTTTGGGAAGAAAAATGGGAATTTTAGAAAAAAAAATGGGAATTTTGGGAGAAAAATGGGAATTTTGGGGGGAAAATGGGAATTCTGGGGAAAATGGGAATTTTGAGAGAAAATTTTGGAAGTTTTGGACAAAATGGGATTTTGGGGGGAAAATGGAAATTTTGGGAAGACAAATTGGAAGTTTGGGAGAAAAAATGGGAATTTAGGGAAAATTGGGGGAAATGGGGATTTGGATGAATTTTTTTGGGAAAATGGGAATTTTTGGGAGAAAAAATGGGAAATTTGGGGTAAAAATGGGAATTTTGTGGGAAAAATGGGAATTTTGGAATCGAAAACTGGGAATTTCTGGAAAACTGGGAATTTTGAGGGAAAATTTTGGGAGGAATTTGGAAATTTTGGGGTGAAAAATTTGGGGATTTTTGGGAGGAAATTTGGGGATTTTGGGGAAAATTTTGGGGATTTTTTTTAGAAAATTGGGACATTTGGGGAGAAAATTTGGGGATTTGGGGGGAAAAATTGGGAATTTTGGGGAGAAAATTTGGGGATTTGGGAGAAAAATTGGAATTTTGGGGTAAAAATGGGAATTTTGGGAGAAAAAATGGGAATTTTGAGGGAAAATTTAGGAATTTTGGGGGGAAAATGGGAATTTTGGGTGAATTTTTTTGGAAAAATGGGAATTTCGGGAGTAAAAATGGGAATTTTGACATCAAAAAATGGGAATTTTGGGGGTAAAATTTGGGAATTTTGCGGGAAAATTGGGAATTTTGGTAGGGAAAATAATGATTTTAGGGGGAAATGGGAATTTTGGAATAAAAAATGGGAATTTTAGGGGGAAAATGGGATTTTTTAAGGGGAAAATTTGGGAATTTTGGGAGAAAAATGGAAATTTTGGAATCAAAAAATGGGAATTTTGGGGGAAAAATGGGAATTTTGAGGGAAAATTGGAGGAAATGGGGATTTTGGAGGGAAATTTGAGAATTTTGGAGGGGAAATGGGAATTTTGGATTTTTTTTTTGGGAATATGGGAATTTTTGGGAGAAATTTGGGGGTTTGGAGAGAAAAAATGGGAATTTTGGGAAGAAAACATGGGAATTTTGATAAAAAAATGGGAATTTTGGGTGATTTTTTTTGGAAAACAGCAATTTTGGCATCAAAAAAGGGAATTTGGGGGGAATGGGAATTTTTGGGGGAAAATGGGAATTTTGGAATCAAAAAATGGGAATTTTGGGGGGAAAATGGGTGTTTTTGGGGTAAAATTCGGGAATTTGGGGGGAAAATTGGGAATTTGGAGGGAAAATTTTGGGAATTTTTGGAAAAAATGGGATTTTGGGGGGAAATGGGAATTTTAGGGGAAAAAAGGGGTTTTGGGAGAAAAAATGAGAATTTTGGGAAAATTGGGGGAAATGGGGATTTTGGGGGGAAGTTTGAGAATTTTGGAAAGAAAAATTAGAATTTTGGGGAAAATTTGGGAATTTTGGGGGGAAAAAAGGGGAATCTTGGGTGATTTTTTTTTTTGGAAAATGGGAATTTTGGGAGAAAATGGGAATTTTGACATCAAAAAACGGGAATTGGGGGAGAATGGGAATTCTTGGGGTAAAATATGGGGATTTTGGGGGAAAATTGGGAATTTGGTGGGAAATATTAGGGAAAATTTTGGAATTTTGAGGGAAATTTTGGGAATTTTGATGAGAAATTTGGGCATTTTGGGGAAAATTTTGGGGATTTTATGGAGAAAATTGGGAATTTTGGGAAGAAAATTTGGGTATTTTTAAGGAGAAAAATAGGGAATTTTGAGGGGAATTTTTCTGATTTTTGGGAGGAATTTGGGAATTTGGGGTTGAAAAATTTGGGATTTCTGGGGTTAAAAATTGGGGATTTTGGGAAAAATTTTGGAGATTTTTGGGAGGAAATTGGGATTTTTGGGGGGGAATTTTGGGAGGAAATTTGGGAATTTTGGGCTGAAAAAATTGGGATTTTGGGGTAAAAATTTGGGGAATTTGTGGGATAAAATTTTGGGAATTTTTGGGGTAAAATTTGTGGAATTTTTTGGGGAAAATTTTTAATTTTTGGGGTTAAAAATTGGGGATTTTGGGAGGAAAATTTTTAATTTTTGGATGAAATTTTGGGGAATTTTTGGGGTAAAATTTTGGGGAATTTTTGGGGTAAAATTTGGGAATTTCTGGGTTAAAATTTGGGAATTTTTGGGGTAAAATTTGGGAATTTTTTTGGGGTAAAATTTGGGATTTTTGGGTCTCTCCCCTCCCCAGACGGGCGCCCCTCCCCCCCCTGGCGGGGACAGGAACGGAGAATCAGCGAGAGCCGAGAGCTGATGGTGAGAAACCAGTATAAACCAGTATAAACCAGTATAAACCAGTATAGACCAGTATGAACCAGTATAGACCAGTATAGACCAGTATAGACCAGTATAAACCAGTATAAACCAGTATGGACCAGTATAAACCAGTATGGACCAGTATAGACCAGTATGGACCAGTATAAACCAGTATAAACCAGTATGGACCAGTATGGACCAGTATGGACCAGTATAGACCAGTATAAAGCAGTATGGACCAGTATGGACCAGTATAAACCAGTATGGACCAGTATAAACCAGTATGGACCAGTACGGACCAGTATGGACCTGTATAAACCAGTATGGACCAGTATAAACCAGTATAGACCAGTATAAACCAGTATGGACCTGTATAAACCAGTATGGACCAGTATGGACCAGTATAGACCACTATGGACCAGTATGGACCAGTATAAACCAGTATAAACCAGTATGGACCAGTATAAACCAGTATGGACCAGTATAGACCAGTATGGACCAGTATAAACCAGTATAAACCAGTATGGACCAGTATGGACCAGTATAGACCAGTATAAAGCAGTATGGACCAGTATGGACCAGTATGGACCAGTATAAACCAGTATGGACCAGTATAAACCAGTATGGACCTGTATAAACCAGTATGGACCAGTATAAACCAGTATAGACCAGTATAAACCAGTATGGACCTGTATAAACCAGTATGGACCAGTATGGACCAGTATAGACCACTATGGACCAGTATGGACCAGTATGGACCAGTATAAACCAGTATAAACCAGTATGGACCAGTATGGACCAGTATAAACCAGTATGGACCAGTATGGACCAGTATGGACCAGTATGGACCAGTATAAACCACTATGGACCAGTATGGACCAGTATGGACCAGTATAGACCAGTAAAAACCAGTATAGACCAGTATAAACCAGTATGGACCAGTATGGACCAGTATGGACCAGTATGGACCAGTATGGACCAGTATAGACCAGTATCAGCCCACCCCAGTAACCCCAGAGCCCAAACCAGTAAGGAAAAACCCCAAACCAGTATAAACCAGTAAGACCAAAGCCCCTCCCAGTTCATCCCAGTTCATCCCAGTTCATCCCAGTTCCCTCCCAGTCCCATCCCAGTATAAACCAGTAACCCCAGAGCCCATCCCAGTATAAACCAATAAGGGAAAAGCCCAAACCAGTATAAACCAGTAAAGGAAAATGCATTCCCAGTACAAACCAGTGACCCCAAATCCCCTCCCAGTTCATCCCAGTATAAACCAGTACAAACCAGTAACCCCAAACCCATTCCCAGTATAAACCAGTAACCCCAAACCCATTCCCAGTATAAACCAGTAACCCCAAACCCATTCCCAGTACAAACCAGTAACCCCAAACCCATTCCCAGTACAAACCAGTAACCCCAAACCCATTCCCAGTATAAACCAGTAACCCCAAACCCATTCCCAGTACAAACCAGTAACCCCAAACCCATTCCCAGTTTGCCCCAGTCCCCTCCCAGTACAAACCAGTAACTCCCAGTATAAACCAGTGCCGGGCCGTGGCCCTGAGCCGCTCCCTGGAGGCCGCCAAACGTCGGAGGAGCTCCCAGTATAAACCAGTATGGACCGGTAAGGGACTGGGACGGACTGGGAGGGGGTTTGGGGTTACTGGTTTGTACTGGGAATGGGTTTGGGGTTACTGGTTTATACTGGGAATGGGTTTGGGGTTACTGGTTTGTACTGGGAATGGGTTTGGGGTTACTGGTTTATACTGGGAATGGGTTTGGGGTTACTGGTTTGTACTGGGAATGGGTTTGGGGTTACTGGTTTATACTGGGAATGGGTTTGGGGTTACTGGTTTATACTGGGAATGGGTTTGGGGTCACTGGTTTATACTGGGAATGGGTTTGGGGTTACTGGTTTCTACTGGTTTTAACTGGTTTTTACTGGTTTGACCTGGCTTAAACTGGTTTAAACTGGTTTATACTGGTTTATACTGGTTTAAACTGGTTTAAACTGGTTTATATTGATTTAAACTGGTTTTACTTGGTTTAAACTGGTTTATACTGGTTTAAACTGCTTTATACTGGTTTATACTGGTTTAAACTGGTTTATACCGGTTTAAACCGGTTTATACTGGTTTATACTGGTTTAAACTAGTTTATACTGGTTTATACTGGTTTTTACTGGTTTAAACTGGTTTTTATTGGTTTAAACCGGTTTATACTGGTTTATACTGGTTTGGGGTTGGTGGGCGTGGCTTAACCCCTTCCCTCCCTCCCCCCACAGGTGAAAAGGCTCCGCCCCCACCTGAGGCTCTGCCCACTTCTGGCCACGCCCACTCACCTTATAAGAAGAATGCATGATATGCAGATTTATGCAAATGAGATGGAAAATAAAAGCGGTTTTGTCGCTACGAATGCGGACCGGCGGTTACTGGTTTGTACTGGGAGTTACTGGTTTGTACTGGGAGGGACTGGGGGGCAGGTGTGGCTCCGCCCACATAGTTAATATGCAGATTTATGCAAATTAGATGCAAAATTTACAACCTACTCCCTCGCTACTAATTGGGAGTGCGGGTTACTGGTTTATACTGGTTTGTACTGGGAGGGGGACACGAGGCATCAGTTCACATCCACCTCATTAATATGCAAATTTATGCAAATGAGGCGCAAATTAAAAGTTTTTAGCCTCAATGCAAATCAATATTGGGCGTTACTGGTTTATACTGGGAGGAACTGGGAGGGGGCGTGGCCACACCCCTTTCCCATGTTCACCTCATTAAATATGCAAATTTATGCAAATGAGGCACGAATTAAAAATTGTTGCCTCAATGCAAATCAATATTGCGCGTTACTGGTTTGTACTGGGAGGAACTGGGAGGTGCGTGACCATGCCTCATTAAATATGCAAATTTATGCTAATTACATAAGAAACAAAGTGGACGCCATTCCTGCAAATTGGGAGCGCTTCTAACCCAGCCCGCCCGCCTCATTAATATGCAAATATATGCAAATCCAGCCAGTTCCGTTGTCTCGTTTATTAATTAAAGAGAATTAATTAATTATCCCCCTCCCCCGCCCCGCCCCTCCCCCCCCGGGGGCGGAGCCTTCGTTTGGCCCCTCCCCCCCCTCCCGACCCGCGGGAAAAAAAATTTGGGAACCGAAAAAGCCCCAAAAATCCCCGAAATTACCCCAAAAAAACGATCGAAAACAAAAAAACGCAAAAAAACAACAAAGCCACGCCCCCCCGCCTCATTTGCATACCCCGCTCCCCTCGGCCAATCAGCACGGGGAGGGGGCGGGGCCCGGCCCGCAGCACCAATAAGAGGGGAGGGGGCGTGGCCAATGAAGGGGGCGTGGTCATGCAAATTAGGAGCGGTCTGGGGCATGGTTATTAAAATTATGTATAGTAATGAGAGTCAGGGGGCGTGGTTATGCAAATTAGGAGTGGTCTGAAGGTTTTTGGGGACGTGGTTATGCAAATTGGGAGTGGTCTGGAGAGTCTGGGGGCGAGGCTATGCAAATTGGGAGTGGTTCAGGGGCGTGGTTATGCAAATTAGGAGTGGTAAGGCAAGTCTGGGGCGTGGTTATGCAAATTAGGAGTGGTCTGGCGAGTCTGGGGGCGTGGTTATGCAAATTAGAAGATGTCTGGTTAGTCAGGGGGTGTGGTTATGCAAATTGGGAGTGGTCAGATGAGTCCGGGGGCATGGTTATGCAAATTGGGAGTGGTCTGGAGAGTCTGGGGGCGTGGTTATGCAAATTTGGAGTGGTCTGGGGGCATGGTTATGCAAATTATGAGTGGTCTGGAGTTTCTGGGGCGTGGTTATGCAAATTGGGAGTGGTCAGTGGACTCTGGGGGCGTGGTTATGCAAATTTGGAGCGATCAGGCATGTCTGGGGACGTGGTTATGCAAATTGGGGGTGGTTTGGATGGTATGGGGGCGTGGTTATGCAAATTGGGAGTGGTCGGGGGGTATGGGGGCGTGGTTATGCAAATTAGGAGTTGTCTGGGGCGTGTCCATGCAAATTAAGCGTGTCCAGGTAAGTCAGGTGGGCGTGTCCATGCAAAGTGGGCGTGTCTAATGACAAAGGGGCGTGTCCAGGTGAGTCCAGATCTGAGTCCAGGTGAGTCAGGTGGGCGTGTCCAGACCAAGTGGGCGTGTCCACGTAACTCAGGTGGGCGTGTCCAGGTAAATCAGGTGGGCGTGTCCATGCAAATAAGGCATGTCCAATGACAAAGGGGCGGTTCCAGGTAAGTTAAATAAGCGTGTCCATGTGAGTCAGGTGGGCGTGTCCAATGACAAAGGGGCGTGTCCAGGTAAATCAGGTGGGTGTGTCAATGCAAATTAGGTGTGTCCAGGTGAGTCTAAATCTGAGTCCAGGTGAGTCAGGTGGGCGTGTCCATCCAAAGTGGGCGTGTCTAATGACAAAGGGGAGTGTCCAGGTGGGCGTGTCCATGCAAATTGGGCATGTCCACTGGACAAAGGGGCGTGTCCATGTAAATCAGGTGGGCGTATCTATGCAAAGTGGGCGTGTCCAGGTGACAAATGGGCGTGTCCAGGTAACAAAGGGGCGTGTCCCAACCCAGTGGGCGTGTCCAGGTGAGTCGGGTGGGCGTGTCTAATGACAAAGGGGCGTGTCCAGGTGGGCGTGTCCATGCAAATTAGGCGTCACCCCGCCCCCTGTGCGTGACCCCGCCCCCCGGGCATGTCCCTAGACCCTGGGCAGCAGTGACCCATGGCACCTGTGCAGGTGGGCGTGTCTATGCAAATTGGGCGTGTCTATGCAAAGTGGGCGTGTCTAATAACAAAGGGGTGTGTCCAGGTGACAAAGGGGCATGTCAGGTGGGCGTGTCTATGCAAAGTGGGCGTGTCCAGGTAAGTCAGGTGGGCGTGTCTAATGACAAAGGGGAGTGTCCAGGTGGGCGTGTCCATGCAAAATAGGCATGTCCCCGCCCCCTGGGCGTGTCTAATGACAAAGGGGCGTGTCCATGCAAATTGGGCGTGTCCTAGACCCTGGGCAGCAATGACCGCTGGCACCTGCGCAGGTGGGCGTGCGCGGCCCCGCCCCGCCGCCGCCAGAGCCAAGCCCCGCCCCCCAGCAGCCCGGCCAATCCCAGCAGGGCCAGCGGGGCCGCCAGCGCCCCCGGCCCCGCCCCCAGCGCGATGACGATGACCTCAGCGTCGTCCCGACCAATCGGAGGAGTGGGCGGGGCCGGGGAGGGGCAGTTCAGCCAATCACGGAGCGCGGATTTGGGGTGGCCCGGCAGGGGGCGCAGGGCGGAGTTGTCGAATTTCCAGTACAGGTGGGAGCGGTAGAAGTAGGTGAAGGCTGGAAGGGAGACTGGTTATACTGGTTATACTGGGAGGGACTGGGAGGGACTGGGAGGGACTGGGACGGACTGGGAGGGACTGGGACGGACTGGGAGGGGTTTCAGAAGGACTGGGAGGGACTGGGAGCAACTGGGAGGGACTGGGAGTTACTGGGAGGGACTGGGAGGGAGTGGGAGGGAGTGGGAGGGAACTGGTTTATACTGGGATGGGGTTTGGGGTTACTGGTTTGTACTGGTTTGTACTGGGAGGGGATTGGGAGGGACTGGGACCAAACTGGGATGGACTGGGAGGGGGTTTGGTTATACTGGGATGGACTGGGAGGGACTGGGAGGGAACTGGGATGGGGTTTGGGGTTACTGGTTTATACTGGGAGGGACTGGGACCAAACTGGGAGGGACTGGGAGGGGGTTTGGGGTTACTGGTTTATACTGGGAGGGGTTTGGGTTATACTGGGTTATACTGGGAGGGGTTTGGGTTATACTGGGTTATACTGGTCTGTACTGGGAGGGGTTTGGGGTGGCCCGGCAGGGGGCGCAGGGCGGAGTTGTCGAATTTCCAGTACAGGTGGGAGCGGGAGAAGTAGGTGAAGGCTGGAGGGGAGACTGGTTATACTGGTTATACTGGGAGGGACTGGGAGGGACTGGGAGGGACTGGGAGGGACTGGGAGGGGTTTAGAGGGGACTGGGAGGGACTGGGAGGGACTGGGACCAAACTGGGAGGGACTGGGAGAGGATTGGGAGGGACTGGGAGGCACTGGGAGGGGTTTAGGAGGGACTGGGACCAAACTGGTTTGTACTGGGAGGGACTGGGAGGGATTTGGGTTATACTGGGCTATACTGGTTTGGACTGGTTTGTACTGGGAGGGACTGGGAGGGGACTGGGAGGGACTGGGATGGGGTTTGGGAGAAACTGGGAGGGGATTTGGGGTTACTGGTTTATACTGGGATGGGGTTTGGGGATACTGGGACGGACTGGGAGGGAACTGGGACCAAACTGGGAGGGACTGGGAAGGGGTTGAGGTTATACTGGGGTTATACTGGGAGGGACTGGGATGAACTGGGAGGGACTGGGAGGGACTGGGAGAAGATTTGGGGGTTACTGGTTTATACTGGGAGGGACTGGGAGGGGATTGGGACAGGATATGGGGTTACTGGTTTATACTGGGATGGGATTTGGGGTTACTGGGACGGACTGGGAGGGACTGAGAGGGACTGGGAGGGGGTTGGGGGGACTGGGAGCGGATTTGGGTTATACTGGTTTGTACTGGGAGGGAACTGGGAGGGAACTGGGAGGGGTTTGGGTTATACTGGGTTATACTGGGAGGGGTTTGGGTTATACTGGTTTGTACTGGGATGGGTTTGGGGTGGCCCGGGAGGGGTTTGGGTTATACTGGTTTATACTGGGATGGGTTTGGGGTGGCCCGGGAGGAGTTTGGGTTATACTGGTTTATACTGGGAGGGGTTTGGGTTATACTGGTTTGTACTGGGATGGGGTTTGGGGTTACTGGGAGGGACTGGGAGGGAGTGGGAGGGGTTTGGGTTATACTGGGTTATACTGGGATGGGTTTGGGGTGGCCCGGGAGGAGTTTGGGTTATACTGGTTTATACTGGGATGGGTTTGGGGTGGCCCGGGAGGAGTTTGGGTTATACTGGTTTATACTGGGATGGGTTTGGGGTGGCCCGGGAGGGGTTTGGGTTATACTGGTTTATACTGGGATGGGTTTGGGGTGGCCCGGGAGGAGTTTGGGTTATACTGGTTTATACTGGGAGGGGTTTGGGTTATACTGGTTTGTACTGGGATGGGGTTTGGGGTTACTGGGAGGGACTGGGAGGGAGTGGGAGGGGTTTGGGTTATACTGGGTTATACTGGGAGGGGTTTGGGTTATACTGGTTTGTACTGGTCTGTACTGGGAGGGGTTTGGGGTGGCCCGGCAGGGGGCGCAGGGCGGAGTTGTCGAATTTCCAGTACAGGTGGGAGCGGTAGAAGTAGGTGAAGGCTGGAACGGAGACTGGTTATACTGGTTATACTGGGAGGGGGTTGGGTTATACTGAGAGGGACTGGGAGGGACTGGGACCAAAATGGGAGGGACTGGGACCAAACTGGAGGGGACTGGTTTGTACTGGGAGGGACTGGGAGGGGATTGGGAGGGGTTTGGGTTATACTGGTTCATACTGGGAGAGGTTTGGGGGGGACTGGTTTGTGCTGGTTTGGACTGGGAGGGGGTTTGGGTTATACTGGTTTGGACTGGGAAAGGATTTGGGGTTACTGGTTTGTACTGGGATGGACTGGCAGGGACTGGGAGGGGGTTGGGAGGGACTGGGAAGGGGTTTGGGGTTACTGGGAGGGACTGGGAGGGGGTTGGGGGGCACTGGTTTATACTGGGATGGGGTTTGGGGTTACTGGGAGGGACTGGGAGGGGTTTGGGTTACACTGGGAGGGGGTTTGGGGTTACTGGTTTATACTGGGAGGGACTGGGAGGGACTGGGACGGACTGGGAGGGGACTGGGGGAAACTGGGAGGGGGTTGGGGGGGACTGGGAGGGACTGGGAAGAGGTTGAGGTTATATTGGGTTATACTGGTTTATACTGGGAGGGACTGGGAGGGGGTTGGGGTTATACTGGGAGGGGATTTGGGGTTACTGGTTTGTACTGGGAGGGACTGGGAGGGACTGGGAGGGGGTTGGGAGGGAGTTTGGAGTTACTGGTTTATACTGGGAATGGGTTGGGGTTATACTGGGTTATACTGGGAGGGACTGGGAGGGGGTTTGGGGTTACTGGGAGGGACTGGGAGGGGTTTGGGGTTACTGGTTTGGAGTGGGAGGGGATTTGGGGTTACTGGTTTGTACTGGGAGGGACTGGGAGGGGGTTAGGTTATACTGGGAGGGACTGGGAGGGACTGGGAGGGAGTTTGGAGTTACTGGTTTATACTGGGAATGGGTTGGGGTTATACTGGGTTATACTGGGAGGGACTGGGAGGGAACTGGGAGAGGTTTGGGGGGGACTGGGAGGGAGTGGGAGGGAGTGGGAGGGGTTGGGTTATACTGGTTTATACTGGGAGGGGTTTGGGTTATACTGGTTTGTACTGGGATGGGTTTGGGTTATACTGGTTTGTACTGGGAGGGGTTTGGGTTATACTGGTTTGTACTGGGATGGGTTTGGGTTATACTGGGTTATACTGGGAGGGGTTTGGGTTATACTGGTATGGGCTGGGAGGGGGTTTGGGGTTACTGGTTTATACTGGGAATGGGTTTGGGGTTACTGGTTTGTACTGGGAATGGGTTTGGGGTTACTGGTTTGTACTGGGAATGGGTTTGGGGTTACTGGTTTGTACTGGGAGGGGTTTGGGGTTACTGGTTTGTACTGGGAATGGGTTTGGGGTTACTGGTTTGTACTGGGAATGGGTTTGGGGTTACTGGTTTGTACTGGGAATGGGTTTGGGGTTACTGGTTTGTACTGGGAATGGGTTTGGGGTTACTGGTTTGTACTGGGATGGGGTTTGGGGTTACTGGTTTATACTGGGAATGGGTTTGGGGTTACTGGTTTGTACTGGGAATGGGTTTGGGGTTACTGGTTTGTACTGGGAATGGGTTTGGGGTTACTGGTTTATACTGGGAGGGGGTTTGGGGTTACTGGTTTGTACTGGGAATGGGTTTGGGGTTACTGGTTTGTACTGGGAATGGGTTTGGGGTTACTGGTTTGTACTGGGAATGGGTTCGGGGTTACTGGTTTGTACTGGGAATGGGTTTGGGGTTACTGGTTTGTACTGGGAATGGGTTTGGGGTTACTGGTTTGTACTGGGAATGGGTTTGGGGTTACTGGTTTGTACTGGGAATGGGTTTGGGGGGTTACTGGTTTATACTGGTTTATACTGGGACCTGCCAGAAGGGGGCGTGGCCTCATTTTGACCCCGCCCCCTTTTTTATGACAGCGCCCTCTAGCGGCCGGGAGGACCCAAAACCTCAATTGGGGCCAATTTTGGACGGGATTTTTCGGGAATTTTCGGGATTTTTTCGGGAATTTTTTGGGAATTTCGGGAATTTTGGGAATTTTTGGGGTCTCACCCTCGTCGGGGCCCATAAAAGCTCCGCGGGGGCCCGGGGGGACCCCCCAAACTTCGATGCTCTTGGGGTAGTCGGGGTCCACAGCCCCCAGGGCCTCGTTGAAGCGGTAATACCTGAGGGGGAATTTGGGGGGTTTTGGGGAATTTGGGGAAATTTGGGGGATTTGGGGGAAATTTGGGAGAAGTTTGGAGGGTTTGGGGGGAATTTGGGGGAATTTTGGAGGAGTTTGGGGGAATTTTGGGGGGGATTTAGGAGAATTTTGGGGGAATTTTGGGGGAAATGTGGGGAATTTCGGGGGGAGTTTGGGAGATTTAGAAGGAGTTTGGGGGAAATTTGGGGAAATTTGGGGAATTTTGGGAGATTTGGGGGGAATTTGGGGGAATTTTGGGGGCGATTTGGGAGAATTTTGGGGATTTTGGGGGGAATTTTGGGAGAATTTAGGAAATTTGGTGTGAATTTGGGGAAATTTTGTGGATTTTGGGGGATCTGGGGGAAATTTGGGGGAAATTTGGGAAATTTTGGGGAGAATTTTGGGAGATTTTGGGAGAATTGGGGGGAATTTTGGGGAAATTTGGGGGGAATTTTGGGGATTTAGGAGCATTTGGGGGATTTGGCTGAATTTGGGAAATTTGGGGAGAATTTTGGGGGTTTGGGGGGAAGTTTGGGGGTGATTTTGGGAATTTTGGGAGAATTTGGGGAATTTGGGGGATTTGGGAGAATTTTGGGGGGATTTGGGTAAAATTTGGGAGATTTTGCGTAAATTTGGGGGGGATTTGGGGGAATTTTGGGGATTTTGGGAGAATTTTGGGGATTTTGGGGGGATTTTGGTAAAATTTTGGGGGAATTTGGGGGATTTAGGAGCATTTGGGGGAATTTTGTTGGGAATTTTGAAAGATTTGGGGGGAATTTGGGGATTTGGGGGAATTTTGGGGGGAATTTTGGGGGGAATTTTGGGAAATTTTAACAGAAATTGGAAAATTTGGGGGGAATTTGGGTGATTTTGAGGATTTGGGGAATTTTTGGGAATTTAGGAGAATTTGGGGGAATTTTGGGGGGAATTTGGGAAAATTTTGGGAGAATTTGGGAAATTTGGGGGGAATTTGGGGGATTTTGGGGGGAATTTGGAAAATTTGGGGAAATTTGGGGGGATTGGGGGGATTTTTTTGAGGAATTTGGGGGATTTTGGGAAAATTTTAGGGGAATTTTGGGGGCAATTTTGGGAGTATTTGGGAAATTTGGGGAAAATTTGGAGGATTTTGGGGTGTTTTGGGAGAAATTTGGGGAATTTTGGGGGTTTGGGGGGATTTTAGGGGGAATTTGATAAAATTGGTGTTTTTGGGGGGAAATTTTGGAAGAAAATTTGGGAAAAATTTGGGGGTTTGGGGGAATTTTGGGGAATTTTGGGGAGAATTTCGGGGGAATTTTGGGAAGAGTTTTGGAGGAATTTGGGAATTTGAGGGGAATTTTTGGGAAAATTTGGGGAGAATTTGGGAGATTTTGGTGGTCCAGAGAGTTCCCAAGAGAAAGGTCCTGGAAGGTGCAGAAAAGTCCCCAAAAGTGCAGAAATAGCCCCAAAAAGAGCTCAGACAGGTCCTGAAAGATGCATAAAAAAACCCCCCAAAATTCCAGAAAAAATCCCAGAAAATTCCGGAAATTGCTGAGAGGTCCTGGAAGGTTCCAGAAAGTGCAGCAAGGTCCTGAAAGTTGCAGAAATAGCCCCAAAAAGAGCCCAGAAAAGTCCTGAAAGGTGCATAAAAAGTGCCCAAAATTCCAGGAAAAATCCCAAAAAATTCCAGAAATTCCTGAGAGGTCCTGGAAGGTTCAGAAAGGTCCTGAAGGTTCAGAAAAGTCCCGAAAGATGCAGAAAGGTTGAGAAAGGTCCTGAAAACTGCAGAAATAGCCCCAAAATTAGTGCAGAAAGGTCCTGAAAGATGCATAAAAAGCCCAAAAAAATTCCAGAAAAAATCCCAGAAAATTCCGTAAATTCCCGGAAATTTCAGAGAAGGTTGAGAAAAATCCTGAAAGGTCCTGAAAGATGCAGAAACGTGCAGAAAAGGCCTGAAAAGTGCGGATATTGCCCTAAAATAGTGCAGAAAGGTCCTGAAAGATGCATAAAAAGCAAAAAAAATTCCAGAAAAAATCCCAGAAAATTCCCCAAATTCCAGAAATTCCTGGAAAGGTTCAGAGAAGGTTCCAGAAGGTCCCAGAAGGTTTAGAATGGTCCTGAAAGGTGCATAAAGGTCCTTAAAAGTGCAGAAATAGCCCCACAAAGAGCGCAGACAGGTCCTGAAAGATGCATAAAAAGCAAAAAAAAATCCAGAAAAAATCCCAGAAAATTCCAGAAATTCACAGAAAGTTCAGAGAAGGTTCCAGAAGGTCCTAGAAGGTTCATAAAGGTCCTGAAAGGTGAATAAAGGCCCCGAAAAGTGCAGAAAGAGCCCCAAAAAGAGCTCAGACAGGTCCTGAAAGATGCATAAAAATGCCTTAAAATTCCAGAAAAAATCCCAGAAAATTCCCAAATTCCAGAAATTCCCAGAAGGTTCAGAGAAGGTTCCAGAAAATGCAGCAAGGTCCTGGAAGGTGCATAAAGGTCCCAAAAAGTGAAGAAATATCCCAAAACAAAGCCCAGAAAGGTCCTGAAAGATACATAAAAAGCCCGAAAAATTCCAGAAAAATTCCCAGAAAATTCGGGAATTCGCCGGAAGGTTCCGGAAGGTTCCGGGACGCACTTGTCCCCCCGGAAGAGGTAGGTGTGGCCGCTGGGCAGCCAGAGCAGGGCGGCGTCCAGGCGGTCGCTGGGGACGCCGCGGCCGAGCTCGGACAGAGGTCGGGGGTAACCGGGGGCCAGGACGCCCTCGTCGAACACCCAGTGCCGGGAGCCTGAAATGGGGTAAAAACAGCCAAAATCAGGCAAAAAATACCAAAAAAAACGAGCCGGGACACGCCCCAATATGAGGGAGAATTCGGCCGAAATTTGGTTGGAATGGCGGAAAAATTTGAGGTGAAATTGAAGCGAAATTGGGTAAAATTTGCTCGGAATTGTTGGAAATTTCAGGTCAAAATTGAGTCAGAATCAGATGACAAATCAGCACAAAATTTGGTCGGAGGCGCCCAAAAATTCACCCTAAAATCACCCAAAATTCACCCCAAAATCACCCAAAATTCACCCAAAATTCGCCCCAAAATTGACCCACAATCACCCAAAAATTCACCCCAAAATCACCCCAAGATTGACCCAGAATCGCCCAAAAATTCACCCCAAAATCACCCAAAATTCGCCCAGAATTGCTCAAGAATTTACCCCAAAATCACCCAAAAATTCACCCCAAAATCCCCCCAAGATTGACCCAGAATTGCTCAAAAATTCACCCCAAATTTGCCCCGAAATTCACCCAAAATTCACCCAAAAATTCACCCCAAAATCACCCAAAATTCGCCCCAAAATTGACCCACAATCACCCAAAAATTCACCCCAAAATCACCCAAAATTCACCCCAAGATTGACCCAGAATCGCTCAAAAAGTCACCCCAAAATGAGAAAAAAATCAGCCAAAAATAGCTCAAGAATTTACCCCAAAATCACCCAAAAATCACCCCAAAATCGACCTAGAATACCTCAAAAATTCACCCAAAATTCATCCCAAAATTCACCCAAAAATTCACCCCAAAATCACTCAAAATTCGCTCAGAATCTCTTAAAAATTCACCCCAAAATCACTCAAGATTCGCCCCAAAATTGACCCAGAATCGCCCAAAAATTCACCCCAAAATCACCCAAAATTCGCTCAGAATTGCCCAAAAATTCACCCAAAATTCACCAAGAATCGCCAAAAAATTCACAACAAAATCACCCAAAATTCACCCCAAAATTCACCCAGATTCACCCAAAAATTCACCCCAAAATCACCCAAAAATTCACCCCAAAGTTGACCCAGAATCGCCCAAAAATTCACCCCAAAATAGCCCAAAAATTCACCCAAAATTCACCAAGAATCGCCAAAAAATTCACCCCAAAATCACCTAAAATTCGCCCCAAAATCACCCAAAATTCACCCCAAAATTCAGCCATAAATCCAATTAAATCCCGAATAAAACCCAATTAAAACCCAATAAAACCCAATAAAACCCCTATAAAATCTAATTATATCTCAATAGAATCCAATAAATACCAATAAAATCCAATTAAATCCCAAGAAAAACAATAAATTCCAAAAAAACCAATAAACCCCAATTAAATCCCAATAAAACTCAATTAAATCCAATTAAACCCCAATCAAATCCAATTAAAACCCAATAAAATCCAATAATTCCCAATAAAAACCCAATAAAATCCAATAAATCCCAATAAAATCCAATAAAATGCAATAAAATCCAATTAAATCACAAACAAACAATAAATCCCAATAAAATCCAATTAAAATGCAATAAAATCCAATTAATCCCAATAAAACCCAATTAAATCCCAGAAAACCCCAATTAAATCCAATTAAATACCAACAAAACCCAATAAAATTCAAAAAAAAACCCAATTAAACCCCAATAAAACCCAATTAAACCCCAATAAAATCCAATTAAACCCCAATAAAATCCAATTAAATTCCAATAAAACCCAATAAAATCCAATAAATCCCAATAAAATGCAATAAAATGCAATAAAATCCAATAAATCCCAATAAAACCCAATAAAATCAATAAATCCCAAAAAATCACAATAAAATCCAATTAAATCCCAATAAATCCCAATAAACCCCAATTAAATCCAATAAACCCCAATAAAATCCAATAAAACCTCAACAAAATCCAAATAAACCCCAACAAAATCCAAATAAAATCCCCACAAACCCAATAAACCCCAATAAAACCCAATTAATCCAAATAAAATCCAATAAAACCCAATTAAACCCCAATAAACCCCAATTATTCCCAATAAAACCCAATAAAATCCAATTAAATCCCAATAAAATGCAATAAAATCCAATTAAATCCCAATAATACCCAATAAAATCCAATAAAACCCAATAAAATCCAATAAAACCCAATAAAATCCAATAAAATCCAATTAAATCCCAATTAAATCCAATAAAATTAATAAATCCCAATAAAATCCAATAAATCCCAATAAAACCCAATAAGTCCCAATAAAATCCAATTAAAACCAAATAAAACCCAATAAATCCCAATAAACCCCAATAAAATCCAATAAATCCAATAAATCCCAATAAAACCAAATTAAATCCCAAAATAATATAAATCCCAATAAAATCCAATTAAAATGCAATAACATCCAATAAATCCCAAAAAAATCCAATTAAACCCCAATAAATCCCAAAAAAATCCAATTAAATCCCAATAAAATCCAATTAAAACCAAATAAAATCCCAATAAAATCCCAATAAATTGATATAAACCCCAATCAAATCCCAACAAACCCCTATAAAATCAAATTAAATTCAAAATAAAATACAAATAAAACCCAAAAAAATCCCCAAAAAACCCAAAACCCCCAAATTTCCCCCAAACCTTTAAAGAAGACGAATTTCCCGTCGCTCCTCTCGTAGGCGGCGTCGATGCTCGGGGGGAGCCCGGCCCAGAAGTGGCCGATGGGCAGCGGGTACCCCGGCATCAGCTGCCCCCCGCGCAGCCGCCAGAACCAGCGCTCCTGGGGAAAAAATAAATTAAATTTGGGGTGAAAATGGGGAAAAATGGGGAAAATGGGGAAAAAATGAAAAAAAACGGTGAAAAAACGGCGAAAAACGGTGAAAAAATGGGGAAAATATGGGGGAAAAATGAGGACAAAATGGCCGCCTGAAGCAGTGAAATATTAATTAAAATTAGGGGGAAATGGGAAAAAATTGGAAAACATGGGGGAAAATGGTGAAAAAATGGGGAAAAATGGGGAAAAATGGGGAAAAATGGGGAAAAAATGGGGAAAAACGGTGAAAAAATGGGGACAAAATGGCCGCCAGAAGCAGCGCTTTTGGGGAAAAATGGAAATGAAATTGGGGTGAAAATGGGGAAAAATGGGAAAAATGGGGAAAATGGGGAAAAAATGGGAAAAAACGGTGAAAAAATGGGGAAAAACGGTGAAAAAATGGGGAAAATATGGGGAAAAAATGAGGACAAAATGGCCGCCGGAAGGAGCGCTCCTGGGGAAAAAATAAATTAAAATTGGGGTGAAAATGGGGAAAAATGGGAAAAAAGGGGAAAAAATGGGGGAAAAACGGTGAAAAAATGGGGAAAAAATGGGGGAAAATGGGGGAAAAATGGGGAGAAAATGGAGACAAAATGGCCGCCGGAAGCAGCGCTCCTGAGAAAATGGGAAAAATGGTAGAAATGGGGAAAAAATGGGGTGAAATGGGGGAAAAAACGGGGAAAAATCATGAAAAATTGGGAAAATTGTGAAAAAATGGGGAAAAAATGGGGAAAAAATGGGGGAAAAATGGGGAAAAAATGGGGGAAAATGGGGACAAAATGGCCGCCCGGAAGCAGCGCTCCTGGGGGAAATTGAAATTAAAATTGGGGTGAAAATGGGGAAAAATGGGAAAAATGGGGAAAAAATGGGGAAAAACGGTGAAAAAACGGTGAAAAAATGGGAAAAAATGGGGGAAAAATGGGGAAAAAATGGGGAAAAACGGTGAAAAAATGGGGAAAAAATGGGGAAAAATGGGGGGAAATGGGGACAAAATGGCTGCCAAAAGCAGCGCTCCTGGGGTGAAATTGAGAATAAAATTCGGGGAAAATTAGAAAAAATGGGGAAAATTGGGGGAAAATGGGAAAATGAGAAAAAATGGGGAAAAAATGGGGAAAAATGGGAAAAGACTGTGAAAAAATGGGGGAAAACGGTGAAAAAATGGGGGGAAATGGGGACAAAATTGGGACAAAATGGCCGCCTGAGTCAGTGGTGCTGGAGAAAAAAATATAAATTAAAATTAGGGGAAAATAGGAAAAAAAGAGAAAAAATGGGGAAAATGGGGGAAAATTGTGAAAAAATGGGGAAAATGGTGAAAAAAACGGCGAAAAACGGTGAAAAAATGGGGAAAAACGGTGAAAAAACGGCGAAAAACGGTGAAAAAATGGGGAGAAAATGGCCGCCAGAAGCAGCGCTGCGGGTGAAAAAAATAAAAAATAAAATTAGGGAAAAAATGGGAAAAAAAATGGGAAAAAATGGGAAAAAATGGGGGAAATGGTGAAAAAATGGGGGAAAATGGTGAAAAAATGGGGGAAAACGGTGAAAAAATGGGGAAAAACGGTGAAAAAATGGGGACAAAATGGCCGCCGGAACCGGCGCTGCTGGGGAAATGGGAAAAATGGTAGAAATGGGGAAAAAATGGGGGAAAAAACGGGGAAAAATCATGAAAAATTGGGAAAATTGTGAAAAAATGGGGAAAAAACTACGAAAAATGGTGAAAAAATGGGGAAAAACGGTGAAAAAATGGGGACAAAATGGCCGCCGGAAGCAGCGCTCTTGGGGAAAAATGGAAATGAAATTGGGGTGAAAATGGGGGAAAATGGGAAAAATGGGGAAAAAATGGAAAAAAACGGTGAAAAAACGGCAAAAAACGGTGAAAAAATGGGGAAAATATGGGGAAAAAATGGGGACAAAATGGCCGCCAGAAGCAGCACTCCAGAGAAAATGGGAAAAATGGTAGAAATGGGGAAAAAATGGGGGAAAATGACCAAAAAATGGGGGAAAATGGGGAAAATGGTGAAAAAAGGGGAAAAACAGGGAAAAAATGGCAAAAAACGGTGAAAAAATGGGCGAAAATGGGGAAAAAATGGGGAAAAATGGGGACAAAATGGCCGCCAGAAGCAGCGCTGCTGGGGAAAAAAATTGAGATTAAAATTAGGGGAGAAATGGGGAAAAAATGGTGGAAATGGTGAAAAATGGGACAAAATGGGGAAAAAATGGGGGAAAATGGTGAAAAAATGGGGAAAAAATGGGGACAAAATGGGGACAAAATGGCCGCCTGAACCAGCGCTCCTGGGGGAAATTGAAAATAAAATTGGGGTGAAAATGGGAAAAAATGGGAAAAATGGGAAAAAATGGGAAAAAAGTCCCCAAAAATTCCCGCAACTCCCTCCCCAAAACTGCCCTTAGAATGGTCCTGGAAGGTCACAAAAAAACCTTAAAATGCCTCCAAAAAATCCCAAAAAATTCCAAAAAATTCCCAAAAATTCCCAAAACTTCCCAAAATTCCCAAAAGTTCCTGAACTTCCCCAGAAATTCCCAAAAAAATTCCCAAAAAAATCCCCTCTGCAAAACCACCCTTAGAAAGGTCCTGGAAGGTCACAAAAAAAACTAAAAATGGCTCAAAAAAATCCCAAAAAAATCCCAAAAAATTCCCAAAAATTCCCAGATATTCCCAAAAAAATTCCCAAAATTTTTCTCAAAAAATCCCCTCCACAAAACCTTCAGGGCCTTAGAAAGGTCCTGGAAGGTCACAAAAAAAAAAACCACAAAAATTGCCCAAAAAATCACAAAAAAAAAACTTTAAAAATTCCCAAAAATTCCCAAAAATTCCCAAAATCCCAAAGGTTCCTGAATTTACCCATAAATTTTAAAAAAATTTCCCAAAAGATTCCCAAAAAATCCCCTCAACAAAGCCACCCTTGGAAAGGTCCTGGAAGGTCACAAAAAAACCTAAAAATTGCTAAAAAAAAATCCCAAAAAATCCCAGAAAATCCAAAAAAATTCCCAAAATTCCCAAAAATTCCCGAATTCCCAAAATTTCCTGAATTTACCCAGAAATTCAAAAAAATTCCCAAAAGATTCCCAAAAAAATCCCCTCCACAAAACCTCCAAGGTCCTGGAAGGTCACAAAAAAACCCAAAAATTGCTCAAAAAAATCCCAAAAAATCCAAAAAAATCCCCAAAAATTCCCAAAAATTCCCAAATTTCCCAAAGGTTCCTGAATTTACCCAAAAATTCAAAAAAAAATTCCCAAAATATTCCTACCACAAAACCTCAGGGCCTTAGAAAGGTCCTGGAAGGTCACAAAAAAACCTAAAAATGGCTCAAAAAAATCCCAAAAAATTCGCAAAAAATTCCCAAATTTCCCAAAAATTCCCAAAACTTCCCAAATTCCCAAAAGTTCCTGAATTTACCCAGAAATTCCCAAAATATTCCTAAAAAAAACCTTTCCACAAAACCTTCAGGACCTTAGAAAGGTCCTGGAAGGTCACAAAAAAACCCAAAAATTGCTCAAAAAAATCCCCAAAAATCCCAAACATTCCCATGAAATTCCCAAAATTCCCAAGAAATTCCCAAAATTCCCAAAAGTTCCTGAATTTACCCAGAAATTCCAAAAAAATTCCCAAAAGATTCCCAAAAAATCCCCTCTGAAAAACCAACCTTAGAAAGGTCCTGGAAGGTCACAAAAAAAACTAAAAATGGCTAAATAAAATCCAAAAAAATCCCCAAAAATTCCCAAAAAATTCCCAAAATTCCCAAAACTTCCCAAAATTTCCAAAAGTTCCTGAACTTCCCCTGAAATTCCCAAAAAATCCCCTCTGAAAAACCAACCTTAGAAAGGTCCTGGAAGGTCACATAAAAACCTAAAAATGGCTCCAAAAAATCCAAAAAAATTCCCAAAAAATTCCCAAAACTTCCCAAAATTCCCAAAAGTTCCTGAACTTCCCCTGAAATTCCCAAAAAATCCCCTCTGAAAAACCAACCTTAGAAAGGTCCTGGAAGGTCACAAAAAAAAACCAAAAATGGCTCAAAAAAATCCCAAAAAATCCCCAAAAATTCCCAAAAATTCCCAAAACTTCCCAAAATTCCCAAAAGTTTCTGAATTTACCCAGAAATTCCCCAAAAATTCCCAAAAAATCCCATCCACAAAACCTCCAGGGCATTAGAAAGGTCCTGGAAGGTCACAAAAAAACCAAAAAATGGCTCAAAAAAAATCGCCAAAAAATCGCAAAAAAATCACCAAAAAAATCCAAAAAAATTCCCAAAAATTCCTGAACTTCCCCAGATATTCCCCAAAAAATTCCAAAATTTTTCCCAAAAAATCATCTGCACAAAACCTCCAGGACCTTAGAAAGGTCCTTAGAAAGGTCCTGGAAGGTCACAAAAAAAACGTAAAAATGGCTCAAAAAAATCCCAAAAAATCCCAAAAAATTCCCAAAAATTCCTAAATTTACCCAGAAATTCCCAAAAAATTTCCCAAAACATTCAAAAAAAATTCCCAAAATATTCCAAAAAAATCTCCTCCACAAAACCTCCAAGGTCCTGGAAGGTCACAAAAAAACCCTAAAAATGGCTCCAAAAAATCCAAAAAAATTCCAAAAAAATTCCCAAAAATTCCCAAAATTCCCAAAATTCCCCAAATTCCCGGAATTCCCACCTTGAAGACGAACATCTCTCCCCGGAGCATGGCCACGGTGTCGAAGCCGCCGTCGCAAATTCGGGGCCCGTAGGGGGGGCCCGGGGGGGGAGGGGCGGGGCCTGAGGGGGGGGGGAGGGGCGGGGGGAGGGGCCGGAGGAGGAGCCTGCGGAGAGAATTCCCGGGAAATCGGAACGGGGCGGGAATTTGGGGGGAAATTTGGGAATTTTGGGGAAATTTGGGGATTTTGGGGGGAAATTTGGGGGAAATTTGGGGATTTTTAGGGGAAGATTCAGGAATTTTGGGAATTTTGGGGAATCTGGGGAGAAATTCGGGAATTTTAGGGGGGAATTTGGGAATTTGGGGGAGAAATTAGGGATTTAAGGGGAGATTCGGGAATTTTGGGAATTTTGGGGAATCTGGGGAGAAATTTGGGGATTTGGGGGGGAATTTGGGGATTTAGGGGGGAAATTTGGGGATTTTTGGGAGAAATTTGGGGATTTTGGGGAAAATTTGGGAATTTTGGAGGAGAATTTGGGGATTTGGGGGGGAGATTTGGGAATTTACGGGAAAATTTGGGCATTTTGGGGGAAATTTGGGGATTTTTGGGGAATTTGGGAGTTTTGGGGGGAATTTTGGGATTTTGGGGGAATCTGGGGATTTTGGGGGGGAAATTTGGGGATTCAGGGGGGAATTTGGGGATTTTGGGGGGAATTTGGGGATTTGGGGGAAATTTGGGGATTTTTGGGGAAATTTGGGAATTCTGGGAGGAAATTTGGGAATTCTGGGCGGAATTTGGGGATTTTCCGCCAATTTTGCCAATTTCTCCCCAGTTTTGCCAATTTTCCCCATGATTTTGCCAATTTCTACCAGAATTTGCCGATTTCCCCAAGTTTCACCCCGATTTTGCCGTTTTTCCCCAAATTTGCCAATTTCTCCCCGAATTTCCCAATTTTCACTCCGATTTCACCGATTTCCCCCCAATTTTGCCAATTTCTACCCGATTTCGCCGATTCCCCCCAATTTCACTGATTTATCCCAGAATTTGCCGATTTCCCCCCAATTTCACCGATTTCTCCCCCGAATTTCCCAATTTCCCCCCAATTTTGCCAATTTCTCCCCGAATTTGCTGATTTCTCCCCGATTTCACCGATTTCTCCCCGAATTTACCGATTCCCCCCCGATTTTGCCGATTTCCCCTCGAATTTTCCAATTTCCCCCCAATTTTTCCGATTTCCCCCCCAATTTCGCCGATTCCCCCAGAATTTGCCAATTTCCCCCCGATTTCACCGATTTCCCCCCAATTTTGCTGATTTCTCCCCAGTTTTTCTGATTTCTCCCCAGATTTTGCCAATATTTCCCCGATTTTGCCAATTTCTCCCCGAATTTCCCGATTTTCTCCTCAATTTTGCCAATTTTCCCCCCAATTTTGCCAATTTCTCCCAGAATTTGCCAATTTCTCCCCGATTTTGCCAATTTCTCCCCGATTTTTCTGATTTCTCCCCAATTTTGCCGATTCCCCCCCGATTTCGCCGATTCCCCCCAGAATTTCCCAATTTTCTCTCCGATTTCACCGATTTCTCCCCGATTTTGCCAATTCCCCCCAGAATTTCCCAATTTCTCCCCAAATTTCCCGATTTTCTCCCTGATTTTCCCATTTCCCCCCAATTTTCCCAATTTTCTCCCCCAAATTTCACCAATTTCACTCCAATTTCACCACTCCCCCCCAATTTCACCGATTCCCCCCCGATTTCACCAATTTCCCCCTGAATTTCCCAATTTCCCCCCCGATTTCACCAATTTCTCCCCAATTTTACCAATTTCTCCCCGATTTTCCCAATTTCTCCCTGATTTTACCTATTTCTCCCCAATTTCACCAATTTCTCCCCAAATTTCCCAATTTTCTCCCCGATTTTTCGATTTCTCCCCAATTTCACCGATTTTCTCCCCATTTTCACCAATTTCCCCCCGAATTTACCAATTTCTCCCCGAATTTCCCAATTTCCCCCCGATTTTACCGATTCCCCCCCAATTTCGCCGATTCCCCCCAGAATTTGCCAATTTCCCCCCGATTTCACCGATTTCTCCCCGATTTTGCAGATTTTTCCCCAGTTTTGCCAATTTTCTCCCCAGTTTTGCCAATTTTCTCCCCAATTTTGCCAATTTCTCCCCGATTTTGCCGATTTCTCCCCGATTTTGCCGATCTCCCCCCGATTTCACTGATTTTCTTCCCGAATTTCCCAATTTTCTCCCCGATTTCGCCGATTCCCCCCGAATTTGCCGATTTCTCCCTGATTTTGCCGATTTCTCCCCAGTTTTGCCGATTTTCTCCCCAATTTCACCAATTTCTCCCCAAATTTCCCGATTCCCCCCCAATTTCACCGATTTCCCCCCAATTTTACCAATTTCCCCCTGATTTCACCGATTTTCTCTCCAATTTTTCCGATTTCTCCCCCAATTTTCCCAATTTCCCCCCAGAATTTACCAATTTCCCCCCAAATTTGCCAATTTCTCCCCGAATTTCCCGATTTTCTCCCCGATTTCGCCGATTTCCCCCCAATTTTCCCAATTTCTCCCGATTTTACCAATTTCTCCCCGATTTTGCCAATATCCCCCCAATTTTACCAATTTCACCCCAAATTTGGCAATTTCTTCCCGATTTCTCTCCAATTTCTCCCAGAATTTGCCAATTTCTCCCAGAATTTCCCAATTTCCCCCCAATTTTCCCAATATCCCCCCAATTTCACCAATTTCCCCCCCAATTTTCCCAATTTCTCCCCGATTTCACCGATTTCCCCCCAAATTTCCCGATTTCTCCCCAATTTTACCAATTTCTCCCCAATTTTGCCGATTTCTCCCCGATTTTACCAATTTCTCCCCGATTTTGCCGATTTCTCCCAGAATTCGCCGATTTTCCCCAAGTTTTGCCCCGATTTTGCCAATTTCTCCCCAATTTTGCCGATTTTCCCCCTGATTTCACTGATTTCTCCCCAAATTTCCCAATTTTCTCCCCAATTTTACCAATTTCTCCCCAAATTTCCCAATTTTCCCCCCAAATTTCCCAATTTCCCCCCGATTTCACCGATTTCTCCCCGAATTTCCCGATATCCCCCCAATTTTACCAATTTCCCCCCAAATTTCCCAATTTCTCCCCAATTTTGCCAATTTCTCCCCGATTTCACCGATCTCTCCCAGAATTCCCCGATTTTCCCCAGTTTCGTCCCGATTTTGCCAATTTCTCCCCGATTTTGCCAATTTCTACCTGTTTTTTCCAATTTCTCCCTGAATTTACCAATTTATCTCAGAATTTGCTGATTTCCCCCAGTTTTGCCTTATTTTGCCGATTTTCTCCCCGATTTTCCCAATTTTCTCCCTGATTTTTCCGATTCCCCCCCAATTTCACCGATTCCCCCCCGAATTTCCCAATTTCCCCCCGATTTCACCGATTCCCCCCAATTTCACCAATTTCCCCCCAATTTTGCCGATTTTCTCCCCGAATTTGCCAATTTCACCCCAAATTCGGTGATTTCTCCCCGATTTCTCCCCAATTTTGCCGATTGCTCCCCAATTTCGTCCAAATTTTGCCAATTTCTCCCCAGTTTTGCCCATTTTCTCCCCAATTTCGCCGATTTCTCCCCAAATTTGCTGATTCCCCCTCCTTTTGCCGATTTCTCCCAGAATTTACCAATTTCTCCCCAGTTTTACCAATTTCTCCCCAGTTTTGGTGATTTTCTCCCCGATTTTGCCAATTTCTCCCCAGTTTTTCCCATTTCTCCCTGATTTTCCCAATTTCCCCCCAATTTTGCCAATTTCTCCCCGAATTTGCTGATTTCCCTCCGATTTCACCGATCTCTCCCAGAATTTGCCAATTTTCCCCCCGAATTTTCCAATTTCCCCCCGATTTCGCCGATTCCCCTCCGAATTTACCAATTTCCCCCCGATTTTGCCGATTTCCCCCCGATTTTGCCAATTTCTCCCAGATTTCACCGATTTCCCCCCCAATTTCACCAATTTCTCCCCAAATTTCCCAATTTCTCCCCAATTTTGCCAATTTCTCCCCGATTTCACCGATCTCTCCCAGAATTCCCCGATTTCCCCCAGTTTTGCCCGATTTTGCCGATTTTCTCCCCGATTTTGCCAATTTCTCCCTGATTTCACCGATTTCTCCCCGAATTTCCCAATTTCTCCCCGATTTCGCCAATATCCCCCCAATTTTACCAATTTCTCCCCAATTTTGCCGATTTTCTCCCCAATTTTTCTGATTTCTCCCCGATTTTACCAATTTCTCCCCAATTTTGCCGATTCCCCCCCAATTTCACCAATTCCCCCCCAAATTTCCCAATTTTCTCCCCAATTTCACCAATTTCCCCCCGATTTTGCCAATTTCCCCCCGATTTCACCAATTTCTCCCCAATTTTGCCAATTTCTCCCCGAATTTCCCTATTTTCCCCCCGATTTTGCCGATTTCTTCCAGAATTCGCCGATTTCCCCCCAGTTTCACCCGATTTTTCCAATTTCTCCCCAATTTTACAAATTTCTTCCCAATTTTGCCGATTTTTTCCCCAATTTCACCAATTTCCCCCCCAAATTTCCCAATTTCTCCCCAAATTTACCGATTTCTCACCAGTTTTCCCAATTCCCCCTGAATTTACCGATTCCCCCCGATTTCACCGATTCCCCCCCGAATTTCCCAATTTCCTGCCCAATTTCACCGATCTGTCCCCGAATTTGCAAATTTCTCCCCAATTTTCCCAATATCCCCCCAATTTTACCAATTTCTCCCAGAATTTGCCAATTTTCTCCCCGATTTTTCCGATTTCTCCCCCAATTTTACCTATTTCTCCCCAGTTTTGCCCATTTTCTCCCCGATTTCACCGATCTCTCCCAGAATTCGCCGATTTTTCCCAATTTCTCCCCAGTTTTGCCAATTTCTCCCCAATTTTGCCAATATTCCCCTGATTTTTCCGATTTCTCCCCAGTTTTGCTGATTTCCCCCAGTTTTGCCCCAATTTTGCCGATTTCTCCCCAAATTTCCCAATTTCCCCCCGATTTTGTTGATTTCTTCCCGAATTTCCCAATTTCCCCCCAATTTCCCCAATTTCCCCCCAAATTTCCCAATTCCCCCCCAATTTCACCAATTTCTCCCCAATTTCGCTAATTTTCTCCCCGATTTTGTCGATTTCTCCCCAAATTTCCCAATTTTCTCCCCAATTTCACCGACCTCTCCCACAATTCACCAATTTTTCCCCAGTTTCGCCTCAATTTTACCAATTTCTCTCCAATTTTCCCAATTTTCCCCCCAATTTCACCGATTCCCCCCCAAATTTCACCAATTCCCCCCCGCTTTCACCAATTCCCCCCAATTTCACCAATTTCACCCGAATTCACCAATTCCCCCCCGAATTTCCCAATTTTCTCCCCGATTTCGCCAATATCCCCCCAATTTCACCAATTTCTCCCCGATTTTCCCGATTTTCCCCCCAATTTTTCCGATTTCTCCCCAATTTCACCGATTTCTCCCCAATTTCACCAATTTATCCCAGAATTCGCCAATTTTTCCCCAGTTTCGCCCCAATTTTGCCGATTTTCCCCCAGTTTTGCCCTTTTTTCCCCTGATTTTTCCGATTTTCTCCCCGAATTTCCCAATTTTCCCCCCGAATTTGCCGATTTCTCCCCGATTTCGCCGATTTTTCCGATTTCTCCCCCAAATTTCCCGCTCCCCCCCCGCTTTCCCCCCCCCCCCTCACCGTAGAGCTGCTGGATGCCGCGCCGGTCGTCCTCGGGCAGCTGGAAGTCCTCGGTGTCCATCCATTGGTAGAAGGGCGCCATGATGGCCGAGGGGTCGCTGGAATGTTCCAGGCCCAGGGAATGGCCCAGCTCGTGCACGGCCACCAGGAACAGGTCGTTCCCTGCCATGGAAGGTCAATGGAGACTCTTCAAGGTCAAGGTTGGGTCATGGAAGGTCAATGGAGACTCTTCATGGTCAATGTTGGGTCATGGAAGGTCAATGGAGATTCTTCATGGTCAAGGTTGGGTCATGGAAGGTCAATGGAGATTCTTCATGGTCAAGGTTGGGTCATGGAAGGTCAATGGAGACTCTTCATGGTCAAGGTTGGGTCAATGGAGACTCTTCATGGTCATGGATGGTCAATGGAGACCCTTCATGGTCAAGGTTGGGTCAATGGAGACTCTTCATGGTCAAGGAAAGTCAATGGAGACTCTTCATGGTCATGGAAGGTCATGGATAGTCAAGGTTGGGTCATGGAAGGTCAATGGGAAGTCAAGGTTGGGTCATGGAAGGTCATGGATAGTCAAGGTTGGGTCAATGGAGACCCTTCAAAGTCATGGAAAGTCAATGGAGACTCTTCATGGTCATGGAAGGTCAAGGTTGGGTCAATGGAGACCCTTCATGGTCATGGAAGGTCAATGGAGACTGTTCATGGTCATGGTTGGGTCGTGGAAGGTCATGGAAGGTCAATGGAGAATCTTCATGGTCGTGGAAGGTCATGGATAGTCAAGGTTGGATCAATGGAGACCCTTCAAGGTCATGGAAGGTCAAGGGAGACTCTTCAGGGTCAATGTTGGGTCATGGAAGGTCAAGGTTGGGTCATGGAAGGTCAATATTGGGTCAATGGAGACCCTTCCATGATCAACGTTGGGTCATGGAAGGTCATGGAAGGTCAATGGAGACTCTTCATGGTCAAGGTTGGGTCATGGAAGGTCAATGGAGACTCTTCATGGTCAATTTTGGGTCATGGAAGGTCATGGAAGGTCAATGGAGAATCTTCATGGTCAAGGTTGGGTCATGGAAGGTCAATGGGAAGTCAAGGTTGGGTCAATGGAGACCCACCAAGGTCATGGAAGGTCAATGGAGAATCTTCATGGTCAAGGTTGGGTCATGGAAGGTCATGGAAGGTCAAAGTTGGGTCAATGGAGACTCTTCAAGGTCATGGAAGGTCAATGGAGACTCTTCAGGGTCAATGTTGGGTCATGGAAGGTCATGGAAGGTCAATGGAGACTCTTCATGGTCAATGTTGGGTCATGGAAGGTCATGGAAGGTCAATGGAGACCCTTCATGGTCAAGGAAAGTCAATGGAGACTCTTCATGGTCATGGAAGGTCATGGATAGTCAAGGCTGGGTCAATGGAGAATCTTCATGGTCATGGTTGGGTCGTGGAAGGTCATGGAAGGTCAATGGAGACCCTTCAAGGTCATGGAAGGTCAATGGAGACTCTTCATGGTCAAGGTTGGTCAATGTTGGGTCATGGGAGGTCAATGTTGGGTCAATGGAGACTCTTCATGGTCATGGAAGGTCAATGGAGACTCTTCAAGGTCATGGAAGGTCATGGATAGTCAAGGTTGGGTCAATGGAGACTCTCCAGGGTCATGGAAGGTCAATGTTGGGTCATGGAAGGTCAATGGGAAGTCAAGGTTGGGTCAATGGAGACTCTTCAAGGTCATGGAAGGTCAAGGTTGGGTCAATGGAGACTCTTCTTGGTCATGGAAGGTCAATGGAGACCCACCAAGGTCATGGAAGGTCAATGGAGACCCTTCATGGTCATGGAAGGTCAAGGTTTGGTCAATGGAGACTCTTCAAGGTCATGGAAGGTCAATGGAGAATCTTCAGGGTCAAGGTTGGGTCATGGGAGGTCATGGATAGTCAAGGTTGGGTCAATGGAGACTCTTCATGGTCATGGAAGGTCAAAGTTGAGTCAATGGAGACCCACCAAGGTCATGGAAGGTCAATGGAGACCCGCCAAGGTCATGGAAGGTCAAAGTTGGGTCAATGGAGAATCTTCATGGTCATGGAAGGTCAATGGGAAGTCAAAGTTGGGTCATGGAAGGTCAATGGAGACTCTTCACGGTCATGGAAGGTCAAAGTTGGGTCAATGTTGGGTCAATGGAGAATCTTCAAGGTCAACGTTGGGTCATGGAAGGTCAATATTGGGTCAATGGAGACCCTTCCATGATCAATGTTGGGTCATAGAAGGTCATGGAAGGTCAATGGAGACTCTTCATGGTCATGGAAGGTCAATGGAGAATCTTCACGGTCAATGTTGGGTCAAGGTTGGGTCATGGAAGGTCAATGGGAAGTCAAGGTTGGGTCAATGGAGACTCTTCATGGTCATGGAAGGTCAAAGTTGGGTCAATGTTGGGTCAATGGAGACTCTTCACGGTCAATGTAGGGTCATGGAAGGTCAAGGTTGGGTCATGGAAGGCCCACGTTGGGTCAATGGAGGCTCTTCAAGGTCATGGAAGGTCAATAGAGAATCTTCATGGTCATGGAAGGTCAAGGTTGGGTCATGGAAGGCCCATGTTGGGTCAATGGAGACCCTTCATGGTCATGGAGGGTCAATGGAGAATCTTCATGGTCAAGGTTGGGTCATGGAAGGTCAATGTTGGGTCAATGGAGACTCTTCATGGTCATGGAAGGTCAAGGTTGGGTCATGGAAGGACAAAGTTGGGTCAATGGAGACTCTTCAAGGTCATGGAAGGTCAATGGGAAGTCAAGGTCAATGTTGGGTCAATGGAGTCCCTTCCATGATCAACGTTGGGTCATGGAAGGTCATGGAAGGTCATGGAAGGTCATGGAAGGTCAATGGAGATTTTTCACCATTTTCCCCATTTTTCCCCATTTTCCCCCATTTTCCCCATTTCCCCCATTTTTCCCCCATTCCCCCTCCTCTCACCACTCAGATCATCCCCTCTCCCCGTCCACGGCTCGGCGCCATCGAAATGTGACTCATGTTTTCCCCATTTACCCCATTTCCCCCATTTTCTCTCACACTTCCGCCATTTTCTCTCACACTTCTGCCATTTTGTCTTCCGCCATTTTGTCTCACATTTCCACCATTTTCTCCCATATTTTCCCCATTTTCTCCCATTTTTCCCCCATTTTTTCCCCATTTTTTCCCCATTTTTTCCCCATTTTTCCCCATTTTCCCCCCATTTTCTCCCCATTTTTCCCCCCCCATTTTTTCCCCATTTTCTCTCACATTTCCGCCATTTTCTCTCACATTTTCCCCATCTTCTCTCATATTTCCCCCATTTTCTCTCATATTTTCCCGTTATTTTCTCTTTTTTTCCCCATTTTTGTCTCACATTTTTCCCTATTTTTTTCCCCATTTTTTGTCATATTTTCCCCTTTTTCTCTCACATTTTCCCTATTTCCCCCGTTTTCTCTCACACTTCCGCCATTTTTTCCCACATCTCCACTTCTCTTCCGCCATTTTCTCTTCCGCCATTTTCTCTTATACTTCCGCCATTTGCTCTTGCACCATTTTCTCTCCCATTTCCGCCATTTTCTCTCACATTTCTGCCATTTTCTCTTCCACCATTTTCTCTCAAACTTCCGCCATTTTGTTTTACACTTCCGCCATTTTCTCTCACATTTCCGCCATTTTCTCTCACATTTTCCCCATTTTCTCCCATATTTTCCCCATTTATTCTCCCATTTTCCCCCCATTTTTACCCCATATTTTCCCCCATTTCCCCCCGTATTTTTCCCCATTTTCTCTCACATTTCCGCCATTTTCTCTCACATTTCCGTCATTTTTTCTCCCATTTTCCCCCCATTTTTCCCCCATTTCTTCTCCCATTTTCCCCCATTTCCCCCCATTTCCCCCCATTTTTCCCCCATTTCCCCCCCCCATTTTCTCTCAAATTTCTCCTATTTTTTTCCCCATTTTTCTCCCATTTTTGGCCATATTTTGCCCTTTTTCTCTCACATTTCCCCCATTTTCTCCCCGTTTTCTCTCACACTTCCTCCATTTTCTCTCAAACCTCCGCCATTTTCTCTTCCGCCATTTTCTCTCACACTTCGGCCATTTTCTCCCACATTTTCCCCATTTCCCCCCCATTTCCCCCCATTTTCTGCCGATTTTTTCCCCATTTTTCCCCCATTTTCTCTCAAATTTCCCCCATTTTATTCCCCATTTTTTCCCCATTTTCTTTCACACTTCCGCCATTTTTTCCCACACCTCCGCCATTTTCTCTTCCGCCATTTTCTCTCCCATTTCCGCCATTTTCTCTCACACTTCCGCCATTTTCTCTCACACTTCCGCCATTTTCTCTTATACTTCCGCCATTTTCTCTCATACTTCCGCCATTTTGTCTCCCATTTCCGCCACTTCCACCATTTTGTCTCACATTTCTGCCATTTTCTCTCATATTTTCCCCATTTTTACTCCATTTTTCCCCCATTTTCCCCCATTTTCTCCCATTTTTCCCATTTTCCCCCCATTTTTTCCCTATTTTCTCTCACACACTTCCGCCATTTTTTCCCACACGTCCGCCATTTTCTCTTCCGCCATTTTCTCTTCCACCATTTTCTCTCACACTTCCGCCATTTTCTCTTCTGCCATTTTCTCTCACATTTCCGCCATTTTCTCTCACATTTCCGCCATTTTCTCTCATATTTTCCCCATTTCCCCCCCATTTTTCCCCATTTTTCCTCATTTTATTCCCCATTTTTCCCCCCATTTTTTCCCCAGTTTCTCTCCCATTTTCTCTCCCATTTCCGCCATTTTTTCCCACACCTCCGCTTCTCTTCCACCATTTTCTCTCACATTTCCGCCATTTTCTCTCATATTTTCCCAATATTTTCTCCCATTTTTTCCCAAATTTTTCCCCATTTTCTCTCACACTTCCACCATTTTGTCTCACATTTCCGCCATTTTCTCTCACATTTCCGCCATTTTCTCTTCCACCATTTTCTCTCATATTTCCACCATTTTCTCCCATTTTTTCCCCCCGATATTTTCTCTTTTTTCCCCCATTTTCTCTCATATTTTTACCCATTTTTTCCCCTCATTTTTGGTCATATTTTCCCGATATTTTCTCCCATTTTTTCCCTTACTTTTCCCCATTTTCTCTCACGTTTCTGCCATTTTCTCTTCCGCCATTTTCTCTTATACTTCCGCCATTTTCTCTCACGTTTCCGCCATTTTCTCTCACACTTCCTCCATTTTCTCTCACACCTCCGCCATTTTCTCTTCCGCCATTTTCTCTCACACTTCCACCATTTTCTTTCACACTTCTGCCATTTTGTCTCACATTTCCGCCATTTTCTCCCATTTTTTCCCATACTTTTCCCCATCTTGTCTCACACTTCCGCCATTTTCTCTCATAGTTCCACCATTTTCTCTTCCACCATTTTTTCTCACATTTCTGCCCTTTTCTCCCATATTTTCTCCATTTATTCTCCCATTTTCCCCCCATTTTTTCCCCATTTTTCCCCATTTTTTCCCCATTTTCCCCATTTTTCCCCATTTTCTCTCACACTTCCGCCATTTTCTATCATACTCCCGCCATTTTCTCTTCCGCCATTTTCTCTCACATTTCCGCCATTTTCTCTCGTATTTTCCCCATATTTTCACCATTTTCTCCCCATTTTTCCCCCATTTTCTCTCACACATTTCCCCCATTTTCTCTCATATTTCCGCCATTTTCTCTCATACTTCCCCCATTTTCTCCCATATTTTCCAGATATTGTCTCTGGTTTTTCCCCCCATTTTTTCCCCATTTTCCCCCCATTTTCTCCCCATTTTCTTCCCATTCCCCCCCCTTTTTCCCCATTTTCTCTCACATTTTCCCCATTTTCTCTCATATTTTCCTGATATTTTCTCCCATTTTCCCCCATTTTTTCCCCATTTTCTCTCACACTTCCACCATTTTCTCTTCCGCCATTTTCTCTTCCACCATTTTCTCTTCTGCCATTTTGTCTCATATTTTCGCGATGTTTTTTCTCTTTTCCCCCATTTTCCCCCATTTTCTCCCATTTTCCCCCATTTCCCCCCCATTTTCCCCCATTTTCTCCCATTTTCCCCCATTTTCCCCCATTTTTCCCCATTTTCCCCCATTTTCTCCCATTTTCCCCCATTTTCCCCCATTTTTCCCCATAATTTCTCTATTTTTCCCCCATTTCCCCCATTTCCCCTCCTCTCACCACTCAGATCATCCCCTCGTCCCGTCCACGGCTCGGCGCCATCGAAGTGCGCGTCTCCACCGATGTTGGGCCCGGGGAAGTAGGCGTGCGCCAGGAACCCGCCGGGCCCGTCGAAGGGCGCCGCGTCGCCGTGGAAGCCCTCGGCGAACATCACCATGATGTCGGCGCCGGGAGCGGCGCCGGAGCGGATCCGCCCGTACGGAACCTCCCGGAAGCGCAGCGCCGGCGCCGCCGAGGCCCAGGCCTGGAAGGCGCGGCGGATGGCGGAGCGGGTGCCGGCCTCGCCCACCTTGGGCGTGTAGTTCTGGATGCTGGGGGGGAGGGTGAAGGTGACCCAAAATCCACATTTTTCAACCCAAAATGACGACTTTTTGTCAAAAATCACAATTTTTGCCCTAAAATCCCCATTTTTCACCCAAATTTCCCCGGGTTTTTTGTGTCTATCCCCTCCCACCCTCCCCCAGGTGTGCCCAGGTTTGCCCTGATGACCCAAAACCCCCAAAATCCCCATTTTTTGTCCGAAATCCCCATTTTAAACCCAAAATCGCCATTTTTTGTCATAAATCCCCATTTTTGCCCAAAAATCCCCATTTTTCACCAAAAATACCCATTTTTCCCCCAAAATCGGTATTTTTCTCCCAAAATTGCCATTTTTTGTCAAAAATCACCATTTTTGCCCAAAAATCCCCATTTTTCACCCCAAAGTCCCCATTTTTGTCAAAAATCGCCATTTTTTCCCAAAAATCCCCATTTTTCACCCAAATTTCACCGGGTTTTTTGGTTTTTCCCCTCCCAGCTGTGCCCAGACCCCCAAAATCCCCGTATTTTGTCAAAAATCCCAACTTTTTACACAAAATCCCCATTTTTCACCCCAAAATCCCCATTTTTGGTCAAAAATCACTATTTTTGCCCAAAAATCCCCACTTTTCACCCAAATTTCACCGGGTTTTCTCTAGTTTTCCCTTCCGAAAAGTGCCCAGGTGAGCCCAAACCCCAAAATCCCCATTTTTTATCTAAAATCCCCATTTTTTGCCCAAAATCCCCATTTTTCACCCCAAAATCCCCATTTTTTGTCAAAAATCGCCATTTTTGCCCTAAAATCCTCATTTTTTACCCAAATGTCACCGGGTTTTTGTTGTTTTCCCCCTCCCACCTGTGGCCACGTGTCCCAGGTGACCCAAAATTGTCATTTTCCCCCCAAAATTCCCATTTTTTGTCAAAAATCCCCATTTTTCACCCCAAAATCCCCATTTTTTGTCAAAAATCACTATTTTTGCCCTAAAATCCCCATTTTTCACCCAAATTTCACCGGGTTTTTTTTTGTTTTTCCCCTCCCATCCTCCCCCAGCTGTGCCCAAATCCCCAAAATCCCCATTTTCACATCAAAATCCCCATTTTCCCCCAAAATCGCTATTTTTCTCCCAAAATTGCCATTTTTTGTCAAAAATCACCATTTTTGCCCTAAAATCCCCATTTTTCACCCAAATCTCACCGTGTTTTTTATGTTTATCCCCTCCCAGGTGTGCCCAGGTGTGCCCAAGCCCCCAAAATCCCCATTTTCACATCAAAATCCCCATTTTTTGTCCAAAATCCCAATTTTTTGTCAAAAATAACCATTTTTCACCGAAAATCGCCATTTTTACCCAAAAATCCCCATTTTTCACCCAAATTTCCCCGGGTTTTTTGTGTTTTCCCCCTCCCACCTGTGCCCAGGTGTCCCAGGTGACCCAAAATTTTCATTTACCCCCCAAAATCCCCATTTTTTGTCCAAAACCCCATTTTTTCTCCCAAAATCCCCATTTTTTGTCAAAAATCGCTATTTTTGCCCAAAATCCCCCATTTTTCACCCAAATTTCACCGGGTTTTTTTGTGTTTTCCCCCTCCCAGCTGTGTCCAGGTGTGCCCAGGTGTGCCCAATCCCCAAAACCCCCATAATCCCCATTTTTTACCCCAAATCCCAATTTTTCACCCCAAAACTGCCATTTTTTATCAAAAATCCCCATTTTTGCCCAAAAATCCCCATTTTTCACCCAAATTTCACCGGGTTTTTTGTGTTTTTCCCCTCCCAGGTGTGCCCCAACCCCCAAAATCCCCATTTGCACATCAAAATCCCCATTTTTTGTCCAAAATCCCATTTTTTAATAAAAAATCTCCATTTTTTGTCAAAAATCACCATTTTTGCCCAAAATCCCCATTTTTCACCCAAATTTCCCCGGGTTTTTTGTGTTTTCCCCCTCCCAGCCGCCCCCCGGCGTTACCTGTAGGTGATCTCGGGCTGCTCCCAGCGCTGTCCCTGCAGGGCGAAGCGGCGCCGCCTCACCTGAGCCTTCACCTGAGGCCCGAATTTATCCGGGACGCCGCAGCGGGGGCGGAGCATGGCCCTGGAACCAGTATGGACCAGTTTGGACCAGTTTAAACCAGTATGGACCAGTATGGACCAGTATAAACCAGTATGGACCAGTATGGACCAGTTTGGACCAAAAAAACCCCGTAAAAAACGGGAAAAAACTGTAAAAAACAGTAAAAAAACAGTGAAAACCAGTAAAAAACCAGTAAAAAACAGTATGGACCAGTATGGACCAGTATGGACCAGTATGGACCAGTATGGACCAGTATGGACCAAAAAAACCCCGGTAAAAAATGGAAAAAAAATGGTAAAAAACAGTAAAAAAACAGTGAAAACCAGTATAAACCAGTATAAACCAGTATGGACCAGTATAAACCACTATGGACCAGTATGGACCAGTATAAACCAGTATGGACCAGTATGGACCAAAAAAACCCAGTAAAAAACGGAAAAAAACTGTAAAAACCAGTATAAACCAGTATGGACCAGTATGGACCAGTTCAGACCAGTATAAACCATTATGGACCAGTACGGACCAGTATGGAGCAAAAAAACCCGGTAAAAAACGGAAAAAAATCGGTAAAAATCGGTAAAAACCAGTATAAACCAGTATGGACCAGTATAAACCAGTATGGACCAGTTTAAACCAGTATAAACCAGTTCAGACCAGTATAAACCAGTTTGGACCAGTATCAACCAGTTTGGACCAAAAAAAACCCGTAAAAAATGGAAAAAAACTGTAAAAAACAGTAAAAAAACAGTGAAAACCAGTATGGACCAGTATGGACCAGTATGGACCAGTTTGGACCAGTATGGACCAGTATAAACCAGTATAAAGCAGTAAAAACCAGTATAAACCAGTATAAACCAGTACAAACCAGTATGGACCAGTATAAACCAGTATGGACCAGTATGAACCAGTATAAACCAGTATGGACCAGTATGGACCAGTATGGAGCAGTATGGAGCAAAAAAACCCAATAAAAATGGAAAAAATTTGGTCAAAACCAGTAAAAACCAGTAAAAACCAGTATAGACCAGTTTGGACCAGTATAAACCAGTATGGACCAGTATAAACCAGTATGGACCAGTATGGACCAGTATGGACCAGTATAAACCAGTTCGGACCAGTATGGACCAGTATGGACCAGTATGGACCGGTAAAAACCAGTATGGACCAGTATAAACCAGTATGGACCAGTATGGACCAGTATGGACCAGTATGGACCAGTATGGACCAGTATAGACCAGTATGGACCAGTATAAACCAGTATGGACCAGTATGGACCAGTATGGACCAGTATAAACCAGTATGGACCAGTATGGACCAGTATGGACCAGTATAAACCAGTATGGACCAGTATGGACCAGTATGGACCAGTATGGACCAGTATGGACCAGTATGGACCAGTATGGACCAGTATAAACCAGTATGGACCAGTATGGACCAGTATGGACCAGTATGGACCAGTATGGACCAGTTTGGACCAGTTTGGATCAAAAAAACCCGGTAAAAAACTGAAAAAATTGGTAAAAACCAGTATAAACCAGTAAAAACCAGTAAAACCTGTTTACAAAATCACCATTTTTGGCCCCAAAACCCAAGAATGACCCAAAAATGGCCATTTTTGGTTCCAAATGACCCAAAATTGCTGTTTCTGACCCAAAACCCAATGGTGACCCCAAAAATGGCCATTTTGGGATCCCATTGACCCAAAATTGCCGTTTTTCACCCCAAAACCCAACAACGACCCCAAAAATTGACTTTTTTTGGTTCCAAATGACCCAAAATCGCAGTTTTTCCCCCCAAAACCCAACAACAACCCCAAAAATGGCCATTTTTTATTCCAAATGACCCAAAATCCCCGTTTTTCGCCCCAAACCCAAGAATGACCGAAAATCGCCCTTTTTGGCCCCAAAATGCAACAATGACCCAAAACCCAACAACAACCCCAAAAATTAACATTTTTGGTTCCAAGTCACCCAAAATCGCCGTTTTTCGACCCAAAACCCAACGGTGACTCAAAATCGCCATTTTTTGCAGCAAACCTGTCCCTGTTGACCCAAAATTGCCATTTTTGGCCCCAAAACCTGATGGTGCCCCCAAAAATGAACATTTTTCCTTCCCAATGACCCAAAATTGCCGTTTTTTGACCCAAAACCCACTGGTGCCCCCAAAAATGAACATTTTTTAGTTCCCAATGACCCAAAATCGCCGTTTTTTGACCCAAAACCCAACAACGCCCCAAAATCACCATTTTTTTTGTTCCTGTTGACCCAAAATCGCCATTTTTCAACCCAAAACCCAACCATGATCCCAAAACCCAACAACGAGCATAAAAATCACCATTTTTGGTTCCAAATGACCCAAAATCACCATTTTTGACCCCAAACCAAACAACACCCCAAAATCCCCATTTTTCCCCCAAAACCCAAGAACAACCCCAAAAATTGACATTTCTCGTTCCCTTTGACCCAAAATCGCTGTTTTTCACCCCAAAACCTAATGATGACCCCAAAAACGGACATTTTTCCTTCCCAACGAACCAAAATCGCCATTTTTCACCCCAAACCGAACAATTACCCAAAAATGAATATTTTTTTGTTCCAAACGCCCCAAAATCCCCGTTTTTCCCCCCAAACCCAACAATGACACCAAAAATGGCCATTTCTCGTTCCCATTGACCAAAAATCACTGTTTTTCACCCCAAAATCCAACAACGCCCCAAAATCGCCATTTTTTTCCCCAAACGCCCCAAAATCGCCATTTTTCGCCCCCAACCCCATCAATGACCCAAAAATGGCCATTTTTGGTTCCAAATTACCCAAAATCGCCGTTTTTCACCCCAAAACCCAACAAGGACCCCAAAAATCACCATTTTTCACCCCAAACCCAACAACGCCCCAAAATTGCCATTTTTTTTTTCCAAACGCCCCAAAATCCCCCTTTTTCCCCCCAAACCCAGCAATGACCCCAAAACCCAACGGTGCCCCCAAAATTGGCCATTTCTGGTTCCAAATGACCCAAAATCGCCATTTTTTCCCCAAAACCCAACAATGACTCAAAATTGCCTTTTTTCGACCCAAAACCCAACAACGCCCCAAAATTGCCATTTTTGGCCCCAAAACGCAACCATGACCTCAAAAATGACCATTTTTGGTTCACAATGACCCAAAATCGGCAGTTTTCACCCCAAAACCCAACAATGACTCCAAAAACGGCCATTTTTCCTTCCCAACGACCCAAAATTGCCGTTTTTCGCCCCAAAACCCAACAATGACCCCAAAACCCAACAATGACCCCAAAAATGGCCATTTTTGGTTCCCAATGACCCAAAATCCCCATTTTTCCCCCAAAACCCAAGAACAACCCAAAACCGACCATTTTTTTCCCCAAACGCCCCAAAATCCCCGTTTTCCCCCCCAAACCCAACAATGACCCCAAAACCCAACAACGACACCAAAAATTGACATTTTTTTGGTTCCAAATGACCCAAAATTGCTGTTTTTCACCCCAAAACCCAACAATGCCCCAAAATTACCATTTTTCTCCCCAAAACCCAACAACGCCCCAAAATCACCATTTTTTTTCTCTAAATACCCCAAAATCGCCGTTTTTGACCCAAAATCACCATTTTTTTTCCCAAACGCCCCAAAATCCCCGTTTTTCCCCCCAAACCCAACAATGACCCAAAATGTCTGTTTTTCGCCCCGAAACCAAACCATGACCCCAAAAATGGCCGTTTCTGGTTCCCATTGACCCAAAATCGCCGTTTTTCAACCCAAAACCCAAAAACTACCCCAAAAATGGCTATTTCTAGTTACTGTTGACCCAAAATTGCCATTTTTCACCCCAAAACCCACTGGTGCCCCCCAAAATGAACATTTTTTAGTTCCCAATGCCCCAAAATCGCCATTTTTGGCCTCAAAACCCAAGAATAACCCCAAAACCACAATTTTTGAGTCTAAAACCCAACAACAACCCCAAAAATGGCCATTTTTTGTTCCAAATGACCCAAAATTGCTGTTTTTGGCCCCAAAACCCAACAACGCCCCAAAAATGGACATTTTTCCTTCCCAATGACCCAAAATCGCTGTTTTTCACCCTAAAACCCAAGAATGACCCAAAATCACAATTTTTCAACCCAAAACCCAACAACAACCCAAAATCACCATTTTTTTGTTCCAAATGCCCCAAAATTGCCGTTTTTTACCCCAAAACTCAACAACAACCCAAAAATGGCCATTTTTTGTTCCAAATAACCCAAAATCACCGTTTTTCGACCCAAAACCCAACAACGACCCAAAAATTGCTATTCTTGGCCCCAAAACCCAACGACGACCCTAAAAATGGCCATTTTTTGTTCAAAATGACCCAAAATGGCCGTTTTCCACCCCAAAACCTAATGATGACCCCAAAAACGGACATTTTTCCTTCCCAACGAACCAAAATCGCCATTTTTCGCCCCAAAACCCAAGAATGACCGAAAATCCCCGTTTTTGGCCCCAAAACCCAACAACGCCCCAAAATCACCATTTTTTGGTTCCAAATGACCCAAAATCGCCGGTTTTCGACCCAAAACCCAACAATGACCCAAAATCACCATTTTTCGACCCAAAACCCAACAACGCCCCAAAACCGGCCATTTTTTTTTCCCAAATGACCCAAAATGGGCGTTTTTGACCCAAAACCCAAGAATGACCCAAAATCGGCATTTTTGACCCCAAGACCCAACAGTGACCCCAAAAATGGCCATTTCTGCTTCCAAATGACCCAAAATCACCATTTTTCTCCTGAAACCCAACACTGACCCCAAAAATGGACATTTTTGGTTCCAAATGACCCAAAATCGCCCTTTTTCTCCCCAAACCCGATGTTGCCCCCCCAAATGGACATTTTTTGGTTCCTGTTGACCCAAAATCGCGATTTTTAACCCCAAAACCCAAGGGTGACCCCAAAACCCAACAGTGACCCCAAAAATGCCCATTTTTTCTTCGAAATGACCCAAAATCGCCGTTTTTCGACCCAAAACCCAACAACGACTCCAAAATCACCATTTTTGACCCCAAAACCCAACAACAACCCTACAAACGTCCATTTTTTTGTCCAAATAACCAAAAATCACCATTTCTCGCCCCAAAACCCAACAACAACCCAAAACCCCCATTTTTTCCCCAAACGCCCCAAAACCCCCGTTTTTCGCCCCAAACGCACCGCAGGGTCTCGGCGTCGGCGGTGCCGGTGACGGGGAGGCCGTAGAACCTCTGCATGGCCGCCAGAGCCGCCGAGAGCGACGCCGGCGCCGAGCGCGGCCGCGAGCGCAGGTCCCCGGGGGGCAGGTACCCGTACTGCTGCAGCCAGGCCTGGGAAAAATGGGGGAAAAATGGGGATTTTGGGAAAAATGGGGATTTTTGGGGGGGATTTGGGGTTTTTGGGGATTTTTCCTGTTTTTTTTGGGATTTTTTTGAGGGTTTTTGGTGATTTTTTGCCATTTTTTGAGGATTTTTTTCCAATTTTATATCGATTTTTTTGGTAATTTTGTCATTTTTTGTCAGGATTTTTTCTGATTTTTTTCGTGATTTTTTTTGGGGAATTTTCCCAATTTTTTCGATATTCCTCCATTTTGTATTTTTTAAATTTTTCCTGATTTTTTTCCTAAATTTTTGGGCTTTTTTCCATTTTTTGGGGGATTTTCCCCAATTTTCTCGGTATTCCCCCATTTTTTTTTTTTTCCCCGATTTTTTTCCTGATTTTTTTTTTATTTTTTCAAAATTTTTGGGGATTTTTCCCCAATATTTTGCATTTATTACCTAGAAAATTTGGGAATTTTCCCTGATTTTTTCAAGATTTTTTCCGGGATTTTTGGGGATTTTTTGGGGATTTTTTGGGGGTATTTTTGCCATTTTTTTCAGGATTTTTTCAGATTTTTTTTGTGATTTTTTGGGGGAATTTTCCCAATTTCTAGGAGACTTTCCATTTTTTTTTTTTAATTTTTCCCGATTTTTTTTTTCCCTATTTTTTTGAGATCCCTGGGGGGCAGGTACCCGTACTGCTGCAGCCAGGCCTGGGAAAAAGGGAATTTGGGGAATTTTGGGAAAAAACGGGAATTTTGGGGGGTATTCCTAATTTTGGGATTTTTTTTGGGATTTTTTGGGATTTTTTGGGAGGTTTTTGGGGATTTTTTGACATTTTTTGAGGATTTTTTTCCAATTTTATATCGACTTTTTTGGTAATTTTGTCATTTTTTGTCAGGATTTTTTCAGATTTTTTTCGTGATTTTTTTTGGGGAATTTTCCCAAATTTTTTCGATATTCCTCCATTTTGTATTTTTAAAAATTTTTCCCGATTTTTTTTCCCTGATTTTTTTTGGATTTTTTTCCGAATTTTTGGGGATTTTTTCCCAATATTTTGCAATTATTACCTGGAAAATTTGGGAATTTTTCCCGATTTTTTTTTGATTTTTTGGGGGATTTTGGTGAATTTTGGTGATTTTTTGGGGTGTTTCTGTCATTTTTTTTCAGGACTTTTTCAGATTTTTCATTATGTTTTGGAGGGATTTTCCCAATTTCTAGGAGACTTTCCATTATTTTTTTAAATTTTTCCCGATTTTTTTTTCCCCTATTTTTTTGGGATCCCCGGGGGGCAGGTACCCGTACTGCTGCAGCCAGGCCTGGGAAAAATGGGGGAAAAATGGGGATTTTGGGAAAAATGGGGATTTTGGGGATTTGGGGGGTTTTTGGGGATTTTTTGGGATTTTTTGGGGATTTTTTGGGAGGTTTTTGGGGATTTTTTGGGGTTTTTTTGAGGATTTTTTTCCGATTTTATATTGATTTTTTCGAGATTTTTTTGGGTATTTTTGCCCTTTTTGTCAGGATTTTTTCAGATTTTTTCATTATTTTTTGGGAAGATTTTCCCAATTTCTTGAAGATTTTCCCCTTTTTTTTATTATTTTTTTTTATTTTTCCTGATTTTTCACCCAAAATTTTTTGGATTTTTTTCCTATTTTTCAGCAATTTTTCCAATATTTTGGAATAATTACCTGGAAAATTTGGGAATTTTCCCTGATTTTTTTTTGATTTTTTGGGGTTTTTGGGGGGTTTTTGATGATTTTTTGGGGTTTTTTTGATGGTTTTTTGAGGATTTTTTTAGATTTTTTGGTGATTTTTTGGGGTTTTTCCCAATTTTTTCGGTATTCGTCCATTTTTTATATTTTAATTTTTCCCGATTTTTTTCCCTAATTTTTTTGGCTTTTTTCCCAATCTTTTGGGATTTTCCCCATTTTCTTTGATAATCCCCCATGGTTTTTTTCCCCTGATTTTTTTTATTTTTTGGGGATTTTTGGGAATTTTTCGCCAGTATTTTGGAATTCTTTCCTGGATATTTTAGGATTTTTCCCTGATTTTTTAGGATTTTTTTCTGGATTATTTTGGGATTTTTTTGGGATTTTTTGGGGGTATTTTTGCCATTTTTTGAGGATTTTTTTCCAATTTTATATCGATTTTCCGTGATTTTTTGGGGTATTTTTGCCGTTTTTTTGAGGATTTTTTTTAAATTTTATATCGATTTTCCATGATTTTTTGGGTATTTTTGCCGTTTTTTCAAGATATTTTCAGATTTTTTCGTGATTTTTTGAGGGGATTTTCAAAATTTCTTGGAGATTTTTTTTTCATTTTTCCTGATTTTTGTCCTAATTTTTTTGGATTTTTTTTCCCAATTTTTTGTGATTTTTTTCCCCAATTTTTTTGAATTTTCTCTAAATTTTTGGGATTTTTTTCCGAATTTTTGTAAATTTTGCCAAATATTTTGGAATTCTTTCCTGGATATTTTAGGATTTTTCCCTGATTTTTTTAGGGATTTTTGGGATTTTTTGGGGGTTTTGGGGGGGTTTTTGGGGATTTTTCGCCATTTTTTGAGGATTTTTTTCCGATTTTATCTTGATTTTTCAAGATTTTTTGGGGTATTTCTGTTGTATTTTTCAGGATTTTTTTGGGATTTTTTGCGGGGATTTTCCCAATTGTTTTGAGAGTTTCCCTTTTTTTATAGTTTTTTTATTTTTCCCGATTTTTTTCCCCTAATTTTTTTGGGATCCCCGGGGGGCAGGTACCCGTACTGCTGCAGCCAGGCCTGGGAAAAAGGGGATTTTGGGGGAAAAATGGGGATTTTGGGAATTTTGGGAAAAAACGGGAATTTTGGGGGGTATTCGCGGTTTTTGGGGATTTTTCGGGATTTTTTGGGGGGTTTTTGGGGATTTTTTGGGGGTTTTCACCGATTTTTTATGGGATTTTTTGGGATTTTTTACGGGGTTTTTTGGGGGTTTTTGATGGATTTTTGAGGACTTTTGGGGATTTTTGGGGGGTTTTTCACCCCAAAACCCACAATGACCCCAAAAATTGCTGTTTTTCGACCCAAAACGTGATGGTACCCCCAAAAATGGCCATTTTTTGGATATTCCCCCATAATTTTTTTTAAATTTTTCCCAATTTTTTCCTAAATTTTTTGGATTTTTTTCCCCAATTTCTGGGGATTTTTTCCCCAATATTTTGGAATTTTTTTCTGGATAATTTGGGGTTTTTCGATGATTTTTTAGGGATTTTTTACAGGATTTTTTGGTGGTTTTTTTGTGTATTTTTGTCTTTTTTTTCCAGGATTTTTTAAGATTTTTTTTGTGATTTTTTGGGGGGATTTTCCTAATTTTTTCAGTATTCCTTCATTTATTTTTTAAATTTTTCCAGATTTTTTTCCACTGATTTTTTGGATTTTTTTTCCCAATTTTTGGGGATATTTTCCCCAATATTGTGGAATTCTTTTCTGGACAAATTGGGAATTTTCCCTGATTTTTTGGGGGTTTTTTTGAGGGTTTTTGGGGGTTTTTTGGTGATTTTTTGGGGTTTTTTTGCCCGTTTTTTGAGGAGTTTTTCAGATTTTTCATTATTTTTTGGGAAGATTTTCCAAATTTCTTGGAGATTTTCCCTTTTTTTATAGTTTTTTTATTTTTCCCGATTTTTTTTCCCTAATTTTTTTGATGTTTTTCCCCAATTTTTTGGGGATTTTTTAACCAAAGTTTTAGATATTTTTTCTAATTTTCCCCAATTTTAGGGGATTTTTTCCCCAATATTTCGGAATTATTTCCTGGATAATTTGGGAATTTTCCTTGATTTTTTGGGGATTTTTTTTCCTGGATATTTTGGGTTTTCCATGATTTTTTTTGTATTTTTGCTGATTTTTTTGAGGATTTTTTCCAATTTTATATCAATTTTCCATGATTTTTTGGGGTATTTTTGCCGGTTTTTTTGAGGATTTTTTTCCAATTTTATATCAAGTTTTCGAGATTTTTTGGGGGTATTTTTGTCGTTTTTTTCCAGGATTATTTTGTGATTTTTTGGGGATTTTCCTAATTTTTTTGACATTCGCTCATTTTTTTTTAAATTTTTTCCTGATTTTTCCCTAAATTTTTGGGGGTTTTTTCCCAATTTTTGGGGATGTTTTCCCAATTTCTTTGCTATCCCCCCTTTTTTTTTTTTTTTATTTTTCCCAATTTTTCCCCTAATTTTTTGGGATTTTTTTCCCAATTTTTGTGAATTTTGCCAAATATTTCAGAATTATTTCCTGCATAATTTGGCAATTTTCCTTGATTTTTTAGGAATTTTTTTATGGGATTTTTTGGGGTTTCTTGGTGATTTTTTGGGGGAGTTTTGCCTTTTTTCCTGATTTTTGGGGGTTTTTGGGGGTCCTGGTGGATTTTTGGGGGTTCCTGGATGAATTTTTGGCAATTTTGGGGCAATTTTGGGGCTTTTAGATCAAATTTTGGGGTTCCCAGATGAAATTTTGGGTTTTTTTGGGGCAATTTTGCATCTTTTTGGGGCGATTTTGGGGCATTTTTGGGGCTTTTAGATCCAATTTTGGGGTTCTGGGGTGGAATTTTGGGTCTTTTGGGGCAATTTTGGGGTTCCTGGATGAAATTTTGGGGTTCCCGGGTGAATTTTGGGTCTTTTTGGGGCAATTTTGGGGTTTCTGGGTGAAAATTTGGGGTTCCCGGGTGAATTTTGGGTCTTTTTGGGGCAATTTTGGGGCTTTTCGATCAAATTTTGGGGTTCCTGGATGAATTTTTGGGACAATTTTGGAGCAATTTTGGGGTTCCCGGGTGGAATTTTGGGGCAATTTTGGGACTTTTTGTGAATTTTGGGGTTCCTGGGTGGAATTTTGGGTCTTTTTGGGGCAATTTTGGGGTTTTTAGATCCAATTTTGGGGGTCCCGTGTGAATTTTGGGTCTTTTTGGGGCAATTTCGGGGTTCCTGGGTGAAAATTTGGGGGTCCCAAATTAAATTTTGGGGGTTCCTGGTGAATTTTGGGTTTTTTGGGGCAATTTTCGGATTTTTTGTGAATTTTGGGGTTCCTGGATGAATTTTTGGGGGTTCCTGGATGAATTTTTGGCGATTTTGGGGCAATTTTGGGGTTTTTTCGGGCAATTTTGGGGTTTCTGGATGAATTTTTGGTGATTTTGGGGCAATTTTGGGTCTTTTTGTGAATTTTGGGGTTCCTGGATGAAATTTTGGGGTTCTGGGAATGAATTTTGGGTCATTTTGGGGCAATTTTGGGGCTTTTAGGTCCAATTTTGGGGGTCCCGGGTGAATTTTGGGTATTTTTGGGGCAATTTTGGGACTTTTTGTGAATTCTGGGTGTCCCGAGTGAATTTTTGGTGATTTTGGGGCGATTTTGGGGCTTTTAGGTCAAATTTTGGGGGTCTTGGATGAAAATTTTGGGTCTTTTTGGGCAATTTTGGGTCTTTTTGAGGCAATTTTGGGGGTTTTGGATCAAATTTTGGGGTTCCCGGATGGAATTTGGGGAGTCCTGGGTGAATTTTGGGGCAATTTTGGGAATTTTTGTGAATTTTGGGTCTTTTTGGGAAAATTTTGGGTCTTTTAGGTCAAATTTTGGGGGGTCCCGGGTGGAATTTTGGGGCAATTTCGGGATTTTTTGTGAATTTTGGGGCTCCTGGATGAAATTTTGGGGCAATTTTTGGGTTTCTGGATGAAATTTTGGGGGTTCCCGGGTGAATTTTGGGGCTTTTTGGGGCAATTTTGGGGTTCCCGGATGAAATTTTGGGTCTTTTTGGGGCAATTTTGGGTCTTTTTGTGAATTTTGGGGTTTCTGGATGAAATTTTGGGGGTTCCCGGATGAAATTTTGGGGTTTTTTGGGGCAATTTTGGGGCTTTTAGATCCAATTTTGGGGGTCCCGGGTGGATTTTGGGTCTTTTTGGGGCAATTTTGGGGTTCCTGGGATGAATTTTTGGCAATTTTGGGGCAATTTTGGGCTTCCCGGGTGGAAATTTTGGGTCTTTTTGGGGCAATTTTGGGGCAATTTTGGGGCTTTTTGTGAATTTTGGGCTTCCCGGGTGAATTTTGGGTCATTTTGGGGCATTTTTGGGATTCCCAAATCCAATCCCGCCCCTCCCCTTCCCCCCCCCCCCCCGCGTCATTTTCGGGAATTTTTTTGGGGATTTTTTGGGATATTTTGGGAAAATTTGGGGCGTGGCCGCCCCTCCCCCACCCCCCCCCCTTCCCAAAATATTTTTTTTGGGGAAAAAACCCCCAAAAAACCCAAAAAAACCCCCCAAAAACCCAAAAAATTAAAGGTGGGGGAGGGGCGAGAGGGAGACGTGGCGGGGGGGGGGGGGCGGGAACGGGAACAGCCAAAATTTGGGGATTTTAACCCAAAATTTGGGGGTTTTAACCCAAAATTTGGGGATTTTGACCCAAAATTTGGGGGTTTTGACACAAAATTTGGGGGTTTTGAACCAAAATTTGGGGGTTTTAACCCAAAATTTGGGGGTCCCGGAGCTGAAATTTGGGGTAAAATCGCCGAATTTTGGGGTTTTTTGGGTGTAAAAATTGTGGATTTTGGGATTTTTTGGGGTAAAACCGAAATAATTTGGGGTTTTTTGGGGTGAAATCGCCGAATTTTGGGTTAAAATCGACGGATTTTGGGTTTTTTTTTTGGTTTAAAATCACCGAATTTTGGGGGTTTTTGGGTTAAATCCGCCGGATTTTGGGTTTTTTGGGGTTAAAACCGCAGAATTTTGGGAATTTTTGGGTTAAAACTGGCAGATTTTGGGGATTTTTGGGTTAAAATTGCCGAATTTTGGGTTTTTTTGGGTTAAATCCACCGGATTTTGGGTTAAACCCGCCGGATTTTTGGGCTTTTTTGGGTTAAAAAAAACAAACTTTGGGGTATTTTGGGGTGAAATCTCTGAATTTTGGGTATTTTTGGGTTAAAAATGACGGATTTTGGATTTTTTGGGTTAAAAAAGCCGAATTTTGGGTTAGACCCGCTGGATTTTGGGTTAAAACCGGCGGATTTTGTGGTTTTTGGGGTTAAAAATCCCGGATTTTGAAATTTTAGGGTTAAAATCGCCCAATTTTGGGTTTTTTTGGGGTTAAAATTGCCGAATTTTGGGGTTTTTGGGTTAAAACCTCCGGATTTTGGGTTTAAGCCGCCGGATTTTGGGTTAAAATCAGCAAATTTTGGGTTTTTTTGGGTTATAACCGCCGAATTTTGGGATTTTTGGGTTAAAAATCCCGGATTTTGGAATTTTTGGGTTAAACCCGCCGGATTTTGGGGTTTTTTGGGTTAAAATTGCCAATATTTGGGTTAAAATCACCGGATTTTGGGTTTTTTTGGGTTAAATCCACTGGATTTTGGGTTAAAAACGCCGAATTTTGGAGTCTTTTGGGGTAAAATTGCCCAATTTTGGGGTTTTTTTTGGGTTAAACCCACCGAAATTTGGGGGTTTTTGGGTTAAAATAGCCGAATTTGGGGTCTTTGGGGGAAAAATCACCGGATTTTGGGGTTAAACCGCTGGATTTTTGGGGGTTTTGGGGTTAAAACCACCGATTTTGGGTTAAAACCGCCGAATTTTGGGGTTTTTGGGGTTAAAATCGCTGAATTTTGGGGTTAAACTGCCGGATTTTGGTTTTTTTGGGGTTAAGATTGCCGAATTTTGTGGGTTTTGGGTTAAAACAACCGGATTTTGGGTTTTTTTTGGGTTAAAACCGCCGAATTTTGGGGTTGAAACCACCGGATTTGGGAATTTTTAGGTTAAAATCGCCAAATTTTGGGTCTTTTTGGGGTTAAAACCGCCGGGTTTTGGGTTAAAATCGCCGAATTTGGGGGTTTTTGGGTTAAAATTGCCAAATTTTGGGTTAAAACCGCCGGATTTTGGGGTTTTTGGGTTAAAACCAACGAATTTTGGGGGTTTTGGGTTAAAAATCCCGGATTTTGGGTTAAAATCGCCAAATTTTGGTTAAACCACCAGATTTTGGGGTAAAACCGTGAGGTTTGGGTTTTTTTGGGTTAAAATCGCCGGATTTTGGAATTTTTGGCATAAAACCGCCGGATTTTCGCTATTTTTTGGGCTAAACCCACCGAATTTTGGGTTAAAATTCCCGGATTTTGGAATTTTAGGGTTAAAATCGCCGAATTTTGGGGTTAAACCGCCGGATTTTGGGTTGTTTTGGGTTAAAATTGCCAAAATTTGAGGTTTTTTGGGTTAAATCCACCGGATTTTGGGTTAAAACCGCCGGATTTTGGTTTTTTTTGGGTAAAAATCGCCAGATTTTGGGTTAAACCCGCTGGATTTTGGGGTTTTTGGGTTAAAATCACAGAATTTGGGGTTTTTTTGGGGCTAAACCCACCGAATTTTGGGTTAAAACTGCCGGATTTTGGAATTTTATGGGTTAAAACCGGCGAATTTTGGGGTAAAACTGCCGGATTTTGGGTTAAACCCACCAAATTTTGGGTTTTTTGGGGTAAAACCAAAATAATTTGGGATTTTTTGGGGTGAAATCTCTGGATTTTGGGTTAAAACCGCCGGATTTTGGGTTTTTTTGTGTTAAAACCGCCGGATTTTGGAATTTTTGGGGTTAAAACTGCCGGATTTTGGGGTTTTTGGGTTAAACCCGCCGGAGTTTGGGGTTTTTTGGGTTAAAATCACGAGATTTTGGAATTTTTGGGTTAAAATCGCCGAATTTTGGGGTTTTTGGTGTTAAAAATCCCGGATTTTGGGTTAAAATCGCCAAATTTTGGGTTAAACCACCGGATTTTGGAATTTTTTAGGTTAAAATCGCCCAATTTGGGGTTTTTTGGGTTAAAACCATCGGATTTTCGCTATTTTTGGGGTTCAAAACCCCGGATTTGGGTTTTTTTGGGGTTAAAACCGCTGAATTTGGGGTTTTTTGGGTTAAAACCATCGGATTTTCGCTATTTTTTGGGTTAAAACCACCGAATTTTGGGTTAAAACCGCCGGATTTTGGGTTTTTTGGGTTAAACCCGCCAAATTTTGGGTTAAACCCGCCGGATTTTGGAATTTTTGGGTTAAACCCAGCCGATTTTCGCTATTTTTTGGGTTAAAACCGCCAAATTTTGTGTTAAAACCGCCGAATTTTGGGTTAAACCCCCCAAATTTCCGCTCTTTTTTCCTCTAACCCCCCAAATTTCGCTATTTTCTATTTTTAATTGTGCCAAATTTTGGGGAGGGGGTCGCGGGGGGGTCTCACCTCGGGCGAGAAGCGCGGCTGGGGGGCGGCGGGGGGGGGAAGGACCCCCCAAAAAATCAACAGCCCCAAAATCATCTCCGGGAGCGACGCCGCGATTGGGGAGGGGGAGGGGGGAAAAATCCCAAAAAAAACGGTGGGGGAGGGGCTGGGAGGGGGTGGGGGGAGGGGTTTGGGGTGGGGGAGGGGCCAACAGCGAAAAAAACCCCAAAATTTTGCGGTTTTTTGGCTTTTTTTGGGTTTTTTTGGGGTTTTTTTGGGTTTTTTTTTAACAAAAAGGGCCGCCCCCAAAATTTTTTGGGGTTTTATTTTTTGGGGTTTTTTTTTAGGGGTGGGGGAGGGGCAGGATGTGGTCAGCCCCTCCCCCACCCCCCCGGTCAGCTGACTGGGCGGTGACGTCATCTCGAGGGGGGTTTTGGAGGAGTTTTTTTGGGAATTTTGGGCGGATTTTTGGGAGTTTTTTTGGTGAAGTTTTGGGGGATTTTTGGGGTTTTTTTGGGGACTTTTTACGGATTTTTTGGCGGATTTTTGGGGTTTTTTTTGGGACTTTTTACGGATTTTTTTTTGGGAATTTTTCAGCCGATCCCAAACCGATTTTTGGATAAATTTTTTTGGAATTTGATACAAATTTTTATTTTTTTGGGGCTGTCCAAAGTGGAATTTTGGGACTATTTTTTTCGGGAAGAAAAAAAATTTTGGGATCCCCGGGAAGGAATTTCCAGGCCCCTCCCGAAGTTTTTTTTGAGGTTCCTTTGTGCCGCTAATTAAGAGTTGGGGGCGTGGCCTCGCTAATTAAAACCAGGAGTGGGCGGGGGGTCTCGTTGCCCTTTTAAGGCGGCGTTGCCCTTTTAAGGCGCCATTGCCCCTTTAAGGCGGCGTGGCCATTTTAAGATGGCATTGCCCTTTTAAGAGGGCGTGGCCTATAAAAGGGGGCGTGGCCTTTAAGACGTCATTGCTTCTTTAAGAAGCCATTGCCTTTTTAAGTGGGCGTGGCCTATTTAAGGGGGCGTGGCCTTGTAAGACGCCGTTGCCCTTTTAAGGCGCCATTGCCCTTTTAAGACGTTATTGCCCTTTAAGACGCCATTGCCCTTTTAAGGCGCCATTGCCCTTTTAAGATGCCATTGCCATTGCCCCTTTAAGACGCCATTGCCCCTTTAAGGTACCATTGCCCTTTTAAGGCGCCATTGATCTTTTAAGGCGCCGTTGCCGCTTATGGGCCGCGCCTTGTGGGCCCCACCTTAAAGGCTCCGCCCCTTCCCAGTTCAGCCCAGTTCATCCCAGTCCCCTCCCAGTTCATCCCAGTCCTCCCCTCTCTGTACTGGTTTGTACTGGGAGGGCACTGGGCCATACTGGGATGAACTGGGATAGACTGGGAGACACTGGGCCGGCTTTGTCCCGCCTCTCGCTTCCCATTGGTCAACATCTCTCATTTCCGCGCGCCTATTGGTCAATTCTGCTGTCACTCATCCATCAACCCCCCCCTTACCCGCTTTTTCCCGCCCCGCGCTCCCATTGGCTCGCTGTTTTCCCGCCCCGCGCTCCTATTGGCTCGTTATTTCCCGCCCCTCTCTCCTATTGGCTGGCGCGGCTGAGGGGGCGTGTCCAGGCGCGGCTCGGCGGGAAGCCCGTGAGGGGAAAAGCGGCGGCGGAGGCGAAATTTTGGGGTAAAATTGGGGAAAAACGGGACCGGGAAAGTTGGGAAAGAACCGGGAAAGGCTCCCGAGAGTTCCCGGGAGGATTTTTGGGTGGTTTAGGGTCAATCTTTGCGGTTCCGGGGCTGTTCTGAGGGAGGGAAAGGAGGTGAGGGGGGGGAATATGCGGTCCGTGAGGGGATTTGGGGCTCCTGAGGGGATTTGGGGGATCCTGAGGGGATTTGGGGGATCCATGAGGGGTTTTAGGGTTCTGAAGGGGTTTTGGGGTTTCCCTGAGGGGTTTTTAGGGTTCTAAAGGGGTTTTGGGGTTTCTCTGAGGGGTTTTGGGGGGATCCTTGAGGGGTTTGGGGGATCACTGAGGGGGATTTTGGGGGATCCCTGAGGGGGTTTGGGGGATCCCTGAGGGGATTTGGGGGGTCCCTGAGGGGTTTTTAGGGTTCTAAAGGGGTTTTGGGGGATCCCTGAGGGGATTTGGGGGGTCCTGAGGGGTTTTTAGGGTTCTGAGGGGATTTGGGGGATCCCTGAAGGGTTTTGGGGGATCCCTGAGGGGATTTGGGGCTCCTGAGGGGTTTTGGGGGTCCTGAGGGGGTTTTGGGGGTCCTGAGGGGATTTGGGGGATCCTGAGGGGATTTGGGGGTTCTGAGGGGGTTTTGGGGGGTCCTGAGGGGGTTTTTAGGGTTCTAAGGTGGTTTTGGGGTTTCTCTGAGGGGGTTTTGGGGGTCCCTGAGGGGTTTGGGGGATCCCTGAGGGGATTTGGGGGATCCTTGAGGGGATTTGGGGGATCCCTGAGGGGATTTTGGGGATCCCTGAGGGGGTTTTGGGGATCCCTGAGGGGATTTTGGGGGTCCTGAGGGGTTTTTAGGGTTCTGAAGGGGATTTGGGGATCCCTGAGGGGTTTTGGGGGATCCCTGAGGGGATTTGGGGGATCCCTGAGGGGGATTTGGGGATCCCTGAGGGGCTTTTAGGGTTCTGAGGAGATTTGGGGGGTCCTGAGGGGATTTGGGGGATCCCTGAGGGGATTTGGGGTTTCTCTGAGGGGATTTGGGGGATCCCTGAGGGGTTTTTAGGGTTCTGAGGGGGATTTTGGGGGTCCTGAGGGGCTTTTAGGGTTCTGAGGGGGATTTGGGGGATCCCTGAGGGGTTTTGGGGGATCCCTGAGGGGTTTTGGAGGGTCCTGAGGGGATTTGGGGGCTCCTGAGGGGGATTTGGGGGATCCCTGAGGGGTTTTGGGGGATCCCTGAGGGGATTTGGGGATCCCTGAGGGGATATGGGGGGTCCTGAGGGGATTTGGGGATCCCTGAGGGGTTTTGGGGCTCCTGAGGGGATTTGGGGCTCCTGAGGGGGTTTTGGGGGATCCCTGAGGGGTTTTGGGGATCCCTGAGGGGATTTGGGGGTCCTGAGGGGTTTTGGGGTTTCTCTGAGGGGGATTTGGGGATCCCTGAGGGGTTTTGGGGTTTCTCTGAAGGGGATTTGGGGGTCCTGAGGGGTTTTGGGGGATCCCTGAGGGGTTTTTAGGGTTCTAAAGGGGTTTTGGGGGGATCCTTGAGGGGTTTGGGGGATCCCTGAGGGGATTTGGGGGTCCTGAGGGGATTTGGGGGGTCCTGAGGGGATTTGGGGGATCCCTGAGGGGGATTTGGGGGATCCCTGAGGGGATTTGGGGGATCCCTGAGGGGTTTTTAGGGTCCTGAGGGGGTTTTGGGGGGTCCTGAGGGGGATTTGAGGGATCCCTGAAGGGTTTTGGGGGATCCCTGAGGGGATTTGGGGGTTCCCTGAGGGGTTTTGTGGGGTCTTGAGGGGTTTTTAAGGTTCTGAGGGGGTTTTGGGGGTCCCTGAGGAGGTTTTGGGGATCCCTGAGGGGATTTTGGGGGATCCCTGAGGGGATTTGGGGATCCCTGAGGGGTTTTGGGGGCTCCCTGAGGGGATTTGGGGGTCCCTGAGGGGTTTTTATGGTTCTAAAGGGGTTTTGGGGTGTCCTGAGGGGATTAGGGGATCCCTGAGGGGGTTTTGGGGATCTCTGAGGGGTTTTTAGGGTTCTAAAGGGGTTTTGGGGGATTCCTGAAGGGTTTTGGGGTGTCCTGAGGGGATTTGGGGATCCCTGAGGGGATTTGGGGGTTCCCTGAGGGGATTTTGGAGGTCCTGAGGGGATTTGGGGGTCCCTGAGGGGTTTTTAGGGCTCTAAAGGGTTTTTTGGGGGTCCCTGAGGGGATTTGGGGGATCCCTGAGGGGATTTGGGGGATCCTTGAGGGGTTTTGGGGGTTCCCTGAGGGGATTTAGGGGATCCCTGAGGGGGTTTTGGGGGATCCTTGAGGGGTTTTTAGGGTTCTGAGGGGGATTTGGGGGATCCCTGAGGGGATTTGGGGGTTCCCTGAGGGATTTTGGGGGTCCCTGAGGGGATTTGGGGGATCCCTGAGGGGATTTGGGGGATCCCTGAGGGGATTTGGGGGGTGCTCAGTGGATTTGGGGGATCCCTGAGGAGGATTTTGGGGGGTCCTAAGGGGTTTTTAGGGTTCTAAAGGGGTTTTGGGGGAATCCCTGAGGGGGTTTGGGAGATCCCTGAGGGGATTTGGGGTGTCCTGAGGGGGATTTTGGGGGTCCTGAGAGTTTTTTAGGGTTCTAAAGGGGTTTTGGGGGAATCCCTGAGGGGGTTTGGGAGATCCCTGAGGGGATTTGGGGTGTCCTGAGGGGGATTTTGGGGGTCCTGAGAGTTTTTTAGGGTTCTAAAGGGGTTTTGGGGGAATCCCTGAGGGGATTTGGGGGATCCTTGAGGGGTTTTAGGGTTCTAAAGGGGTTTTTGGGGGTCCCTGAGGGGTTTTTAGGGTTCTGAAGGGGTTTTGGGGGGATCCTTGAGGGGATTTGGGGGCTCCTGAGGGGATTTTGGGGGTCCTGAGGGGTTTTTAGGGTTCTAAAGGGGTTTTGGGGTTCCCTGAGGGGATTTGGGGGATCCCTGAGGGGTTTTAGGGTTTTGAAGGGGTTTTGGGGGATCCCTGAGGGGTTTTTAGGGTTCTAAAGGGGATTTGGGGACTCCTGAGGGGATTTGGGGGTTCCCTGAGGGGATTTGGGGGATCCCTGAGGGATTTGGGGGTCCTGAGGGGATTTTGGGGGTCCTGAGGGGTTTTGGGGGATCCCTGAGGGGATTTGGGAGGTCCTGAGGCGGTTTGGGGTGTCCCTAATTAAATTTTGGGTGTCCCTAATTAAATTTTGGGTGTCCCTAATTAAATTTTGGGGTTCCCTGATTGAATTTTGGGTGTCCTTAATTAAATTTTGGGTGTCTCTAATTAAATTTTGGGCTCCCTAATTAAATCTTGGGTGTCCCTAATTAAACTTTGGGGTTCCCTAATTAAATTTTGGGTGTCCCTAATTAAATTTTGGGTGTCCTTAATTAAATTTTTGGGGTCCTTGATTGAATTTTGGGGGTCCCTGAGTGAATTTTGGGTGTCCCTAATTAAATTTTGGGG